TACCAGTTTTCCTTTTCCCGCCCCAGCCTCGACGTCCCCAACCGCCACTAGTCACACTTGCGGAGTACACACCATCCCGGAATGCATCCGACACTCGGCCCTGCCATGTGGCATCCGACAGCCAACGCGGCCGCAGAGACAACGCACGCGACGAGGGAAGCACCATATATCATCTTAGTGCTTGGCCGTATCCCGGGCTGCTCCTCCCAGCGTACCTTCTGAACCACGGACCGGCTTTGAGGGAAGCGGAGGCACTCACAAATGCTTTACCCACTGCGGCATGCCTTGGAGCACTAATCGGCCATGACGGTAACGGTCTCAATGCCTCGATGTACATCCAGTTTCGGGGTCTTGAGTGACAACCGCTCAAACTTGGACCAATTCATCTCGCCTCTTGTCCAATCTCGTTCTTGCACGCGCACGACCCCGAAGTTGGCCACAGCCACACGCAAGCGCGCGCACACACACTACTCGAGTCCTCACGTCAACCGTCAAGCTAACGGAGAGTGGAAGCCCAAGCCCAAGCCCAAGCCGGCCAACCGGTGGAGAGTAACGGCGACAGCTAGTTCTTCAAGGTTCTTCGCCAACGGCCCTCCATCCCCGGTCCATGTCGCCATCTTTGTCGTCCCCTTCCAAGTCTCTCCACCACAAACGCTGTATGCCGGACATGGCAGTGTGGCTTCAAGGTCGGTCTCCATCACCGGTGTCCAGTTGCATTACCATCTCAGCCCTCTGCCCCTGCTTGTTCGCCTTGCCCGCCCGGTCTGGCCGTCAGCCACACAGCCTAGGTAGAGCTTAGGTATCACCCGGCCGGTGGCCACTCGGAATAAGACCACCCATGAGCAGCGGCTGAAGGAGAAATTGCGTACGCTGGTCTTCTTCACCGGGGCCCTATCGTCATTGTCGTCATTCCTTCCCGTCCAGCAAGGCATGCCTATACAAAGACGACCGCGGCCGAGAGACCCTGACTCTCAACGACGTCGCCACCCAGGTGGGACTTCTTTTTCGGGACACCTTCAGACCGAGCACGAGACTCGACTCGACGTTGGCGGGCTTGTAACAAGCCGGGGTCGCGGCGGCCGAACAACCCATCATTCATCTCCTATGGTACCATACATTTCACCGTACGTGCCCCTAGGTTTGGTGCACTACGAATCAACTTGGCCCAGGGCATCGCACTTCCTGACTGTATCAACACGAGCACAGGCACGGACACTATTTATCTGACTCCAACCCAGCTCGGCCCATGCGCGGTACCGCCGAGTCTCGTCGAGAGGTGAAGCGAGTTGCAACGACATCAACAGTCGGTCGGTAAAGACGCCCGGCCTCGGCCTGAGCGTGGCATGCCCACTGACTTGTTGACATGCACGTCTCGTCTGCGCCCACAGTCTACGTTGGCCGCCTCCATTTTCCGGTTCTGCGCTAGGGCGCAACGTGCCGTCTGTCTTTACTGAGGTGACACCAGGCGCCCGCTAAGACAGGCTCCCTGCCTAGCCTGTCCATACGGATACTTTAATCGTGTCTTTAATCGTATCGAAATCTAAAGGGCCCATCCGAGACAGACACGCGAAAGGGACGGACTCGCCTCGAACCGGCTGGGACCATGGCAGACCAGGGCACCAACACGGACGGAGGATAGGTAGTGTACGCCGGACGGCGCGCGCAGTGGAGGACAGGACAGGACAGGAACAAAGGAAATGGGCTAGGGCAACAACCCACTCTCGGAGAGAACGAACGTGGGCGTGACAAGACGAGAGGCCCTGTCGTCCTTTTTCCTTCCGATGCCACGCTGCCATCGGCTGTATCCCTGAGCACGTCCGACACCTGGTCCCTACCTCTCGTGTGCCCTCCCGGCTCACCGTACCTTGCCTCACGATTTAGCCGGTGCGGTACCTTCTTCTCACCCAGATACCTTGCCGCACCGTGCCTCTCTAAAGCTGACGAGAGATGGCCGACCTCCCTTACCACGCACGGGTTTGATCTCCATACCAAGCAACAGCCTCGAATCAAGTCTCTCACATGGCCCATCAGCCATTGCATTCTCTCTCTCTCTCTCTCTCTCTCTCTTTCGGTCTCCATCGCATGGTTTGCAACGGCGTCCGTCCGTTCAATGCTACCTTTGTGAATCCTTCATCTCATCTCTCTGTTGCGCTCGCAGGTCGATCCCTCTGCCCGCCTCTCCACATATCCCACAACCTTCTTTCGACCCCATCAGCCCTGATCCATCCACACCCCTCCTCCAACTCTGCTTTTCCTCTTCTGCCCCATGTCCCCCGTGGCCCCGTCCCACGCATCCACGCCCGCTCGCCTGCGTCTCCCCCCTCCTCCTCCTCCTCCTGCCCTGTACCCTGGGGCTACCGACACAGCAGCAGCTATTTGCAGCAACGACAACGTTGGCGCGAGCTTGGCCTATGCGTTCGTCGCTACGTACCTCGCTATGCCGGGCTTGAACGTGGTTCTGCCTTTGGTTGTGCCTTCGCACCCTCTCCCTCCCCTCCCCCCTCTCTGTACCTTACCCATCTCACCGAGGCCATGCTTTGCATAGGTAGCCGTCCTTGGCTCGCAGCTGTCGTCGTCTTTGTTCGGAGGTGCCATGGCCAGGCGTTTCTACTTGCTGGGTATCCTGATGCCAGGATAGAAATGCCTTTGCTGCATCCATACTTTCTTCTCCTACCTAGATCCGATGTCTCTCCTGCTGTCCACCTATCCACATTTACCTGCCTCCCTCCACCTCGGCCGGTCTCTTCAAGCAATATCAAGTCAATCTTACAGACCCTCCACTCCTCTCCCGCCGCCTGTCTTGATCCCGGCCTGGCGTCTCCCTCTTCTACATAGTGAGTGTACCTGCACCATTCCTACAAGAGCACCCCCCGGGGCGTTGGCCTGTCCCACCCCCGTCCGCTCGCCTGCCATCCATCCCATCTCATCCTGTGCCATCCCATCCTCGACCACCACCACCACCGCCGCCGCCGCCAGTCTTCTTTTCCTCCTTCCTGGCTCCCGGCTACTCCATTTGCACATAGTGTACATATCCATCTGCTACCGGCTCCGACATTCGAGACAACATCCACCCCTCCCTGCTGCTGCCCACTCCCACCTGAACCATGCCTCCTTCGCATCCCCAATCAAATTTGGCACACTGCACACTGCACACGCTGCACACGTTGCACACACACGGGTCACCGAGGAGAGGGACCTTGCAAGCGCACCGAATGCCTTTTTCTTCTTCTTCTTGTGCGTGTTGATTCCCACAGTGGGTTTCCCGGCCTCTGCTCTCCTGTTGTCTCTTACTTTTTGGGGCCCTGGCCGCGGCCGCGGTTCCGTCCCGTCTTTGGACCTGTCCCTGTCTCCTGTCCGTCACCCGCTGCTCCTCTCAGCTTCCACTGACTCTTGTCTCCCCCACTGTCTTATTGCATTGTGGCTTCAAACGTGCCTGCTTTAATCTCGTCGAGGAACCCTCAGACCCAACGCTACCATCACCGTCGCTACCGCCAATCAATACACTCATCTCTCACGCCTGGGTACTGCATCAGGTCAAGCTACTGCTCACCTGTCCTTTTTATTGTATTTTGTTGTGCTCTTGCTGCCCATGTCTGCCAGTACAACCTCCCCTCCGGAGCCATCTCACCACAACTCACACACCCACTGCCTCAGAGTACAGTCCTCGTACGAGTCCCAAGAGTACCTGCTGTACCGTACCTCACTCACTACACACGCGCTCTCTCTCTATATCTCTCTCTCGCACACGCCCTCACACACACTCCCTCTCTCATATTCACACACAGACGCGCGGAGAATTGTCGTTAGGCAGGGGATCGTGATGGCATAGCCCTCTACCCTTGATTAGCAGCCACTCTAAAGACGTCGACCGGGGTCTTCCCTGGCTGGCCTGTCCCTCTCGTCCAGATCAACCCTGAACCACCCTAGCTTCATCTCAATTGCCCCCCTCCTTGTAGACCCAGCAGACCTGCCTCCAGTCACACAAAAACCGACCGGGAGCCACCGATCGACTGCTCCCAAAAAAAAAGTCTATGGGCCCTACTCTCCAACGTATCCAGCCGTCGACAAATAACGCTTCTTTACTCCGGCCGCCGAGCGTAAGAGGGATACGAAAACATAGAGAGACTAAGGAGCGGGCTAGAATTCCATCTCATCCTCCTTCTCCTTCTCCTTTACTTTTGCTCCTCTTCTACCCTACCTTTCCACACTTATACACCACGTCCAGCCCGACGAACAAGCTGCCGGTACCAAGGCATCCATCCAGCCATCCATCTCCGCATCCCGTGCCTGAGGTTCCGCCGTAATACTTCCTGCAGCTGCCCGCACCAGCATCTCGCTCGACGAACCACCAATATCGCCGCAGGTAGCTTCATTGGAGCCCGAAGGATTGTTGCTGTGCCAGTATCACGCTACAGCAGCATCATCGTCGTCTCACAGCAGTAGTAACTGTACCCTCTCCCATCCGCTATCCCAGGACCGCCGATTCAACCTTCTTTGTTGCCATCTGTCACTGGCACAGACGGCCTATTGGCACTTTAAAGACGTCGCGAACTTGCCGCCCCCCATCATCTTCGATATTCGGAATCTCGGCTATCTCAGTCCCTCGGTTTTGCGAAAGTGGGCGTGATTCGTCGTGGTTAAATTCAAAGGTTTCTCTCAGCCATCGCCGGCAGGCTAAGAATCCGTGCGTGGGAAAGGAACGGAAGCTCGAATCGATCCGACCCCAAGGAATCAACTTGAACAGCGGAATCACAGACTTGCCCCTCCTTGCTCAGAACAGCCGGCAGGAAGGAAACGCCTTTCGCCTCATCTGGACTGATTAACGAGCGCCGAGAAACACGAGCTAAAGAACACCAACGGCGAGCCTGCAACAGGTCGACAAAAGTTCGCGCGAACGATTCGGTCTCTATTTCAACGGTCTGGGAAACGAGGCATCGTCTGGAAGAAGACGTAGAGAGCTCTCGACCCAGACGCCCTAGTGAAGCCGCATCACAACATCCATGCAAGACATCAGCAGAGACTGCGACTCGTTATCTACTTCGCTCGGCCAGCGCCGAGGCATCTCCGATCTGGCGCGATTCGCACTCGACCTGACCTGGGCAACTCCCCCGAGAGCAGAGTCCGAGACTCCTGCTCGTCCCAGAGCATATCCTTCTCCGCCCATGTCAGGGTCTCCTCCTCTTCCGCCCAAAGCAAACCCAGACGCTGGTGACCGAGGGCAACTGCATGGCAGCTATCCGTCCACCAGCCCGCAAGATGCCTACCGGGGAGGACTGCCGCCAACAATACACCAGGGCGACCCTCGAGGTCCGCCGCTGCAGCAGTCCTTGCCGCCGCCACAACCCCGATCCTATCACGCCGAGCAGGACAGGATGCCTTACTCTTATCCTAGACCCGACGACCATCTGCGCAACACGCCGTCCGGATACGCACACCTCGCGAGCCAGGCCTTGCAGCAACGGCCTCCGCCATACATGCAAATGTCTGGGCCGCCGCCACCGCCTCCGCCACAGCCAGCAGGACCTCATCAGCATGGTTATGCGACAACCATGTCGCAGACGTCCCAGGACAGCGCTCCCTACACATCGCCCAAGACGCAGAGAAAGACAAAGGGCCATGTGGCATCGGCGTGCGTGCCTTGCAAGAGAGCCCATCTTCGGTAAGGCGCTCTCTCCCCGCAGACTTCCAAGTGAAACGCGTGGTGGCATTTTTAACACGGTGACGCTAACACTATATGCCTAGATGTGACGGTACGTATGGCGGCGCGCTAGTTGATTTTCTTTTCGTTTTCGTTTTGTTGCTTGAATTTTTTGGGGTCCCCTTTGGTTTGCGCATCCTTCTTTTCGGCAATCTCTCTCCGATCAATTGTGGAAAAACCCTCTTCTCTGTAAGGGAACATCGATGCAGCGTTTCGGGGCGCTCGCATGTGGCTGCAAGTCTCTGGGCAATTCTCGACACCATTACCGGTCGAGAGTTCCCGGGAGTCATTCTGGACGCAGCGTTAACCCAGCAGGCCCGTTCGGTGCGAGCGACACTCGACGACGCAGCGCAAGGATTAACCCGTTGAACTGAGACCGATGCTGAGGGGCAAGACGATCCCGTTCGGGCGGATCATTCGCAGAAACTCGGACGGGGGAGTTGAGATGGTGGCTGCATGGCATGGGATGGTGCAGCCGTCGAAAAAAAAAAAAGACGAAGGCTGTCATGTCTTGGGTTTGTTTATGGTATCCTTGAGCGCGAGAGACTGTGTCGTCAGCAGCGCCTGTGGCCGAACTTCCGTCGTCTATCGGACCTCATTCAGCGTCTTTTCCAGCGACTGATGGGCCGCCGCCACTGCCGTCTATCAACCGCCTGGTTCCTGGACCCCCCGTGCAGACCGGAATTGCGGGCCGGACATGACGAAAGATTGGCGGGGTGGCAGCCGGCGCGCCGAGGAGCGAACCTCGATTCTTGGTTATGGTTGGGGATCCGGCGAACTCGCCAATCGCAAGCCGCGGCGCCGGGTGTGGTTGCTACCGACTGTGCCATGTCTGAAACAGAAGCGGAGGTGTGGTCTTCCCTCGCGCCAGACCTCTCCGGGTGGACTTGGCTGGTCGATCGTTGCTCCGTCCGGTCTGGTCGCGGGATGATCCAAGTGGGCAAGACTAGCGTGTCATTGACGTGTCGGATGCGACGCATGGCGGGACGGGAGGGGCGAGAGCGAGGGGGATTGGGGAGGGAACGAAGCTCGGAGACGGACATCCAAACGTCTAAGCCACGCGGTTGACGTGACGAGCAAGTGCTTGTTAAAGAGGGACGTCATGCATAGTCTTCTTCTCGCTCGGTGACCATTGCACTTGCAACAGCCCTGAATCGCGTGCTTGCTTCTGTTTAGTCTTTTTTGCGGAATGTTGGATGGTGGCAGCTTGCTGACTTGTGTCTGCGACAAACAGCTCAACGACCGTGTTCGCGATGCACGAGCAACGGCAAGGAAGACGCTTGCGTCGACGTGCAACACAAGAAGCGTGGCCGCCCACGGCTGAGGGATGACCGAGAAGCCCGCTACGGCCCCTCGACATATCAGCATCCCCAGGATGCCGCAGCAGCAGCAGCAAGGAGGCCGCCGTTGAGTCACTACTCAGCCGGCCCTCCCATCTCAGGGTACGATGACCCCATCCGAGGCAGTCACTCCTACCGCGTTCTAAAGTCTCAACCAAGCGAACCCATTGCTCCGCGTTACCTGGACAGAGTCTCCATGGCCGATGCGAACATGTACGCGCAGCAGCCACCGCCCTTGGCGGCGGGAGCGCCGGAACCCGTCGTCTTCCTGACGATGGAGCTGGAAATCGCCCGTGTCTCGCCAGCCTTTGCCGATGCCGTTGGAATTCCCGGCGTGAGGGGTCGGTCCCTCTTGGACATTGTGTTGTCCTCGGAGCGCGACAAGATCCAGAACCACCAGCGAAGCATGCAGGACGAGCGGTCGAGAAAGGACCCCGTGTACCTGCCTCCCATCTTTGGCAGGCAGGAGCAGGAGCGCGTGTTTGACTCTCTGCGGTTCGAGGCTGACGAGCTCTCGCGGTTCCAGCTGGATCGCCAAGACTTCTTCATTTTCGCTGCGGCCGACGGGCAACCGCGGTCGTATTCCGTCCGACTGGGTCTTGCGAAGCGGGAGTCGATTTACTTCATCGTCCTGCTCATCAACGCGGCACCCAGGTTTCCCTACCCCTCGCCGTCGCCCCATGCCAGAGAGATGCCGTATTCGTACCAGCCTCAACAACAACCTCAGCAACAGGCGTATGCGCAGCACACGCCGGTCTCGGCGACGTTTGAGCAGGCGAGACCTCGCTTCGGCGAGGGCGCACTCGCGCCGCGCCCGTCCCCCGGACAACCCCCGCACATGATATCCGGTGTAAGCCCGGGCGTCAGTCCCGGCATGCCGTCGTATTCCGCGTCGCCAAGCCGGCCCGACTACGCCGCCGGCCCTTCGTCGTATCAGATTCCTCGCAGTGAGTTGCCGCCGACCACTCGGCCCCCGCAGCCCTCGTTCCAGCTGCCGCCCATCCGTGCCGGCCCACATCAGCCGCCCCATTCCGAGCCCTCGTGGCAAAGGGACGACCGATCTGGCCGCGTCGATATCGGTGGTCTGCTCGAAAAGCCGGACCCGCACCAGCGGCGTCCGCAATGATTTGATGACTCTCCTCCGCCCTAGCGGTGGTTGTCGATAATTTCTTCGCTTCGTCCGGCCCGGTGTCGTCTTGCTTCGCGTCGTCGATCGAGTCGTCATCCCGGCCGACCCCCCCCCCCCCCCCCCTTGGCCCATTTGAAACTTTTCTGACCCTATGGGATGGACGTGGCGTCCATCTCTTGTATTTGTACCGAGTCCCCCTTCGTTTCCATCTTTCGTCTTCAAGACCGCGCCGCCTCGTTGTTTTTCCGGCGGCCGCGAGCCGTCACGAGATACCACTTGTACAACCACCCTTTATTATTTGCTCATCCGCTGCATATACTGCATTTCTTCTGTTGCCGATTGGGGGCATTCGGGCATCCTTCTAGGCGTTTTGTTTTGGCTTCGGATTACTGGGTTTTGGCGGGCTGTGTGTGTGTGCGTCTGTTTGTAGCATCCGTCGCTGGAAGACCTTGGAAAGTGTAGGACTATGGCCGTCTTTCTAGGGTTTGGCAACGGGAGAGGAGGGGGGGACCATGAGCGCCCATCATGCGTGTGTTTTTTGTCGCCGTCTGGGGTTCCGGGCCACTTTCTCGTTGATTTACTCAAAACAGAGGGATTCACCTGGCGTTCTTACTCGCCGGCGACCATCATTTTGCTTTTCCCTCCCCTGAATCCTGTGCTGTACATTGTCTGTCCCTTGATCATTTTGTTTTGTTTTGTTTGTTTGATAAAATGGTTCAGCTCTTGAGTGGGGGTGATGAGTGGTGGTTGCGTTGTGTGTTCTGTCAAGCGGATGACGGCGTCGAGCAGTTGTGATGGACCGAGGACATGGGGCCCGGACGAGAAGCTCCAACGGCAAGCCGGGGGCGGCTTGGCGAGCAAGACTCCAAACGGCTCGCCTTGTTTGTTTCTCGAGAGGGAGAGGGGGGTTTGGTGAGGGCGAGGCCGCAGGTTTTTGATGGGAAACAGGTGCCCCCATCCATCACCCAATGGTCCGATAATTGCGGAGACCATCGGGCGAGGCCAATGCGGCGGGACAGATCCCGCAAATCCGGCAGGTGGTCCCGGCGAGCGGCCATGGCCAAGGTGGTGAAGGGGTGTCCCATGCTTGGGGGCGAGGTGACGTTGCGGTGGTGGTAATGTAATGTCTCCTTGGTGGAGTTGCCGGAGGGTCTGGTCATACCGCACCAGGGGGGGATAATGGAAGAGGACGGGAGAGGGAGAATAGAGAAAGAGGGCACAACCAGAAGGAGGAGGAGAAAGAGGCGGCGGAGGAGGCCGGCCAGAGTATAAGAAAGAGAGGAGAGGGTACAGAGTAGAGGGCGAGAGGCCCCCTCCAGGTGCCGCGAGAAGCAGGCCCGTAGATAATTTCAAGCACCTGGTTCTTAACAAGAATAACAAACGTGCCGGCCACTCACGGATTCGATCGCATGTCTGCCCCCCCGTTCCCTTCCTGCAAGTCAGTCTGCAAGGTCCGCAGCGCCCATCCCACCCAGGGCGCCCGCCCGGGCTGCCGGCGGTTGCGGATGCGCGCTGCCAAAGGGAACCAACCCCCCTCCCCGTCTGCGTGCGCTATGTCGTGCGTGTCCAATGCAAGTGGTGCAATGCGGAGCGCGGGCTGATGTGTGTGTGTGTGTGTGTGTGTGCGTGTGCGTGCGTGTGTCATTTCGGGTGGCCCTGGGACCAAGCCCTTGGTCGCATCCGCTTTCGAAGGTATAATCCGGCCATGGTATTGGTGCCGGTCTGGAGGCTTTGGGAATTTTGGCGGCGGCACCGCTCCTGTTGGATGACTCCGTCTTGTTGCCGGCGAACTGTTACAGGTATCCATGGTCTTAAGAGACGGGAAGCGAAAGTGGCCTATGGGAGAGATCGGCCACGGATGAGGGAGGAGGCGAGGCCTTGGCCGGGAGTTTCCCTCCCCCCCCCGTCTATCATCCTCTCAGGGTTTCCATGGTTCTTTGTTGGGACGCTCGGGACTTGTTATTTTCGCCATTGGGCTCGGCGTGATACCTTTGGCGGCCAGCTTTCGTGTTTTTCATCGTGCTCTCTCTCTCGGTGCCAAGTTGTCGGGAGTGCCGTCTCACCTGGCGGGCATCTCCGTTTCTTCTGGTCGAGGTCGTTTCGCAGATTTCTCTGTTGCCCGCCGTAATGTGGGCAACATCCCCAACAGAGTCAAAGTGATGAGCGAGCGGGACTTGTGAGATGAGATGAGATGGAGGGAAGAAGACGCGAAGCTCGGGGGGAAGGAGGAAGAAGAGGATATGGGGGAAGGGGTAGCTCTGTCCCCAGGCGGGTGGATGGGCATTCCTTTTGTTCCCCTTACCGTCAGTCAGTACAGAGGAACTCGGGCGTGATCAACCGTTTGCGTCCCTTCATTACCTTAGAGCCAACCAGAAGGAGGGACAGGTGATGGACGAGGAAACGAAACGAAACAAAAACGGATTTAGTGGCATGCGTGGGGACGGCCGGTGAGGCACATCCCAGGATTATGGGATGAAGACTGCAGGGGAGGTGTTTGTTGCGGTTGGGATAAATCTCCGAGACGGAGGAGCCAGGTGTTGCTGCTCCAGGCCCCAAGAGCATTCGTTTTGTCATCGTGCATGAGCGGTCATGGGCCATTGCCCAACATTGACTTCTCGTGAGCGTTATGAGCCCGTCGACCTGCTCATCGGAGCGAGGTGGAATAGAAAATGCAGACGCTTCTCTCTCTCACTCTCTCACTCTCTCCGGCCTTGGGCGAGAAGAGGGCGAGGCAGAGCGATTTGGCTTTGGGCCGGCCAAGGAAAAAGAAGAAACAACCATCTATTTTGGCATTCGTCCGGGCCACGGGGACCACAACTCAAAGTTGAAACACTGATGGACACATTGGGAGTGTGGTGGGTGCGTGCAGCTAAAAAGGGAAAGACGCGGCAGGGGTTCGTAATTGTCTATTTACTATTTCGAGCATGGGTTGGCGGCAGCTGGCGCAAACACGAAGTCGTAGTCTCAAGGGACGGGGAGGGGGGGAGAGGAAGCCGACCAAAATGCCTACAGAATCAGGAATCATTGAAGACGAAAGAGGGCGAATGGGGACGTCGACCTGAAACAAGAGAGGCGCTGCCGATGCATCTTTTGGTGACGGCCGCTGGATTGGGACACTCTGCATTCGAGCGTGTGCAGCGCCGCTAGGCTGCGAAGAGGTCGCGAGAGGGAGGCGAGACTTCCTGAAATGGGTTCTTCGGCACCCTCAGTCATGGGCGTCGACGGCGCGAATGGGAAAGGCGTCGACTGTTAAGGTTGTTTCGAAACGGGCCTCGCATGGTAGCCGGGTCTTGTGGCCGCATGCCTGCTGGGCCCTGGGCCTTGGAGGGTGGGAGGGAAATGACCGAGGGGGCGCCGAACAGGTGGCGGTGCCGACCGCTAAACCGCAACGCCGACGGGCTGGCCACGCTATAGGCGCCAACCGACGGCTTCATATCATGCCTCTGATGAACCTAAGGAACCTGAGGACTGAGGACTAAGGACTCGCTGGGCCAGAATGAGAAGGGGGGGGGAAGCATGCCATCCCATCCCATCCCCTCCCCTTCCAACACTTGCATTCCCGGTCCGTCGAGGGCGATGGCGCCTGCTGCCGACGAAGAAGGTAACCTGAACCATGTGAGGCGCGCTGGGTGCTAGTGTGCCGAAGGGGGCCCTACGGATACTAGACTGTGATAAGAGAGGGGCGATGCTGCGTTGCCGGTGGATGTAGAACGGTCAGTCGTCCTGTTCCTGCATGGATGCCATCACTGGATGCATCGGGTGGATGGATGGTGGGTGGTGCAAGGGCTTTCGAGCCTTAATGTTCTGAAGAGTTTGCAGGGGAGCTGGGCCGCCCTTCTCTGGTATACCCACCGCCTCCCTTGCCGTTGTTGTCTTTGTTGTTGTTGTTGTTGTTATTGTCCGTGCGCGGCTTCGCATCGTGTACCAGGGGTTTGCCTCGGTAGGCCAGTTTCCTCTGCCGCTTGCTCTCTTGGGCTTGGGTCCGAGATGAAGCTTCTGGCTGAAGAAGGGAGGTAGCGGCGCGGCGTGCCTCGAGGGCCTCTTCGTGTTGCCGGTCGAGCTCGCGTTGCAGCTTGTCAGGTGACGGCGGCGTGCCGTCGACAATCAATTCGTCTAGGCCTCTTTTCCTGCTTGATCGGGGTGACGGCGACGCTGGCGGGATTTGCATGTCCATCAAGCTCTCGGAATGGGATGCGAGAGGGCTTCGGGGAATGTGCCGGCCGGCCGCCACGTTTGGGTCCGAGGCGACAGCATCCGGCGAGGGTGGCCTGGAGCTCCGTCCACTATGGCCCGCTGTCAGACGCAACACTAGCCATGCAGCATGTACACGGTAGACCGGGTATAGCCTAGGAACTCACCTGGCACTCGGAGGGTCGGCGCGTGTCGAGGCCACGCAGTCGCCCGCCGTGCTTTCTGAGTGCCTATCTTCGCACATGGCAGCAGTGAGCGCGGGTGCTACTAGTGAGTGTGTGGAGTCGTTTAGTGCAAGACTGGTGATTAATTAGTCGAGGTATAGCAGGTTGGGCAGAGCACGTTGTGACGGTGCGAGCAGTTCGGGTTGGCCTTCATGTTGAGGGCCGGCTCTAATTAAATGCACGGCGTCCGAGCAAAGAAATGTGGCCCAAAGTGGTTGGAGGCGACCGTCGCAGGTCGTGGGCGATAGGACCTTTTTTCCTCTTTCGACCAACAAGCACCCATATGAAACGCCTTGCAGTTGGGCAGATCATGAGGCCAGACGAATGGTATTGAACCGAGGGAGTGGTTGATCAGCGACGGTTGTCGGCCTCTTGTGAGCAGGTCCAGGATTGTCTCGTAGTAAAGCCGCCCTCTGCAAGAGGTAGCTGGAAACGAGTGAGGCGGTTGGGGCTTTGCCGGTCACTCGAACAGCATGTTAGGCGTTCTCGGCAGAAGAAGTGCAGACCGAACGTTGGACGGCATTGGTGCCTGGCCTGGCGTGGATAAAAGTGTAAGTGACATCGTGACTCTCGATGACGGGTGGCGCCACAGCCTCGACGAAATGTGTTCGTTATGGTGGCTTTGGCGGGTTGAGCACAGCCTAGGGTCCCGGCCCATGACCCTTGGGTAGGCTTGTTCGAAAACTGACAGAAAGTTCGAAACTTTGAGACAAGAGTCAGATCGGACTGGGGCACGGTGTCGTCCCCGATTCACGAAGACAACTTTTATATGCAATCATGGAATGGATGATAGGCCTGCGGCGGTCTTCAGATGCGCTCGGGGTGCTGGCACTCGGAGTGGCGCTGCAGGTTCCATCTGCTCATATCTGCAACACCGGGCGAATGGTGCGGAAGCTGTAGAACGCAAAAGCATTCACTGGGGTGTTAGTTGTTGATCGAGGACCTGCGTCGTTGCATACAATCCCTAGAGTAAGGAATCAAACGATCCAGCGGGCCGACAGTGAGGTGCATCTGCGCGACGGTATGGGATGGAAGGGCAGTGGATGGAAACTGCAAGCCTTCATGTCCCTGCCGTGCCTAGCCAAGCAGTGGGGTGCGCCAGGCTCCCTGAACACTGGACAGGGATAATAGAGTGGTTTTCCGAATGACTAATCCTTATTCACGTGAACGCGCGTCGGGGGGTTTTTTGGCAGGTGGATCCTTTGATTTGACCCTCGCGGCCGTGACGTCCTGCTTCCTGATGGTCTTCCCGCCGGACAACTGTGAGAGCTACGACTACCAGGATTACAGACCAAAATCTCCCAGTTAGGGCAGCCGGCACTGCGTCAATCCGAACTCCCTTGTTCGATCTGTGTCTCCGTGATTCCGAATAATAATAGGCAAGCCCGTTAGGGATGCATCTTTCCTCGACGCCAAAGTAGTTCGTCTCCGCCTCACACCTTTAGTGTCTTACCCGCCTCCAACTGGTCCCCTCGATATCGCGGTCATGTCCGACTCCATGGAAGTAGACCCGCCTCCTTCTGCTGGGATGAAGCGGAAGGCGGAGGAAGACCTAGACGAGTCGCGTACTCCCCGTCGTATTCGGGTGAGTTGCACTTGTCGCCTCACTTGGCTTGTCATCTCTCTGACATGCACTTGTAGGCGCTTGACCCCAATGTTGTCAACAAGATTGCCGCAGGCGAAATCATCGTTGCCCCTGTCAACGCCTTGAAGGAGTTGGTCGAGAATTCTGTCGATGCTGGCGCCACTGCTCTCGAGGTTCTGGTCAAGGAGGGCGGCCTCAAACTCCTCCAGATTACCGACAATGGCTGTGGCATTCAGGTATGCTTCCGTCCATGTCTTGAAGCTGTCCTGTCCCTCTGACCTCCTCGCAGAAAGAAGACTTGGAGATTCTCTGCGAACGCCACACAACCTCCAAAATCACCGCCTTCGAGGACCTCACTTCCATCGCCACCTACGGCTTCAGAGGTGAAGCATTGGCAAGTATCAGTCACATCGCCCACCTCTCGGTGACCACAAAGACCAAGGAGTCGGACTGCGCGTGGCGCGCCACTTACCTCGATGGAAAGTTGGCCCCTCCGAAACCCGGCCAGTCGGCCGAACCCAAGCCCACCGCCGGCCGCCAGGGCACCCAGATCAGCGTCGAAGACATGTTCTATAACATACCAACTCGTCGACGAGCTTTCAGGTCCCCAGCCGAAGAATTCAACAAAATCATTGACATTGTCGGTCGCTACGCCATCCACTGTAAGGGAGTGGCTTTCTCATGCAAGAAACACGGGGAATCCGGCACCAGCGTCTCCATTCAAGCATCCGCGAGCGAGGTCGATCGCATAAGGCAGATTTACGGATCCGGTGTGGCCAACGAGCTGATGCATTTCTCAACATCCGAAGACCGCTGGGGCTTTAAGGCCACCGGTTGGGCTACGAATGCCAATTACAACATCAAGAAAACCACCTTCCTCCTATTCATCAACCACCGATGCGTCGAGTCCACCAACATTAAAAAAGCTCTGGAGCAGTTGTACTCTACCTTTTTGCCCAAGGGCGGTCGGCCATTCATCTATCTCAGCTTGGAAATTGATCCCGCCCGCGTCGATGTCAACGTCCATCCGACGAAGCAGGAGGTGCACTTTTTGAACGAGGACGACGTTATCCAATCAATATGCGAGCACATTCGGTCGAAGCTCGCAGAGGTGGATACAAGTCGCACATTCATGACGCAAAGCTTGCTTCCAGGCAGTCATCTGATAGACACGGTCCCTCAATCCGAGGGCGAGGGCACGCCAGCAACTCCGGCTCGAGAAACACCGGGCTCGAAACGGCCGCGAAGGAATTCTAATAGCCTTGTCCGCACCGACACGAGCCTACGCAAAATCACAAGTATGCTCCCATCCGCTGCAGCAGCCACCCCCTCCAAGGCATCTCCTGCAGCAGCGGCTGGATCGTCTGACGAGAACGCCTTGTCTGCCTCGGAAAATATCCAGTACGAGATCGTGGACAGGCCTTTTGCGCCGATGAGGCTCACTAGCATCAAGGAGCTTCGTGCCGAGGTCAGAGAAGACATGCACAATGACCTCACAGACATCTTTGCTAACCATACGTTTGTCGGCATCGTCGACGAGCGCCGCCGCCTTGCCGCCATTCAGAGCGGTGTCAAGCTGTATCTCATTGACTATGGCCGAACCTGCTATGAGTACTGCTACCAAGTCGGCTTGACGGACTTTGGTAATTTTGGCACTATTCGTTTCACGCCACCCCTGGACCTGCGGGAGATCCTCCATGTGGGCGCCGAGATAGAGAAGAATAACATTGAGTCTCCCGATGAGGACTTTGACGTTGATGACGTTGTTGAAAAGGTCGCCGCCCAGCTGATCGAGCGACGCGAGATGCTTAGCGAGTACTTCTCGCTCGAAGTCAGCCCCGCAGGCGAGCTGCTCACCATTCCCCTCCTGATCAAGGGCTACACACCGGCCATGGTCAAGCTGCCCCGCTTCTTGCTGCGTCTGGGGCCCTGCGTCGACTGGGCCGAGGAGAAGTCGTGCTTCGATACGTTTTTGAAGGAGTTGGCGTCCTTCTATGTGCCTGAGCAGTTGCCGCCGACGGTTGGTGGGGAGGCTGATGAGGACGAGGGAGAAGGCAAGCTTGATGACCGAGTTGCGGAACGGCGGCGGAATGTGCGCTGGACCATGGAACATGTTTTTTTCCCCGCCTTCAAGGCGAGGCTGGTGGCGACGACGTCGTTGATGAAGGCAGCCGTGTTGGAGGTTGCCGACCTGAAGGGCTTGTATCGGGTATTTGAGAGGTGTTAGTCGAGCGGTTCTGGAGTGGAATTCGTTCATTGCACCAAGGCATGACGTGGTATCACAGTTCTACAGTCAATGGATGAATCAAAGAAGCAGCTCGAAACAACCCGAGCCGGCAATCACCCCCTTTAGCGCCATTTCTTCCATTTTGCTCTTTGCTTAGCCCGCGATGGATAAGTGATTTCAAGAACTTTACAGTCATGTCAGGAGTAAGGGAGTTCGTGGGTAAAGATTGAACTGGAGAAAGGGAAATCAGCAAAATCAGTTTTTCCTTTGAAGAGATCCTACGTTCTTCGTGTCTCTGTATATTCTTTCAGGCAATGCTGTTTCCTCTTCATTATTTTGTACCCTCATCTATCTAGCACTACTTCTAGTTACCGAATAGAATGGCCTCTTGGCGATTCTGGCCTGAAGTAGTAGGGGATGGCTGGGACGGCAAATGTTTCGTTTGAGCCCGATGCTGCAGTTCCCAATACTGGTTGTTGGGGTTGCTGTCAAATTGGCGTCGAAGCTTCCCTCTGAAGGTTGCGTCTGAACATTCTTAACATGCTTGCTGCGCCTGAGACTATGTCAGGAATAGACAGAGACTCTTTATCCATATGTTTTGCAACATGATGTTTCAAGTCAGTGCCTGGGAACGAACAGAAAGGACGTCTCGAATTATCTTCCGGGGGCATTGTTATACACAGGTCACCGCCGTGAGCGCTCTTGCTGTGGCTGGTCCAATCTGGCATATCCTTACAGAATCTTCTTAGTGGGCGTTGATAATTATAGTGCAGACACATATGAGGTCAGAGCATATGTCGTCTGAAAGGAGGTGTTTGTGAGTTTTAGCGTGGTATCTTGAATGGTACAAACTTTACCAACGGATCAAAATGGCGCCTTATTCGAAGGCAGCGTTTGCGCCGTTGGCATGTTCCGTATGGGAGCCGCTCATAGAATCTCTGAAGATCGCTCTGGGAATACAAACTGACTTTGATTGGGACATGGACCACCATCTGTGTCGGTTCGCCTGCCTCAGACTCAGATCAGGGGCAGTGCTGCTGACTGTCAAAGGCTGGGATCGTACGGAGTACTGGAGTCAACAAAGGTTACATGTAGGGGTTAATTGTGACTTGCATTTAAATCTATACCTCTTTTCCCTGCTGAGTGCTGTCTAGGTGTCCTTTAAAAGCCGCCTTTATTAGGCTAAGAATGTTTACATCCGGTAGGCCTACGCCAGTGCCCCCCTGACGCCCCAAGTGATGCGTCCCGGTCTCTGACCCAGACAGATAGTCAGGGTTCATTTCCAACCGAATCCACGTATATGAAATGATGCAACGCTTAAAGAAAACGGCTTTACCAACCATTGAGGCACGATTAGGCGGGAATTAGTCGTTGAGGAGTTTGACATCAAAACTCTCGTAGGGGCTTGAACTAGCAATGTGGGATAAAATAGACCAAGTATTCTCAATCTTGGTAACAATTCGTTTGAAGTCTGGGTGCTCCCCGGACAAGGTAAGCAGTTCCAGCTCATTGATTAGAGCCTTGCCAGTCAGCTGCTCGATGCAATAAAACGTCCTTCTGTCTTGCAATGCATGATCCTGCCAAGATGGTATCGGTTTTGGTGGGCCGTATTTCTGTGTCGTAGCTGAACGGGAATCGCGAACCGTAGCAGACCCTTGGAAAAGCTGGTTCTTGCAGTGTGGGCTGTTATAGCAATCAGCACTGTTTTGTTTGTTCGAGATACTTGCAATTTGGGATGCACCCACCATTGCACCCAAACCTTTGAAACCTGCAACAGCTTGGCTCCTCGACATGGCCGTCTGAGGCAGAGTCGCTGTTGAAGAGGATCAATGCTATCATCGAGTGCAATGCGAACCATCGACATGGCAATCTTGCAACCAGGCACAATGCTATTGGACCAGTTGCTTTCGTCAAGTATTTGATCGCTCTCTCCGATTATGACATACTGCCGACGGTCTATGAGTGGGACATTGCTGAATTGGCCGTGGATGAAAGCCTTCAGAACCTGCTCCAGAACCTTATCAGTATCGAGCATTGCAAAATCAGCTAGTCTCAAACTAACGTTAAAGGTTCGGAATGTGTCATATCTGAGTACCCGGCTCCGGTGCCTCCCATCGCGTCGAAGAAACTGATGTTATGTTTGGCCATGAGAAGCGGCGTCAACTGTTAAGAGGGTTTCACTAAGGCTGACAGATACAGACTTCGCCAGGCGTCTTGGATGAGTTCTCATGCATAGTTTCACACAGTTACGGAGGCGAACTTACAGTAGGTTGCAAAGGAACGATAGGAATAAGCGTTGTCTTCGGTGTGGTCAGATCTTGCAAAGAAATCTCATTGACTGGAAAACACTGAAAAACGTACAGGTCTTGAAGAGAAACTCGTTCGTCATCGTCTAAATTGATGCATTGTTCGGACCAACGAATTACTTTGGCGCAATCCTCTCCGGTAGATAGTGCGATGGAGGATTGTCGAAACTCCCGGGCTTCACGAATAGCTTGCTTGAACTCCTGTAATGCCATAAGGGTAAGCTCTCGAAGCTCCGACCTTTCCGTTGCCGATACAACAGATAGGCAATCAAACTTCTGTTGCAGGACCTCATTGATTGCTGTGACAAGATCTGTGCGACTAAAATCCCGAAGTACAGAGCGCACAGTTCCTGGAATGCCCTTTGCGCTGTGACATATAAATTCTCTAGGGAGTGGTCAGCCGTGGCTCATTCATGGTTTATCATGGACTAGTTCCTGGGACGTACAAAGATGACTGAATCATGAGAGTGTTCAGGATCTGTACGTGAGAATTGACTCGTTTTCTCAAGACAAGAACGTTCTTGGAGCAAAGGAAGTGCCACTTGATCTTTGGCACAATGTGTCGGAACCGACCATCCTTGACTGTGTTCCCCAACCTCTTATCATACTTCTGTGTTGAATTGATGAATTCGTCGACAGGAGGTTTGATGAGTTTCACTTGCTCCCGGATCTCGCTGTTGTAGGCCGGATAGTCGTTCCTGTCAGAGAAGGCCTTGAGACGATCTAGGATTTGCGTCAGCGACTTGAGGAAGGCGACAGCATCGCGGTAGTCTCCAGAAGCACCGCTGCAGTCGTCAAGGGCTTGATACACGTCGCAGAGCAGCTTGGTGGCGGCAGCGATGCCGCCGGCCGACCAGCCAAACGATATGGCTACAATCGAATGGAAGATTGCAATGAGATGGATGACTGGTGTAATGATTCAATACGGAGAAAGGAGGGGTTTTGGGAGAAGAAGAAAGCCCGTCAGGGAAGATGGACAACCGAGAGAAATTGTCTTTCAGGCTTGTCTCTTGCCCAACCACATTCTGCATCTTGCAGAGACCAATCGAGACTGCAGATGTGCGCGGCTCAGCCACAGCTGATGATTCGTCAAGGGATATTACTGCCACTACGATGGCTGGCAAAGAGTGTTAGAAATGAGAACCGCAAGGCAGAATTGAAGGCGGTCCGTAAACATTGGAGTATAATGAAGCCATGCCGACTAGAAAGCGCCCAAAATGGCATGCCCAGGCCCTCAACCCAAAAAGTCACATACTCTGTCAACTCAGAGTTGCTTGGCAGCTAGAAGGGAGGACAACAATTATTTTATATCATAACAACAAGCTTGGGCACTGAAACCCTACGCCTCGGTGTTCACACAAGCTCACGCGTAGGTCCAAAGGTGATATTCAAGTAGAAAGTAGACGGGCCGGGAGTGGATCCCGAGCGCCGATCGCCGTTGCCGTACAGTGTCCGCGTTGTTCTCAAACGTTCCATTCGCTGCGTTGTCGCACCGAGCCCCGCACGGTGCCCAGATCGCATCATACATGGCGCTTGTGATCAAATCCGGGGGCGTTCCAAGACTTGATCCCCCAAGTCGCCCGCGTCAGTATACACCAGCGTTCTGAACCCCTCCCTCGGGATTGTGAGCTGTTCCTCACTCAATTGGATCAATTGCAAGTGACAATGGCATCGAGGCCCGACATTGACGATGAGGATCTCACCTTCCACTGCTGCGCGCCTCTTCGCGCCTCTTCGATGCTGAGGCCCATTGAAGTCGGCGATATTGGGTGAGTAGCCTCCCCTACCTAGGAACAAGCTGTGCTCCGCGCCCAATCCTTCCACCGGATTGAGCGAGGACACCTCTGACGTTATGGACGTGACAGCGGCCCAGGCCACGCCGGCAAATCGACGTTCCTCGCCTGGCCCATCTTCGGCCCCCTCCTCTTCCAGAATGAAACCAGCGACGCGCGGGACCACTGCGCGAATGAGAGGAGTACGTCGCACAGCTCACACCCGAATCCCGACCCTCGAAAGAATGAGTGACGGACACAACTAACAACGGCAATCGTCGCCGCGCAGCGTTCCTCTCCTACCTCCGCCTCTCCGTCTACATGTCCATCGTCGCCGTCGCCATCGTCCTCTCCTTCCACCTAAAGTCGGAGCCTAGCCAGCTCGAGCTGCGCATGGCCAAGCCTCTGGGCATCATCTTCTGGATCCTCGCCGTCGCGTGCCTGTGCCTCGGCATCGGCAACTACATCAGTGAGTCTCCTTCGCCATCTCTTCCCACAGCTTCCCCCGTCAATGGCAACGAGAGAGACCGAAAACCAGGGACCAGGACACACGCCTGACACGTTCAGAAACCGTAAACAAGTATAGTCGGAAAGCCGCCATCGTACAGACGGGTTGGCGGACGCAACTTGTAAGTGGTCACCCGGAACCCGGGATTTGGTGTGCTTGTGTTGGCCTACTGACAGATGCAGGTCCTTTCCATCGTGGCCCTCAGCATCATCGGGACCTGCGTTGTGCTGCTAGTCGTCGCCAAGATCACCGCCAGCACCCAACAAATAGACTCGTCAAACAGCGCGGCCTATGTAGCAGGCCACGTTTTGTAGTGAACAACTCAAAAAATCTCATTTGCCTATTGTATTTGCCGGGTTCCAAATGTTTCGTCTCGCCATTACCAGTCCATGCTGTTGTTTATCCCGTGGGTATATAAAGTCTATATCAAATACAGTCGGCACGAGACCTCTCCTGCCGCGGGGCCTGAAATGTAATCCTGTGAATGACGCCTCTCGCATTACCCCTTGAGTTTGCCGTCGGGCCTGCAAAACAGATCCTTTGCAGACCCGTCAATGTGATCCCTCTGCGACTCTTCTTTGCTGCAGCCGCCAACCTCCTCGCGCCACGTGAACATGTACTCCACCGCCATCTGGTACACGTGCCGCAGATTCGTGCCCTCGCCCTCCCAGTCGAGCAGCGGAAGATCGTTGGCGGGCGTGAGACTGTTGTTGTTCCGGAGCGTGTCCAGCGTCTGCACCAGCGACCCGAAGCCGCCTGCCGACTCTGACAGACTCGCCGTCTTCTTCCTCTCGCTCTCCTCCGTCTCGTATTCCTCGGGCGCCTGATAGAGTTCGCGGTGCACCGTCGCAAGGGTGGCCGCCGTCTCGGCGCTTGGGTACAGCGTGAAATAGCCTCGCAGCCGAGAGAGGCGCAAGACGTGCTCGAGCCAGGACGGGAACCTTTTGCTCACAAACTTCTCCGTCACCAGGTCCGGCGGCGGGTCGGCTCCGCGCGCATGCTGCAGCGCATCGACTTCCGACACGAGACCGTGCAGCTCGATCCACCTGTCGCCAAAGATGAGCATGGCGTTGCTGTTGGGCGCCTGCCATAGATACGACGTCTCTTCACCGTCGCCATCGTCACCCTCTCTCGTCGGCCGTACGAAGTCTACCTTGCCGTTCAGGTACGTAGAGGGCGACGCCATGCTGATGCCGAGAATACGCTGGTCCCATTTCTGGAGCATCGACAGGCGCGAGTAACGGTACTCCAACATGGTGTACTTGAGATCTAGGCTTGGTCAGCGAAACTACAGAACAACCGGTCGTGCGCCAAAACTCACAATGGAAGAAGCCCGGCGCAAGCTCGGCTTGCGGCGACAGGACAAGGATGTGAGAGTGCCTGGGCGTCGTTGGCCAGAATGACTCCAGGAAGCGGATGGAGCTCTCTTCCTCCGTCATGCGCTGCCGAGGGATCCTATGCCTCAGCGAGAGCATCTGCACGCGCCCGGGGTTCTGGACGTGCGGCGGCGGCCACCGAAACGTCTCGAGGAACTTGGCGGTCGCCGGCTCGACATCCTGCGGAAGCTCGATTGTGAGGTGGGGGATCGTGAAGGCGGTAAAGTCGGCGTCGTTGAGAGACTTGAGCAGCCGCAGCAGACTGCCGGAGCCGCTGGCCGGAGCCTGAATCAGGATGTCGACGCTGACCTGGTTCCACACCGCCAACGAGGCGCTGTCCAGTTTCGCCAACCATGAAAGGTGTGTCCATGCATTTGCCGGGAGCTCGATGAGCGGAGTGTTGAGACGTCTGGTCTCGTCTCTCATGCCCTTCATGAAGGGTAGGTACTCGTCATCGGAGCCGTCGACTATGATGGCTTGCGGGTGCATGTAGGTATAGATGTGGCGCATTGCGCGGAGGGCGGACTGCTCGAGTCGCGCATCGGTCGAGAGGGTCGGGAAGTCGGCTCGGGCATCGTGCCAGATGATGTAACAGGTATCGTCCACACCATTGATCTTCTTGAGTTCGTCCACATCCATGTCGCTCCTGCTCATGACTGCGAAATGCACATAGCTCCTCAGCTCGGTTCCCATCTTGCAGGCGAAGGGCAGCAGGTTCGAGAGGCTACGCAGGTTGGAGGCGGCGAAGAGGACGTTTTGGTTGACGGGCTGGCTCCCCTTGGTGGCGGCGATGGCGTGCAGCGAGGTAGCGAGATGGTGGAACTTGACGGGGCCGTTGTAGTCGTGGTGCTCGGTGCCTTGCGGAGCCGGCTGGCCCTTGGGTATCCGGCCGTTCTTGCGGAGCGTGGCATCGCGAGACTCTCGGGGGTCGTCGGGGTACGGGTAGATGTAGTTCGGAGGTCTCTGGCCGAAACCGAGGGAGAGATCGCTCAGCAGATACCAGAGGCCGCAGGCAATGAGGAGGAGGTAGGCCACGCGTCGAAAGAGGCGGCGGGACGGCATCTTGGCGGCGGGCTGCCATTGGGGGTTGCGGTTTCGAAGCAGGATGGGGTTCTTGATGGCGCTGGCGCCAGCGCGGTGGTGGTCGTCGTCCTTCTTGCCCATCTCTTCATCGCTGAGGAAAACGAGGGAGCGTAGTTGGCGCCATGGATCCGGCATGCTTCTCTATCGGGGGGGGGGGGGGGGGGGGGGGGAGGGGACGGAGAGGTGCAGCGGTGGGCGGGACGAGAGAAGAGGAGAGAAGTGTAGGGGACAAGAGTAAGGTTCGCGGGAAGCACACGTTCACCAAGGTGACTGCAGCAGGTTGGCTGGTTGCAAGTGAAGGGGGGAGGGTGATCCGAGGGTCGGGCGTCTCACATCTTCCCGTTGACGTCGGTGTTGGCTGCGTATCCGGCAAAGACCAAGATGCAGCAGAGGAGAACGAGGACGAGGACGGGACAGCGCAGCAGTTGAAACCGAAAAGAAGCGGACGGGTCAACGGGATGGCGGGATGGGATGGATGGGATGCGATGGGATGGTCGCAGTGGGTTGTCGCTATGTACGTAATGTGGGAAACAAGCAAAAGGTGGTCCCCTTTTCCTGGCCGTCCTCCCCTTCGTGTTCCCCTGGTGCCGGCAATTGATCAGCCAGACCAGATCCAGGGTCGCTGTGCTCCTTGCTGGGCCGGGCTGGGCTGGGCTGTGCAGCCGTGTTGCAGGTGTGAGCCAAGAGCTTGAGTGCTGTGGGTTCTCGAGTGTTGGCGGTGGATCTGTGGAGCTGTCCAGGACTCCAGGTGTGGTAGAGCTTGGATGGGAGGGACCTCTCGAGCGGAGCAGAAGCTGGGGCGTTGTGCTTTCAGTGCACTGGTCTTGCCACACGTGTAGGGACGGAGTTGTAGATGTGGTTGCATGTGCGAGAGACCGAGGGGTGAGGGAAGAGGAAATGTGGCATCAAGTGACATTAAGTGAGTTCGATTAAGGGGACGCGACCCAGTCGCCCATTCAGAAGGGGAGGGAAGCACGGACGAAGAAGCTTAACATTGTCCGGCTTGGCGTCCGTCCGCATCCGTCCCAGGAAACTGACAGCAACGGCATCCGCAGTGTTTTTGAGTGAGACCTGATGGATCTATCTTGTCGGCTGGCTGGTGCCGGTACTGGTGCTGGTGTTGGTGCTCTCAGTGTCTCATCCACATGGACAATGACGAGGATATGTCTGTATGTAGTGCGACCATGTATGTATTGTTCCTGAACCCAACCTTAGCGTGGCGCACTCAATTATACTACATATGTACGTACTGCCATAGTACGTAGGCAGGTACCGGCAAGCGGGGAAAGGCCCCCGCCCGGACTCTCTCTATCTCTCTCTCTTCGTCTGCCTGGCTGCAATACACTAGGCAGTCCCACTGTCAACGTGAGCAGGTACGTACCCTGCCATCAATGACTGACCTCAAATGCGGGGCGCCGGGCGGGAACTCGAGCCACACTGTGGCTACCCGTAGCAACGCCTTTTTCGAATTTTTTCTCAAGTGAAGCATTGGACTTGAACAGGGTCGGTCACGAAAGCAGCCCAGGCACATAATTTACGAGTAAGAAGCCATTTCCAAAACTCCAATTTTTGTCTCTCCCTCAGCCTTTGCATCCGCACTCAACAGACGTAAACATCACTACCGCATTCATACCCCAGAAACACTTTGCGCAACATGGGCAAGTCAAGACGAAACAGAGGCGGCCAAAGCCATCGCAAGGACCCCATCGCCAAAACCGTCAAGCCGCCCTCCGACCCCGAGCTCGCCGCCCTCAGGGAGAAGTCCATTTTGCCCGTCATCAAGAACCTGCAGAGCTCGGAGCCCAAGTCGCGCACCGCCGCCGCCGAGGCCGTCTCAAATCTCGTCTCCAATGAAAAGTGCCGGAAGTTGCTGCTGCGCGAGCAGATTGTCCACATCGTCCTCAATGAGACCCTCACCGACGCGAGCCTCGACAGCCGCGCCGCCGGATGGGACATTCTGAGGGTCCTCGCCGAGGAGGAGGAGGCCGACTTTTGCATTCATCTGTACCGCCAGGATGTTTTGAGTGCCATGGGTTTTGCCTCTCAGACTGTGAGTTACCCCCGCGCACTAATACGACTAGTTCAATGAGACGCAGTGGTGCTGACCATTCCCAGATCCTCGAAAATCTCACCAAGAGTCCTGCTATGAGCAAAGGACAGTTGAAGGCTACCTGGGCCATCACCGAGCCTGTCGTTGCCCTTTTGTCCGCCCTGGCTGAGGCCCAAGATGAGATCCTCGAGGCCATTGTGGCTATCGAGGGCATCAAGAACCTCCTTTTTGCCATCATCGCTTACGCCGACTCACCTCCAAGCATCTGCCTCGATGCCCTCTCCGCCCTCCTGACCCTGTCTGAGGACAACACCCGTCTCGCGCAGGACGTTGTCGCTGACGACAGCCCCAAGCCCCTCACAGCCTTGCTCAAGCTGCAAGGTGTACCTGGCGCCAAGGGTGTTTTGGCATGCGGTGTTTTGCACAACATTCTCACTACTCTGCAATGGTTCGACGGCACGCCCGACCAAAAGAGCCTGTCCGATGCATCCCTGATCCCGACCTTGTCCTCGGCACTCAGGGACGCCAAGCAGGAGTCTGACCTGCCGCCCAAGAGCCAGTGGTCCAACCCGACCGAGGTCCTTCAGCTGGCCTTGGAGATTCTGGCTGACATCGGAACGACCCTTCAGCAATCTATGCGGGGCGACAGCAAGAAGGACGGAGAGGAGTGGAACGGAATTGGCGACGAAGACGACACCGCCATGGACGAGGACGACAAAGACATGGAGCAGGGCTCCGGCGAGGAGGACAACGCCGAGGACGACGACGAGGATGACGAGTCAATGGACGAAGACGCGATGCAGGCCGACATGGACTTGGTCACTGGCGTGGACGATGACGACGAGGAGGAGGCAAGAATGGACGACCTGCCGACCCTGCGTGAGTTGGTACAACAAGCCGTCCCGCAGCTCATCAGCCTCGCGACCGCGTCTTCGCAGTCCGAGGATGCCGCACAGCTCCAGGCGCATGCCCTGTCCGCCCTCAGCAACATCGCCTGGTCCATTTCTGTTTTCGACTTCTCCGAAGACCACAACGCCGCCATCCTGAAGGCGTGGACACCCTCCGGCAAGGCCATCTGGGGCAAGGTCATTGTCCCCATTCTGGCCGCCAACACCGCCGACGTCGAGCTGGCGACCAAGGTGACCAGCCTTGCTTGGGCCGTCTCCCGAAGCTTGCCTGGGCGTGTGCCCCTGGGTGGCGACGAGCACAACAAGTTCATGGCCCTCTACCAGGCGACAAAGGGCCTTGCCCAACCGAACGCGAACGGCACCAACGGAGACAAGGCCAAGGACGAGGAGCCCGAAGACCCGTTCCAGGGTCTCGGCGTCAAGTGCATTGGCGTTCTGGGCCAGCTGGCACGGGACCCGGCCCCCATCGCACTCAACAGGGAGATTGGCGTCTTCCTCATCACCGTTGTCAACGCACTGCCCGAAACCCCCGCCGCCGACGCCGTCGAGGCTCTCAACCAGCTGTTTGACATTTACGGCGACGAAGAACTGGCGTGCGACAAGGAGGTCTTCTGGAAGGACAACTTCCTGCAGCACCTCGAGGCCGCTCAGCCCAAGGTCAAGGCGTTGGTGAAGACGATTGACAAGAGGACGCAGCCCGAGCTGCGTACTCGCGCCGACGAGGTTGTCTTGAACCTCGGACGGTTCATCCAGTACAAGAAGAAGAAGCAGCCATGAAAAGGGGGGGAGTTGACGGAGAAATGGGCAGCTAAAACTTTTCTAAACTGGTGGGGTGTCCATATGCTTTGGCTTATCACGAAGGCTCTCAAGTTTGTTGGGAGAAATCGGAGAATGGACGCGTGGGCAGGATGTCAAAAGGTACATGTTTTAGAATCATGAAAGCATATTCACGAGACAACGGACAGGAGGGAAAGGTGCTTACCTGGCTGGATGAAGCCCTCGAGCGGGGATAGAAAAGTTTTTTTTGGGGGGAGGACACGAGCATTGCACTTCTGACATAGTTAGGGACATAACCGCGGTGTTCAATATCAAACTCACTGGCTCGTTGATGTAACCATGCTGCTGCGCCCCGCGTGATCGAGAAAAAAAAACCCGTAGTAGTCGAGACCTGTCACGTTATAACGAAGACCCCTTTCCCAAAAACACCCGCCACCCGTAGAAGAAATATGCAAACCCGTGGAACCCATGCAACCGTCACCGCAGGCTTCAGCCGATGGGCTTCATCTTCTTCTTCTTCTTCCCGTCGCCCGACTTGCCCTTTTGGAAATCCCGCCAGCTGCTGATACGCTGGTCCCGCGTGGCCTCCCAGTCCTGCTCGTGCTGCCTCTTGCGCTTGCGCTGCTCAATCTCCTCCTCCTCCTTCTTCTGCTCGCGGCCCTCCTCCTGCATCTGGGCCTTCATCTGCCGCCGCCGGCGGTGCTCGTTGTCGATGAGCACGTCTCGCGCCTTGTCGCGCCACTTTTTCGCAAACTCGTCCGTCTTGAGCTCGGGGCTGTCGACGGTCCACTTGTTTTCGCGGATCAGCAGCATGCGCGCGTCCGCAATGGCCTCGTCGAGGCGCTCGCGGTGCTTCTCGTCCATCAGCTCCGTCTGTGCCTTCTTGAGACGGTCGAAGGCGTCCGGCGCCAGCGGGTTCTTTGTCTTATCCGGATGGATCAGGAGGGACTTTTTGCGGTAGGTGACTTTGATGTCGGACTCGGGGACACCGGGCTGGAGATCGAGGACGGCATAGGCGTCTAACCTGAAGGCCTTGAGGATTCTGTCGATTTCCGCATCCTGTTCAAGGGAGGGGGCCGCTTGTTAGTACTGGTCTTGTGACTTTGCTGCCGGGCTTGTTTGCCGGCGCATTTACCTTGTCAAACTCCTTTGCCTCAAGCTCGAGCGCGTCGAGCGCATCCTTCTCCTCTTTGACGTCTGGCGTTGCCATGACGAGGTTCACGGTTCTATTAATCGGGATCTAGCACACGTGTGTCGTGTTGAAAGGTGACTTGGTGGTGGTGGTTTTGTAGGGTGGAAGGTTAGCGAGGTTGAGCACGAGGCGAAGGTGCTGTGACAAGCCACATGGGCCCGCTGAAGATCCCTGTTGATAAGCACAAAACCCACGAGGCTAAGATAAGATAGCGATAAGAAATTTCTCTCCCGCCCGCCCAAATTTTCGAAGACGGGTTCGCCAGCTCTTGGGTGCTCGCTCTGCTTGTTTCGCAACTCGCTGAAAACCATTTTCACGGGCCAATCGACCGCACACACGGCCTCGCCAGATTTTCCAAGTCACGATGCCTCGTCGCGCAGCATCGCCCGCGCCCTCCGAGGGAGAGGTCGACATTGCCGACTCTCTCTTCGCCACGAACGCCAGCGACAACGGGAGCGACGATGGACAGAACGCCGGAGGCTTCGACTTTGACGTTGACGGGATCCTGAACGGCAACGAGGGAGGGCAGGCCGAGGACGATGGCGACGAAGCCTTCATTGCGCTGCAGCAGGCAGCTTCGTTCCGCAAGTCGTCCAACCTCAAGGGAAAATCAGTCAAGAAGGGCGGTGGTTTCCAGGCCATGGGTATGTCGATGCAGGCGTGCCTATCGTTTGTCGGCGCGAATCTAACCAGCCCACAGGTCTGAATGCGAACCTCCTCCGCGCGATTACGAAAAAGGGATTCTCCGTCCCCACGCCGATTCAACGAAAGACGATCCCTCTGATCTTGGACCGCAAGGATGTCGTGGGCATGGCGAGAACGGGTTCCGGAAAGACTGCGGCCTTTGTCATTCCCATGATCGAGCGCCTCCGCGCCCACAGCGCAAAGGTCGGCACGCGCGCCCTCATCATGTCGCCGTCTCGTGAGCTTGCGCTCCAGACTCTCAAGGTTGTCAAGGAGTTCAGCAAGGGAACGGACCTGAAGTGCATCTTACTCGTCGGTGGTGACAGCATGGAGGACCAGTTCAGCATGATGTCGTCAAACCCGGATATCGTCATCGCCACGCCCGGTCGTTTCCTCCATCTCAAGGTCGAAATGGGTCTGGACCTGTCGTCCATCAAGTACGTCGTCTTTGACGAAGCCGATCGTCTGTTCGAAATGGGTTTTGCTGCCCAACTTACCGAGATTCTTCACGCTCTCCCTCTGTCGAGGCAAAGTCTGTTGTTCTCTGCGACGTTGCCGGCCTCCTTGGTCGAGTTCGCCAGAGCTGGTCTGCAAGACCCCAACCTTGTGAGATTGGACGCCGAGACCAAGGTCTCCCCCGATCTCGAGAGTGCCTTCTTCTCCGTCAAGGGAGCCGAAAAGGAGGCTGCTCTGCTTCACATCCTCAGTGACCTCATCAAGATGCCGCAAGGTACACCCGACGGAATTCCCCTGGATGTTGTGCCGTCGAAGAAGCGGAAGCGCGAGGGCGAAGGCAGAGGAAAGCCGACAGAACACTCAACCATTATTTTTGCAGCTACGAAGCATCACGTCGAGTACCTGGCGCAGCTGCTGACGAAAGCCGGTTACGCTGTGTCGTACGTCTACGGTTCGCTCGACCAAGAAGCCCGTCGCATCAACACCGAAAACTTCCGCAACGGACGAGCCAACATCCTGGTGGTGACGGATGTCGCGGCCAGAGGTATCGATATTCCCGTGTTGGCCAACGTCATCAACTACGACTTCCCTCCTCAGCCCAAGGTCTTTGTGCATCGTGTCGGACGTACGGCTCGTGCTGGTCAGAGGGGTTGGGCTTACAGCATTGTGCGCGAACTCGACACCCCTTACCTTCTGGATCTCCAGCTCTTCCTCGGCCGCAGGCTGGTGGTGGGCCACGAGATCGAGAGCCCATCCTACGCCGAGGACGTTGTCGTTGGTGGACTTCGACGTGACAGAATCGAAATCCAGATGGAGTGGATGGAGAAGGTTCTGAAGGAGGAGTCTGACATTGAGGCCCTACGCAAAGTCTCTACAAAGGCCGAGAAGCTGTACCTCAAGACCCGCCACTCTGCGTCCAGCCAGAGCGCAAAGCGAGCTCGCGAGCTGGTAGGAACCAAAGGATGGCATTCGCTGCATCCTATTTTTGGCGCGGACATCAACAACGCCGAACAGGCGCGCAACGAGATGATGGCCAAGATTAGCGGTTTCAGACCAGCCGAGACCATTTTCGAGATTGGAAGGGGAGGAAAGGGCTCAAGCAATGAGGCGGTGGAAGTCATGAAGCAGCTGAGGAAACGCATTACACCACACCGTGGTAACAAGGAGAAGAAGGTCGACTCTGACGACGAGATGGAGGACTTGGGTGACGCCGCGAACGACTCAGATGACGGATCCGACGACGAGGCGAATGCTGATGCCATGGAGGCTTACAACTCTGACGGCGACGAAGACGACGATGACGGGTTCGAAGTCACGGTTACCAACACTGGCGACAAGAAGAAGAAGCCGGATTCCTGGAAGGATTCGGAGGTCTTCATGTCATACACGCCGAGAACAATCAATGCCGCCGAGGAGCGCGGTTACGGTGTCACATCAGGCGCCCAGATGTCAAGTTTCGTCGAAGCGGCCCGCGACCTCACGATGGATCTCACAAACGACGATACGGCCAAGGGCTTTGGCGAGCCGTCGCGCGCCAAGGGCATGCGCTGGGACAAGAAGCAGAACAAGTACGTGGCGCGCCAGAACGACGAGGACGGTTCCAAGGGCTCCAAGTACGTGCGCGGCGAGAGCGGTGTCAAGATCGCAGCCAGCTTCCAGAGCGGACGTTTCGACCGATGGCGCAAGGCCAACCGCCTAGGACGGATCCAGGTGGGCGGGCTAGAGAAGGCCAACGTGCCGGAGCTGCCGGCGAACCACAAGTACAAGCACAAGCAGGAGAAGGCACCGAAGCAAGCAGACAAGTTCCGCGACGACTACGAGGTGCGCAAGAAGCGCATCGCCGAGGCCAAGGAGAAGCGCGTGGGCCAGTACAAGGACGGTGCGGGCAACCGCAAGGAGATCAAGGGCGTCGACGATATCCGCAAGGCGAGGTGGGAAAAGCAGAAGCGCATGGAGAAGAACGCGAGGCCGGCGCGGAGGAAGTAGGCTCTGTAACGGTCTCAGGAGAGGAACTATGTTGGCATTTAATCAAAAAAGCGTTGTGTATGAATGAGGATTTCGTTTCTATCGCTCACTGTGCCATGATATCCGAGGCCACGCCTCCTGTAGTTCTCGGTCGTCTCGTGAACGATGCCCGGCATGCGGGCTCTGTGCCGGTGTTTCCACCCCTACAATGCCGGAGCCGACGGACCCAAACTTGTTTGGAAGATTGTGACGGTGACGTAAGGCAGGTCTGGCTCCCGTTCGGCGTTGGTTGCAATATTGACAAAACAGGATATCGGCATGGCTTCCTGAGCATAGCCTCCCTCCCTTTAGTACACAACAACAATTTTTCTGAGTCGGAAAGTATCAGCTTCTTCATTTAATTACCAAACATTACGCAACAATGGCGAAACCAACCGCCCGGAAACGGTGTCTTCTATGGGACTACACCAACACGCGTGACCACCCGGACGCAATCGATCAGCTCTTCCCGCCCACCTCGACGGTCTCGCCGGACTCCTCCGCGGCAAGCACAACTACCACAGCCGCGTCCCCGTTCAAATCAGTCCACAATTGGAATACCTGGTACCCGCCCGAGCTCAAGGGCCGCCTGCCCTTCCGGCCCATGATCCGCACGCGGGCGCAGCTGGACGCGGAGGAATGGGACTGGATCCGCGACTCGGACGCCGAGGTCGTGCACTACCTCAATGAGCCGGAGCGGCAGGGCATCTCGCCGCGGGACGCCGCGGCGTGGTGGCTGTGCAAGGTCGTGCCGGAGCTGCGGGACAAGAGGGGGAAGAAGCTCGTCGGGCCGGCTTGCGCGAGCGACGAGGCCGGCGAGAGGTGGCTTGCAGAGTTTATGGAGGTCGTCTGCGGCGACGGCGACGGGGTTACGAAGGGGGGTGGGGACAAGGGGCCGGACTTTCTGGGGGTCCATTATTATAGCGGCGACGTCGAGCATGCCAAGCGCTACATCACGGCCATGTGGGAGCGGTATCGGCTTCCGCTGAACGTTTCAGAGATTGCATCCATCAGCCGCGACGAGAAGGAGGTTGAGCGATTCACGGTCGAGTTGAGCGACTGGATGGACGAGAAGGAGTGGATCGATGAGTACGGGTGGTTTGGGTGTATGGCGCATTGCGCTGATGACTTTGTTAGTCCCGCTGCGCAGCTGATGGACGAGAAGGGAGGGTTCAACCCGCTCATGAGGCGGTTGATGAGGCAGAAGTCCCCGGATTGTGGTTGAAGAGAGATGGGTTGGGGGGCAGAGAGAACGAGAGAGAATGCGAATAACTGGTCAATGGAATGTTGTAAGTAAGGTCGACAATCACTCAGGACATGACTCTTGAGAATCACACCCTCGGGTTGCAGTACAATGACTTACCTACAAGGGCTCTATAACATTATGACTTTTGATTGTATAAGCAAGAGAAGGTAATGCATTGCCTGAAGATTCAATGCAAAGCCGCCGTTTTATGAAGTCATGGTCTTTGCTGAAGCCAGATACATGTGTGACTCTCCCACTCAGGAACTCAGCTCCCTGCTTCGTTTTCGTTCTCTGTTTCCTCCAGTTCCTCATGTTCGTCGTTAACGCTATTATTTTCCGGGCGGTTTCCTTCTCGAAGATGTCTTCTGGCCTCCATGAGGGCTTTGCCCAGCCGATTTTCACCCCAGTTTTCCCGATTGGCCATGGCGTTCTTTTCGGTGTATCCGATCCCCCATACGCGATCACGGCTCGCCGCCTCGACCAACAATTTGTTACCGGTAGCCATCAGCACCGCCTTTAGATGCGGGTTTTGGTCAAATTTGGCAACATTCCCCATTTCCACGACCCGGCTCTTGACTTCGTCCCACCTCGTATCCTCGAAGTCCACTGTGCCCTTGCCCAGCTTCTTCTGCTCTTTTGGGTCCTTCTCGTTTATGATCCGCGCCTGCCGTAGAGTGTCGCCAAAGCAGGCTGCTTTGCAATACATCATAAACTGCTCGGCGCAGTTAACGATGACGCTGCCGTGGGGGTCGTCTAAGTCGACTTCCCGGCCGAGAAGGGCGGATATGTCACGCTTTGGGACAGTGAAGGCGGATGGATGCCATTGGCAAAACTCGCGTCATTTGTGTCCTGCATGAGGCAGGTAGAAGAAGACAGGCCGATCTCCTTCTGGTGCCATGGGTCTGGGACTACATTTGGGTTGACAGTGTGTGTTATTTCGGCCAGGCTTTTTGGTCTTGGTCGGAGACATGGTGTCGCTCGGTAAGTGTAATTATTAAAGTATATATACTAATAACCAGGAGTTTACCCTCTACTTTTTCTTTCTTTTGGGTAGAAAATTTATAATCTCAAAGAAGTCAGGGAATGTGATGTCCCTTTTCTCAAATACGTATCTAGACTGCGCCGCAGTTGACAAGAGATATTCGAGCTCGATTTGGACTATGAATTACAGCTCATCCGCGCGGCTGTACTGCTTTCGGAGATGGTTGCCTGCTCGATGACTCCTGGCCGCCCATCAGGCCAACCGGGTTGCGTACCAAAGCCACACTGATGCATGCTTATCTAAAGGATATGAGTCGAGGCCTCTTATCAAAACGATCACAAAGTAGAGCGCAGTCTGACTTCATGATCAAACGGCGGAGCGATTTGGGATGTAATTAAGGACCTTGAAGCGCTGCTATTTGATCTCAAGACCAGACATACTCCCTGTTAGCTTTCGACACGGCGATGGTAAACGCTGAGTTCTTTACCTTTCCCAAAGACGAAAAATAGCTGCAGTATGTGAATTGGGGTAACAGTGCCAGGTTTTTATCACATTCTAATGCTCCAAAAGCAAGGGGTCATGAAGAAGTGGCTTATGAATATGCGCAGCGAATCATGTTGCATTTGATGACAGTCTGAAACAGTCAACAATAATTAAACAGCTGGTTTAATGACTGATTAAACATCTTTTTGACCGCAAAAAAACAAGAGATAGGACTATTCAGAGAAGATTCCTGAGCTATATGACTGTCCAAGGGAGTAGAACGAAGACGGTTGCAGTGATTATCAGCACAACGACCCTGATGATTTAGGAATCTACAAAAAAATGCTCCAGATGATGCCTTGGCAGATCTAAATACCAAATACGTCATGATTCTCCTACCGTTACCGTTAAGGTTTATCGACTGCCTCGCAAAACAAACAGCTAACGAAGCGGGGAAGACGGAAATGCTTGTCACCAGCTCATACCAGACACGCGAAGAGCTGACAAAGTCCACCACTACAGAAAGCCCAAGGTGTGTGAGCAGACAAGGTCCGAACGAGAATTCGGAAATGTTTGCAGTCATAGGTTCGGGATGTCGGACTAACGGCACGGGCCAAACATTCAGCAAACGTTCGCTGCCACCACGGAGACATCGCGAATCTCAGCACACAGGTATAGGAACTAATACCCTTTGAGATCTTTCACTAACCTTGAGAGGTAGAGAGATTTGATTTAATGAAATAACGTTGGAAATGTAAAACCTACAACAGGATGCTCATTAATCCTGGTCTTGGCTCCGCGACCGCGCTACAAGTATTGGCAGTAATCAACCCACTCTGTCTTGGCCACCGCAGATTATACGGGGAAAACGGTGACGGAGGGGACTTAGGAGTTCTGATCATTAGATTCAACGGAGCATTGTATGTTTCAGCTCTAGTTGGGCGCTGCACGAGTCAATCGTATGGAGCTGGGAATGACTCGCAGGCTTCGGATCCCTGAGAGCATCACTACAAACGAGCTCCTTGGAGGGCAGTGCGCTGGAACCGGAGTCGACGGCAACTGGGGCAAACGGATAGGATCCATACATTGTCACTTGTAAAGTAGAGCTAACCGGATAAGCGTAAATCATAGGGGAGAAAATGAGACGACATACCCACAGGCACATGTGGTGGGTAGCTCATTTTTCGGGACGCTCCCGAGAACTCGTTGGCACGTTGTAACAGGCCCTCAAACGGAAAGGATTGGGTGGCATTCAGTCGCAAGTATAATGGTAATAATTCATTAGTTTTTGGTATTTGAAGTCGAACGTACAGACAAGGTGAGGTGCTTGAGACACAAGAAGACATCATTTCTAATTCGTATCTAGTGAGCTCATAACTCACAGCCATCATCATGACCATCGTCCGCCCAGCCACATCCCAACTACCCATGCCAAGGACGTCCTGAGGAATACACGCATACATCCCATGACTCAATCATGATCGGTTCAAGAGCCGAGCTGGAAGCTGAAACATGCAGATGTTGGATACGCTTGGCCAACCTGACCCCAAGAACTTTTTGTAATAGGGGCATGTCCCCTCAGCTCGTGAAGAGTGGTTCGTATGGGGAACAGCATTCCCGATTTGTAAATTAATGTGACCTCAGCATCCAATTACGGAGAGGTCTATGATGATGCCCCGGCTTGGGCGCTGAGAACATGTCTTGAACCCAATATGCTGCGAAGATGAGATTTGTAAGTTTATTTGTCTAGCATGATTGTAACGCAGAACTCATTACTCGACTCTTCGAAGTCGAAATTACTTACGCCTCAACCAACGCCCAGGATGTTCTCTTTCCAGGGTGTTCTCCTTTCAGGTAACTTTCATTTTTACAAGGAAAATTCTCGGCAGGTTTTGTGGCACTAGCACCGATGGAGTTTTCTATCCAGTGACTTTCAACGAGTCTGCTTCATACAGGGGCTTTGTGGAGGAGATTTTATCGAGGCAGCCTGTTTCTGTCGAATTTGATGCCTTCGGCAGTGCTAATTCTGGGTCTTATGAAATGGTTCTTCTTGGCAGGAACGGGTGGAGTGAAAAGACGGAGTACTTCGAGTTGTGACTATTGTGACAGCGGAATCGAAAAGGAGTTCTGGTGACTGACCTTGAAATACATAAACGAGCCACTTTCGTTCCATCTTGCCGTCTCGTTCATAGTATTTTCTACCAGAGAGTGTGTCCAACTCATCTTGCCCGAGCATTTTTACAGTTCTTTTTCTTCATATTTCAGCATCATCGTAGGTATTAACACTATTAGCTTTCTCGCATAGTCTAGGACTCATAAAGTCGACAGCACGCACAATGAAGGCCGCCAGCAACATCTTTGTCGCCACTCTGGCAGCCCAGGCCTCAGCTCTGGTCCAGATGGAGGTTCGCTACAGCGACAGGATGATCGATGTCGGCAATCTCGATCTGTTCGAAGTGACATGGCAAGCCATCTACGGCGAGACCGGCAACACCCGAGCCATTATGACCGACCGCTCCTTCGGCGCCCAGACAAACGAGTGCACACACGCCGAGGACTACGACCCTGACGTCACCGTCCAAGTCAAGATGAACGGAGCCTGGGGCCAGACGCCCGGCCTCACCGACAACCAGATGCGTGAGGGCCTGGTCCAGTCCATGTGGGAGGTCCTCAGTCGCGTTTCAGACCCTTACGGATACGAGGTTTTCAACGGCTGCCGCGGTCTGACCTGGATGGAAAGTGTTGGATACACCTCAGACGCCGCATGCGGTCCCAAGAGCGCCCGTGACTGCGAGTACGCCTGCCGCAACGAGAACTCGCCTGGTCTGGCGCAGTGCATGAACCACACATGGGGCCATAAGGTCCCCTCTTCGCTGCGTGTGACGGCTTACATCGACGGTCGTCTGCAGCCTGATGACTTGATCATCGAGTTTGGTGCTACTGTTAACCCTGTTACTGGAGGTTGTGGTTGGGTTGGAACCATTGCTGGTGCTCTCGCTGGTTTCATCCCTGTCGGTGGCGACCTGTTCGCCGCCGGCATTGACATTGGCTGCAGCGACTAGACTGTCAGATGGAGATAGGTTGAAGATATGATTGCATTTAAGAGGGGTTCCATCACACTTGAGTTATGTCAACGTCACGTTCTACAGGCTCCAAAGTTAGGTGTAGGTTTCAATGTATATAGTTAGCATCTCCATTAGTTACTTTGCGTTACTGATAATCTTACATAGCCTATTCACCGAAAACATTTTCAAAAACTAAATGTCATTATGTGAATAGCTACAAGTCTTCTATACGGGGGGTTGCCAATGGAAAACATTGAGCACCTTTGTGGAGCCCTTTAGCGATGAACTCCTGTGATGATGCCCTATACAAAATTGCTGGTTAGTATGCATTCGTCAAGGATGGACAGTGTGGTCGACATGAAAACACTAGACATTTGTTCACCTACCATGGATGAGTGATTGAAGGAAACGTATGGTCAGTGGGAGGAGGCTTAGTGGACTACATCGCGTTGACTGAGAGCATACATAGATGCAGACTATATATAGCACGCACTAGGAAGGAATTTTTAACACCCCAGTCATAACACTGTTGAACAGGGGAGCTGTTGCGGCCAAGAATTCGACCGCAATAGAACAAGGCGACAAAAAGGGCCCCAGCAAATTACCTAGTTAGTGCTGGCGTTCGCGGCACAATTGGTCTCCCCAGGAGAATCTGTGATGATGCCTGTTTGAAAAATTGCTACTTTGGTTAGTGCAGTGCTCATGGTACCTTTTTGATACGGCTAGGGAACATCTGGGATATAAGTCATCTTGTTGATCAGTTTTGCACCATGTATTGTTACAGACTCTATTTCCACGATTCTTAATAGCAATGAGAGCAATCAATGTAATGGCAAGTGGCTATTTTAACTCATCGAGTCACTGAGAGAAAGTGGAGACGTGCTTCAACTCTAAGTGGACGACGCTAATTCAAGCGAAGCGAAGTTTGGGTTGCGGAGACGCACAAAAATGAAATAGTGCATGGTGCCTCTGCCAGCAAAACAAAAGCTATCAAGGACCGACCGCGATTCGAACGCGGGGCCTAGAGATAGTTGCAGATGAGAAACTGCAATCTCTCGCTCTACCACTGAGCTATCGATCCTCATGGTTGGTGATGGAGAGAAGAGTCTCAGAGAAGCTCATGGATGCCAGACATGCTACGTCCAGTCGCGCTAGAAGGTACGCTCCCCGCCACCATGAAAGAGCGGTCTGGGTTGCAACAAAGCTTAGCTCTTTGACTCAGCAGCCCTTAATGACTTTTCTTGTTATTACCATTACTATTGATATCAAGAAATTCCACCCAATTTGTGTCGTTACCCTGTAACTAAGTCTTTGGGTGCGTCGTAGACAAGTTGAAGATGCTTTCGGACCAAGACCCAGTCATTACTCCACCGCTGTGGCAACATAAGCACCAAATAGGGAGGAGAGACGTACCCGAGAGTTGGTTGCTTTCCTAGCTCAATTTGGTCAGAGCGTCCGACTTTTACGTTGTAAATGCTATCGGAAGGCTGTGGGTTCGAGTCCCACGGATCGCGGTCTTTCTTTTGTAACGTCGTGCTTCATTTTTTATTCCCATTTTAGGCTGGTTGTTCTTCGGAAGCTAAGAATAACAATGACATCACTATTAGGGCCATACGCGCATAGTGTATGTGAAACCATACCGGTGAATGCCGAAGCCGTAAGACTAGTTGCTGTGCATCGTTGTCACTCGTTCCTATTCAGCTATGGGTGATTGAGCCAAGTGACACCGGACGGTCCCGGGCGGCAGTCCGAACGGCTTTCACATCATCTTGGAGCCGAACTACCCGCAGGGAACCGGTACGTCGCAATATAAGGAACAATCGCGATCTAGTATATCCGAAATCATGACCGAAGCATTTGTTCGAAAGAGCTACCTAGTCGGGATTCGGACGGCTTCAAAAAGGGAAGGTTCGGATCGGTTGCCAAACGGCATCTTGCATGTCGGGGCCGAGCTGATCACTAGTGACCGAGGACGCCCGAAAGCGACGCCACAAGAATGTTTCAGAGCATCATGTCTATTTACTCTGGACCTTGATCTCAGAAAATTATGGGTTAATGGAGCTGTTTGCGGGCAAAATATTTGGATTGCTGTTAAACGGTTAGCGTCAGTAAACTATGACCTCTTACACCGTAGTAATCCTATCAGACCACTTCCAAGGATGCCACTGAGGCCTTGCTGCGTAAGCCATTTTAGTAGGGCCATGTGGGTTCGTCTCAGAGTGTGAAAGCAACCCTTGCTGAATTGTGATGTATCAGGCCTCGATAGGCGGTTTGCTGCCTAGGTAGATACGCCTCATCTTGGATACTTCAAGCTCCCAGTCTCTCGTGTCATCTTGTAGAGAGAATCTATTCAAAGTTTTGGTATACCCAAAGCCTGGAAAATATCGGTTGCATCAAATAACGTCTGGAGAAGTTGCCCAGGCTGAATTTCATCACAAAAACGTCTTCGTTGACTTTAAGTGTCTGAGTGGGCAAGACTGTGTCCCGGCAGTGACTGAGAAATATATCCGTTGCCCAACTAGATATATTAGGCTACAACAAGCCGTTGTGGAAGAGACCTCTAGACTTAGGATTTCATATCCTTAACCTAATAACAAACAGATGACGTAACTGGGCTCATGCTGACAGGCTTAGGGACCGTTTGCGAACCCAACAACTACTTCCTTGTGATAGGAATGTGCCCCATATAGCCCCTGATAGAGATGGTTGGGTAAGCTATTGCTCCCATTCTGGTGTACCTCCCCCAAATCAACATGCAGACGGACTCAAAAAGTTAAACTTCAACCTGGGTATTTCCATTCCACTTGCTAGGATTTCAAAAAGTGCGGTTAGAGCAAGAACGAGTGTGAATATCCTGAGACTGCCGTGGAAGTTGAATGACGGTATCCTCTGGAACTTCTGCTTGAGACGGAGTCCAGATGCCTCTTTAGAATTCGTACCACTCAAAGTGGCCTATCTAGGCTGCGCTATGGCGATACGTTCGGGAGACTTCCATTAGAAGTGTTTGCCATCTTTACAGTTCCATCCTTATCAAGGAATTCAATCACCTTCCTGACCCTAGACCCATCCTCATTGAAGTACAAGGTGAAACTGCACTCAAAGGGGTACGACTCTTCACTATTAACTACTGCGACTTCTGAGACGGCCGTGAATGCAGCCCGGCGGGCTTCAGTGTCGATGACCAAGTTCGAGATGACACCGTTACGGAACTTGAGAAATTGAATATCCTTTGCAAAGACGTCTTGAAATGTCGTATTGTCAATGCTGAAGTCTGCCGGCAGGCCTAAGGCCCCAGGCACTGATGAAGGAAGTAGGTGGCGGGTGCAATCAGGTGTGACGTTACGATTGATGATGGCAGGGTCGTTCTGAGCTGCGCCATCTTCGTATGATGCTAAGAAGGCTTCGGCTGTAGCCTTGATCGACTTTCTGATGTCAAAGGAGGATGGAGTGGTGGCCATGATGAAGTGAGTTTTTGAAAATTCGAAGGAAATATGAACTGTCTGAAAAAAACTTTGGGCTTGCCGTCTATTTGACTTCAATGTGTAACAGGACGATGGCCTCCCTATTGCCTAACATCAGCTAATTGGAATTTTGCAGCCAGCCTGCGTGCATTCGTACATGTAGCAAATTCTCTTGGCGCTCCTAGCTTCGCCACTGCCATTCCTAAGCTGTGATTAGTATACAGTACGAGAGCAAAAGTCTAAATGGGCTCTTTAGGGCCTTTTCAAGGGAGTGGGGTAGCCAAGAGAGGGAACAGTGAATAGTGATTGTATTTCGCGTGGGGCTTACCACCTATTCAGCTTCCAAGTGGAACGACATTGTTACCATCTTACATCTCCGTTGGCCCTTGTCTCATTCGAGCCATAGCTCTTCCCGGCGATAGGGCTAAAGCCATGAATTAACGCCGTCCTTTGAATAATACTTTACGGACAAGCCCGGTTGATGGAATAATCGTGTACTGCCATTAACCATCCACATCACAGACTTTTGACTCGCCAGGATGACATTTTGCCCCTTTTCGGCCTAGTGTAATACTCCTTACTAAAGTTAAACAACAAATTTGGAGCTCCCTGGGTTTTATCCTACCTCCGCTCGATGACATTTTTCTCCTTCTTGAGCCTAGCCCACGGGGTGGGGGCCACGGGGGTGGGGTTCATGCATGGTGCGTGTACTTGTCTAACTCTTGTTGATTGACGTTGTTCAGTGCACGACACATATTGATCCCGAAGACCAGGCCCGGCCAGGTTGATTTCTTCACTGAAGCACTTACGAGTACGTTTCAACAATCAAGACACAAAACTGGATGCTCGGTGACTCAGAATAATGGAAAACTCCGTTACTCCGATTTCTTCGTCCGTGGGCGAGAGCGAATTGAATAGGGTGGGCGATCACCTGAACCACGTCGAGGCCAATGAAGAGGCCATGGCCAAGAAGCAGCGCAGGAAGCTTCAAAACCGGAAGAACCAAAGAGCACACCGTGAGTTTTTCGTCAATGCTTCAGCCCATTCCGAGCTCATAAAATTTAAAGGACTGCGGATTAAGGGACAAGACCCGGGGCCTATTCAGACGTCGCGCCCGTTCCAAGTCAGGCGCTGGCGCCTTGACGAACCCAATAACTGTCCCTCACAAGACGCCTCATCAGCATTGAAATGCACAACCGCTATGCAAATATCCTCTAGGCCACCTCCCACTCAAGACAGTACATCGAGGTTCACACCTGAACGTACTTATGTCCTTCGAGGACCACCGCCCAACGCCGCGGTCCATACTCAGACGTCCCTCACCCCCCCGTCCTTCATTTTCCCCCTTTCTGCGGATCACCTCCTTCATCTTGTCCAGTATAATGTCTTTCGCGCCTTCGTATCGAATAAGCGCACGCTCAACACCCTTCTCACGGGCTGGACTGATAACCCTCCTTCCCCAACTACATGTCCCATCAGCGGTCCTTACCGTGACGACACAACCGTCTACCCCCTCAACCCCAATATTCCTCTTTCTCTCGTCCCTACCCGCCTCCAGCAGACCCGCTTACACTCCTTGTGGATCAACCTCTTTCCCTTCCCCTGCGTCCGTGACAATCTAATAAGGCACGAAGGAAATTTCGATCACTGGGAGCTGCTACAAGATCTCATCGGTGAGCTTATGAGTGCCACGCCAGTCCAAAAGCGACGAGGCACACCCGTCACTATCACCGTTTCCGACCCCAAACCTATGTCGACCCTGCCCCTCACAGCAGGAAGTGACGAGGACGAGGTCACTGCGGGCCGCAAGGGACTTATTGTTTGGGGCGAACCGCATGACATGCGGAGCTGGGAGGCTACCCCGGGTTTCTTGCGAAGTGGTCATGGGCAGTGGAGGGATGCGATGAGTTAGTTGAATCTAGTAACCGCTGGAGACTCTTGAGAGGAGAGGAACCCATGCGCTTCTCTGAATCGAAAAGGTGACCGCTACGCCAAACAAGCCTTGAAGCAACTGAAGGATGACCGGCTAATGGGTAATAGGATCTGTCCTTAGGGTGCTGTTGATCATGATTACACCTTAACATCAGATAGGCCAACGGCGACCCCGAGAATAGTTACGGAAGCTTCCTTCACCTCGTATTGCAAATCGTATGACTCTGTGATACATAGGGATATTGTCTTCAAAGGAAGTGATAATTTTGACTGTACACTAACTGCCAGGTCCCTCTCGGTTCCCTACTCCTCGTCCGGCAATCCTACCATCTCAAGCGAGTCTTTCCATAGCCTCTTCGCCTTTTCCACATCATAGGCGTGCGGGGCATACCCGAGCGCAGAAAATTTGTCATCCCCTTCCGCGTACGGCTCTGCCACAGCGCAGTTGACAAGGTACTTGCCACCTTCGTGCTCCCATACTTTGCTGACAGCTGCCCATACCGAGGTTGCGGCACCCTGCTCAACGCTCTTCATTGTGGGGTACAAGAACTCCATCCCCTTGAAGGCATCCGGGGGCATGTGCTGGGTGAGGCCGGTCTGTACAATACCGGGATGGACGCTCGTGGAGTGTAGGTGGCGCGAGCCATAGCGACGCTCGATCTCGTTGGCCATATAAATGTTGGCGGTCTTAGATTGGCCGTAGGCCACACTGGCGTCATAGCCACCTTTCTGGAAGTTGTAGTTGTCGGAGTCATTGATCCCGTGGACGTTGTGGGCCGAGGAAGAGAGATTGACGACGCGGGATGGGAGTTGGGGGGAAGCGGCAGCGAGAAGAGCGGGTTCCAAGAGCTTGTAAAATAGGAAATGTGATAGGTGGTTCGTGCCGAACTGGAGTTCGTGGCCATCAGCGGTTAGACGAAGGTCGGGTATGGCCATGATACCAGCATTGTTCACAAGGAGATGAATCTTGGAAGTCTTGGCGAGAATGGCGGCGGCGGCGGCGCGGACGGAAGAGAGGCTGGCCTGGTCCATTTCGATAATCTCCATACGGGAGGGTTCAAAGATACCAGCGAGGGCGGATTGGGCCTTGGCGACGTCTCGGGCCGTGAGAAAGAGGGTGGCGCCAGTGGTAGCCAAGGCGCGAGTGGTTTCGATGCCGATGCCGGAAGACGTACCAGTGATGACAATGACCTCGCCTTTGAGCTTGTCTTCAACACCCTCGTCCATGATGATTTGCAGGGCTGTTGGGCGCGCGTCGCCAGGGCCGTTTGGCTTAGCATGGGCTTCAGCGTAGCGCGACATGATTGCTTTGGTGAGGGTTCAAAGAGACGGTGATGGGGAACAACAGTCGCTTTAGTGCCACAAGGAAGATTGCTGTGATGTTGAAGAGTTGGATTCTGAAGCTGAGTGGAAGCAAGAGGGGAAAGTGGTTCACTTATATACTCAACTCACTCAAGACATCTACACGGCGCCGTGGTCGCGTTGCATGAGAGCATTTCCTCGTGAAGACTATGACTTACAAATCACGGTACGATTCAGAGGTCCTTTCCGGCGATAAGACAAACTTGAAGCTGTTAATACCGCCTCGTTATGAAAGCTTTAGAGACTGGAATTACTTGATGTGTTGTCGTGTTCTGTACTTTCCTCGTCCTTTGCTATTTCCACTACTGATTCATGACTCGTCGTGATGACCTTTTTTCCCCTTTCGGTCTAGTCACTCGCTGTACAAATAGTAAGCTCCGGGTCCATTATTCCTGGTTATCAACATTCCAGGGTCCGGGTTCAAGCGTACTTGCCTCGTGAGACTATACACCCACAAATTTTATTTTGTCTAGTAGTCTGAATCCATCTTGGCCTCACATGTGTCTGGGTCGTAATATTTACCGTCAACAATAGGCATGCCGCGTTTGTCATTCTCCGAGCCTGTCAAGGTCCACTGCTGCACGTGCCATGTTACTGGCCTCGTAGTATCAGAACGATCGGGGTTGAACATTTTCAAAGGATGGCGATAAGGTGTATAAAAGTGAGAAAAGGTCAAAAATGGCTTGGAAAGGACAATTGGGAAGAGAGGGGAGTTTAGAACTCACTTTTGGAAGACATGTAGTTTCTATGTATGGTGCATTTGAGCGTCGGGATGCGTGATCAAACAGGTAAAGCGCTGTGGCGAATATTGCTAGAGGGAATGTGTTAGTTATAACTATCGTATTTGTTTGTTTGTTCGCATGTAGGCCTGCGGGTATTACATGTGTTTAGGGATTAGGTCTTGGTAACTGAGAAAAGGTTCCTTGGCACAGATGTCTACGCTATTTGTCAAAACACACTGCTTTCAATGAAGTGGATGTATGGTTCAGCATTAATGACGGCTTATAGGTATGTAACAACGGAAGCCAGACGAAGAATGTAAGATAACTGCCAAGAATACAGATACCCCCGTCTCCGCCCCCGACTAACAGTTCAGCGCGGGTCAACGGGATTGGCATGGACTGTGGGCGTATTTGCCAGAACACCGCATTCATACATAGTCAAGACGCAAGCAACTTCTAAAAACGAAACCAATGTCATTGATGGTCGTTCTAGATATGCAGCTGTGCGTCCGTCGAGACTCTTGGTAATCTCTGCAAAGCGGGGGATCAACACAACTTTACGAGAAAGAACCAAGGAGACCAAGCGGGAAAGGGTGCCATAGTTCAAGTAAGAGTGCTAGTTTGTTTGCTGGTTTCTAGCGCAAGTTGACGGTGTCATAACGTGAGTTCTACACTCCATCTCACTTCTTTCACTTCCAATCTTAAACGAGAACCAGCCGTTGCACCTCGGCTTTCCCGAAGTAGTCAAAGTCCTTTGGGATTGCAAAAACGCCGACTCGCTCGAATGCGCCTGGCGCATAATCTCGTTGAGTGGTGCGCAAGACCAGGCCGACATCTACGCGGGAGCCGATGAAGCCAGCGTCCTCGGAAGAATGGTTGGCTTCTTCGACTTCCATCTCGCCGAATAACAGAAGTCGGAATGGCACGCGGATTCGCGTGGACTTCATTGCTGAGATTAGGTCTTCGCAATCTGGCCAGAATCTCGCAGAATGTAAAAGACTTTCAGTAGGGTCAGCTTCAGGGGTGAATACCAGATGACGTGCAGTGTCCATGCTTTCCTCCTGGTCCGGGGGGAATGTGCCCTTCCTTGCAACATGACTGCCGATATCTCGATTTTATACTGACTGGCCAGCAGGCCGTCTCCTATACTTCCTGGTGCCGAACGAAATTTGGTGCCCCAGACGTGAAAGAAAGGGCTTAGAATGAGAGAGCCGAGTTTGAGGCCAGGCAAAATCGATGCGGCGCTTTCAATAACTTGTCCGTCTTTAAAAATCATGGATGCCCAAGACCACGTTGGAATGCGAGGAGTATGACAGCGATGGCTTCCGGCAACGAGCCCTGGTCCGGAGACAATATCGTCCGAGACCGGGCTGAGGTTCCATAGGAGCCCTCTCACCAGTTCCAGAGGCGAGCCTGCCGGGATGGCGGCAAAGCACCGCTTACCAGTGATCTGGGCGCTGTGACGAAGCATACTCCCCATGTGAACCAGCCTCCGGTCGGGTCGTGAGAGTGGCAGGTCCATATACATTTGAAATACGTGACCGAGATCTCTGACAAAACCCATTCGATGGAAGGTGCATCTTGGGAGCGGGGACGAGAAGTTGGCGTGCGTCGTCAGGTAGTATTGATCCTCGCACTCGCATCTCGTACCTTCCAAACAGTCCCATACCATCTCGGACCTGTGCAGATGAAGTATCCTTGGCGACAGTAGCATGCGTTGGAATGACGGTGCATGCCGTAAAAGTCCCATTAGGCGACCCGTGAGTCTGGTCAGGTGGTTGTCGGTCCCCATTGGTTGCAGCAAGACCTGTTCGGCCATGATCAAGTGGCTCCAATGCATGCTCTGACGGACATGGATGGGATATGTACGACCATGCTGGCTGATTTGAATAGTGCTAGACATATTTCGTTTGTCGACTTCATCTGTGATGGTTGGGCGGGTTGGGCGGAAGTTGCTTAGTCTAAGGTCTTTGATATCGGTTAATGCAATCGTGAAATGAGCAAGTCGGAAGATAACATCTTCCCGGTCTGAATGCCAGTTGCAGTCTTCCTCGTCGTCCTGAACGACACACAGCTGTGGAATATAAGCGTATCGCACGCCTTGCTCGCTGGCAACTGTCAAGGCTTCTTGCAGTGCCACCGGGATCTGCCACCACGGCATACCCCTCTGGCGCTCTTCCAAATTCTGAGCGGTCGTACGTGATGAAGGCGCTGGTAATGGGCCAGCAACTCCATGTATGATGGCGACGTAAGCGCCAGGAGAAGAGGAAGAATCAACGAGCTTGACGCCATTTCGTGGATTCTTGCTCAGGTCCAGGTATCGCCGAGGAGCCGACCCTGTGACCCCCTGGCAAAGCATTGCGCTGCAATGGTGGTGCGACGCAGTGCAATTGTTAACCCAGTCAGTAACTATCTTCTGTCGACGTCTGGAGTGCAGCTTTGGGGTGACGTCTTTGGCCGAGCCGAATGCCGGCCAGGGGGATGGTTTCCCTGCGACAAGTTTCACATCAGTACAAGCAGCTGGAAGCAGGTGTAAGAGACTCCCACCTGGTTTGGTAAAAAGCTCAAAAGACGTTTGAACCGGGACCATGTCGCCTTCGGAGTTCTTGTAAGAAACAACTGCCACTACTTTGACGAGACTACCAAGGTAGACGCAAACAAAAGACAAGTCAAACAGGAGCTTGCTTTCGTGACAATCGATTTTTGCCATAAGCAGGACGCCTGACTTGATGGCGTAGCATGTCTGACATCCGTTTTTGCTGGATTTGGTGAACTGTTTGAGTTCACATGTCAGAATCACAAGGCTCCCGAAATTCGAAGCTGGGATGCGGTTCCGATCCAGGTTGTAGCACACGGGGCAAACCGGCTGCTCAGAGGCGACGGCCTGGCTTTGGGTGTTGTCACCCGACATGGCCAGTACAGGCGACTAGTAGGCGAGGAAGCGGATGTTGAGAATGCTCATGCTGGTGTCTGCTCTGGTAGAAACAGGTGTGATTTGGTTCTGATATCGTTGGGATGTGGTTGAGCGTCGCAATTGATCGTTGATCGTACTGGAAAGAGAAGGTTCGAAGACGGGGAAACGGGGGTTGCACGTCGCCACGTGCGGCAGCACCCTATCCTGTCTACTCCGCGCCTTGGGCCGCTGCTGACATAATGTGGTGTTGCGACTTTGCCGGTCTTGCCTTCCCGCACAACACTATGTCAACATATGGCTGAGACGGATGATTTCGTGAAGATCGCCGGGTCGAGGCTTGACATCAGTTCGCCTCAGCACCAGTAATGGAAGCGGAGCATCTGAGTTGTGATCAATAATCTATGATGTTCAGAAATTCCAATCACATCCATCGGGATTGGGGCTTCGTTGCATGAAGTCGGCCTGACGCCTGAAGTATAATTGCTTTGTGTCTATATGCAACCACGCTATCTTATGCTATGCTGAGAGAAAAGACGACTTACAAGCCTTCCCTTTCCCTTACGCTTTCAACGCAATCTTGCCATCTAATAACCTTCATGTATATGCACTCAATGACGGCAATCACAACCATGCCACCGCCAAGGCCAACCCAGGCACCGTTGAGCTCCAGGCCTGGAGATCCCAGCTCCAGCCAGACGGCGAGCGGCACCGCGGCCACGTAATTGACGACAAACACGACACAGGCCGCCACGGACTGACGACCGAGACCACGCAGCACGCCATTGCATCCACTGATAATGGAGTCGATGAGCTGGAACGCCGCGACAGCGAGCATTGAGTTTGTGGTGAGCCTTTGCACAACTTCATCCTCGGAGAAGATGAGACCGAGCTGATTGCGGAACACGAAAACGAAGATGGCGTCCAGGACTCCAACGACAGTGAAGACGACGGCGTACAGCGTCGCGGCTCGCCGGGCAGTCGACACGAGGCCGGCGCCAATGAGGTGGCCGATGCGGGTGCTGATAGCAACGGAGATCGAAAAGGGGATGTGCCACATGACGACCGAGATTGTCGTGAGGATGGTCTGCGCGGCGAGATGTTCCGTGCTCAAGTAGGAGGTGCTAAGCGTCAGGATCTCAAAGGCAGCCCACTCGCCAATGTTGACGGCCGAGCCGGCGATGGAGAGCCGTACCGGGACGCTCCACTCAGTGAAGGCCTTGCGGGAGAAGCCGCCCCAGCACTCATGCGACCATTGGCCCCAGAAGATAATGTAGATGAGCAGGAAGGCGGGTCGCAAGTCGTTCGCCAGAGCCTGGCCCAGGGCCGCGCCCTCGAGGCCCATGTCCAGCTTGAAGGCGAAGAACCAGCTGAAGAGGGCGTTGAGAGGAGCGCAGATAATGAGGACGACCATGGCGCTCTTGAAGTCACCTTGGGCCTGCAAGAACCGCTTCAGAGCCTCGAAGGCGGCGTATCCAGGAATGCCGACCAAGCTGACCCGCAGGAAGGAACCGGCCTTGACGGCCAAGTGGTGCTGCTTCACAAACAGCGAGAGGATGGACGGTGAAAAGATCCAAAAGAGGCCGATGGGCACGGTGGCGATGGCCATGAGGATGAGCATGCGCTGAACATGCAGGCCGACGGCAGTAAGGCGGCCAGAACCGTGGGCCTGGGCACAGAGGGTGTCGAGGGCGGTGGCCATGCCTTCGTAGATGGCGAGGCCGATAATGTTCATGGTCGTCAGGCCGATGCTGGCGGCGGCGAGGTCATCGGCGCTAAGATGGCCGGCAACGAAGGTGGTGATGACGGTGAAGGAGTACTGAAGCAGATAGGTCGCGATGAGCGGCAGCGAGTACTGGCAGAGTAGCCATGCTTCCGCCAGCCAGCTGTGCGTCACCGGCTCGATGTCGGGCTTCTGGTGCGGCTGGTCCGACAGCAACGGCGTTGTCTCGCCGGTCCGGTCATCTCGGTCGCGGGGATCCATGGTGGGGATTGTACGGCGGAGGAAGGGTGTGATGGGAAGAAGGAGAGAAGGTGACAGGCGACTCCTGACAGGGCACAGGCAGGGCCGGCTGAAAGTTAGACTATTAGACTGGGTTCGGGCTGCCGGAAGGGTTGCTTTAAATAGCGGCGGGCTGCATCAGCGCATCAACCCTTCAAACTTTGTAATCGGATGGTGCGAAACGTGCGTTGGATTCCGACGCGGTTCAACCGCGGAAGCGAGCAGCGAGCGAAGAAGCAGCAGCAGAAGCAGCAGCAACGGCCCTTGCGAGGCGGCAGAGAGAGAGAGAGTGAGAGAGCTCTGGATCCCGGAAAATTCGGCTCGAGTCCGTGCAACTGCACTGCAACAAAGGAAAAGATTTGTCCCGGCAGTGCAAGCGGACCAATTAGTGGAGATGGATCCACCTCTCCCGTTCCGCCAGCCGGCAACGCTTTGAGAAGCATCGTGCCATGTCGGGGAACCGGCGTGCCGCTGATTCCGTTCGCCCCGAGGCGGGATCTTGAAGATTGTACATGCCACAGTACTACTATAATATGAGGGAGGAAGACCGAGTCCCAGTCCTGCGCCACTTTTAACCGCCTTATGCATGCGTGCCATGTCTTGGATGCGATGCTTCTGCTGCTATTTACACAAATTGAAGCATCAAGATTAATAATCGGTTGCGTGATTAAAGTGTTGGTGATACATCTCAAATGCCCCGTCCACCGGTTCCCCTCAAAGCATATTCATCCGCATTGTCCTACTTCGAACACGACTTTGAAGATCAACATCATGTGAAAACGGTGTGGAGGGGAAGTGCACCTTAACATAAGGTTTAGGGTGCTGCATTACAAATGAGCTCTGTCGACCCTTTGGGTGATTACGTTGGGTCGAGAGAATGACCAAGTGCTCACTAGCGACCACAAGTGTCTGAAACTCCTAGGGCCTCTCATGTCAACTCGACAACCGCCGTTCATCAGGAAGCGGAACACTCTACGACCAGTCAAATCCTTCTTGCTATCGCTGCAGCTGGTGTTTTTCGTTCTTGTTTGTACAAGAATACCCAGGCCCCTCTTCAAAGGAAATGTCTGGTCCAATAGTATATGATTAGCTGTCCGGCGGGTTGTCTGGAGCTGCTGATGGGTTCAACTTGCTACATTTGCTTAATCTTGTTCGTCGGTCTTCTTCGGTATCTTATTGCATGCGACGCGCCGTATGCCTATCCGGCAGCTGGATAGGTATTTCTCTCATGTCTCACTTAAGTCGTCCCACATTCTCTGGTTGCACCCGCTAATATTTGATGAGATGATTTACGCGTATTGTCTTAAACTCTCCTCTCGTCTTGTAAATCTCTTACATCGCTTCTAGTCTCCCGAGAGATACTGTCCGTGCTACCCGTAACCGTCTGACCCATCTATCCTAGACGCGTCATTGATTCTTGTCTGATACCTGACGTTAACGTTACCGCAATCATGTCCTTTCCAAAAAGATCAAGGTGCAAGGGGTTTCCAAAGATGCTTTCAAGATCGGCGCAATTGATTCGAATGATCCGAGTTCTTCAGTCAGAGAGAACACCGGTAGTGCTCTCCTTCCCACAGCTCTTTGCGCTGTAATCACCACGGAGGACCGCATATTTTGACTCGGAGTGTCAGGATTATCTTCCAGCGACCCCATCTCGTAAGCCGCGTGGCTGTAATTTCGATCCAGCCGGCCGCCGGCGCCCAACACCACTTGACACACCATCTTGCCCCCGCGTGTGTCAGGAGTTTTGTTATTTGGGTTCAAGTTGATATATATAGGTTGATTGCGTGTCCCTCTATATGGGTATCGCTGACTTGACTTGTACCATTTTCGAGCCCATAAGCGAGTTTAATCGCCCGTTTTACGTCCCTAAAGACTGGCGTTCATTAGCATTCGCCATTAAAGTGTGGCTTGTGCAGAGGACAATGAACCCTCACTGCTTCAGGGTCTTCCCTCGAGTCCATTTGATCGCGCGTGTTTTCCATGTGTGCTTCCGTGTTGTAATTTTCGTCATCTTGTCTGCAACCGATACACGATCCTCTGTAGTTTGTTTTAGAAAATGAACAATGCGTTCAACTGAACGAGTACGATACGCTCACCTTCAGGGGTCGAGGTATCTGCCGGTCTTTGGCATTTCACTGGTACATTTGCCCAGAACCAATGTATAAATGCACTTTCTCCAAACTTCAAATGATCAGCAACTTAGGTTGAGACTACGCCATCCAAATTAGTACGGAAACCCATAAAGACAAGTCTGCTGTATTCACCATGTGCAATGATATGGCCCAACTGTATGAACAACTTCCTGGGTTCCATGATGGCTTTCGCCGTTCTCGTATCCATGAGAGTTGTTCTCTGATTTCCAGTGGAAGAAAATGGACTAGGTCGAACCTTATAGTTTTATATTTGGTGCTGGTAAACTCACGATCAATCATAACAACGCAAGTGACCTTCAGCGTTTAGACTTCAAGCAGGTTGAAATTTGCCGGCAAAATTGTGAATTTAGGAATGATAAAGAAATCTTAATACAGTCGATATTGATAACTGAGCTTCTCAAAGCGAGAAGGACGCCGAATCTGGGGGCCCACACCTCAGGTTTTCACTTCCGCTTCGCAGGTTCTCACAAAATTGACCATTCTACATCACTGCTGTCCGAGCTATGCCTGCGACTACTTATGGACCTCTGTCTCTTATGGTCCCACAGAAACCACCATAGTAGGACAATAGTGGTCAGCGGTATGGCGAAAGCAAAGTATATCCAAAGATTGGGAGCGACTAGAGATCCTGTTTTCAATAAGCACAAGTATAGTTCCCGATTGGACCCGTAGAAACCTAAGAACTCCAAGCTTGCTGGCTTTGAATAGTCTTTTGCTTACCTGCTTGGAAGTCGAAGAAGGTCATGCTGAAAACAGACGCCAAGAATGTACCGGGGAGGAAAGTGGCGCCCAATACAGATAGAACCTTCATTGCCTGGCTGTCACTCTTGCTAGCGCGTGCTATGAGATCTTGGTCTTTAGCGATGGCGAGGTTGAGCTTCGCATCCCTCTGAGCGATCTCTGCGGTGACGAAAGATACCTTTTTAAGCTTGTCATTATGATTCCCTCCGACGCAATAGCATAATGTTTTTGTAACTGACCATACTCCTCTGGATGTTCAGTCGTTCAACTGTGACTGAAACATAGGTCTCAAGTCCGATCAATCGGGCCCTATGGCAGCGGATGCGATCCAGGATTCCTGCGTGAAGACTCCTGATGCTCTCAGTTTTCTCCTCGGACGACATGTTCTCCAAAAAACAGTCCATGGCACTCTCGAATGCGTCGATTATCTTGAGATACAGCCCAGGTGGCCTGTGAAGAACCTGCCGATGGTATTCTGTCAGGTTGCTTGCCATGGTGGGGAGATCAACTGTTCTCTTTGCGGAAGAATCCATGTCGCCTGAGTCTTGGTTCTTGTTCACGCTGATTGCATGTTCGAGACGGCGTATATCAGTTCTGGCATCTCGTTGCTTGATTTCATCTCGTGTCGACACGAAGTCAGACAGAATGAGTGTTGGGATAAGGAATGGATGTGCAATGTCGCTTCTGCAGCTGTGGATGTGGTTGATGCACTGGACTACATCTGAAGTTAGTGTTCCTTTGATGAATCCTGTCGTCTCACGGCGTCGAAAAGAATACGAAAGGACTAGCTCCCAGCCCCTTGTCTTTGCTTTCTCACGCCCATCGTGTTTTCCAAAGGTGATCTCTATTGAGAAACGGTATTAGTAACCAAGAGTTGATCCATGTGCTAATGCCTCATCAGATCTTACGAAGATGCGGATCATTCCCCTCAAGCATCGCTAAGCGGTGCCAAAAGAGCGACCCCACGAAGCTAGTGAGTACTACCACCTGCAAGGGAAGCCTCATGTCCCTGAGCATCTTCTCAAAAATCGTTGGAGGGAGTGTAATGGCCATTGGAGAGAACGTGCCAGGGTCTCTTGCGTCTTTCTGAATACTGTATGGCAAGATATCAGCCATTTTGCGTGAATTTCTCATAGCATGATTATATAACTACACTAAGCGGAGTCTATTCAATAATTTGGCGTCGCTCGTCGGCGCGGCGCGACTGAAGGATCCCTCAACAATGTTTTACTTTGTAAGCAGATGATTCCACGATAAAAAGTGTTAGCTTCATGAAGAATGAGCGAAATGCAACTCACTTCTTGGCTGACGAAATCTAGAAGATTTGAAATCGACAATTTTCCTTCTTCGCACTTGTTCATGGATGTATCCTGGCAGAGATAGCCAAGTATCATGTTAGCCAGTCTTCAGTAGATACTGAAAGCAGGGAAACTCTGCAGCCGAACCGTGTAGTTGAAAATGTCGAGGTATCGTGTAGCTTCAAATACATGATGACATCTTGCCAAATTAGTGCTGAATATGCGCTCCTCCATAGCTGGCTGTAATACGTCAACCGAGTCTCAAGCTTCTGCCATTACAAATAATTTTCTGTAAACTCAAAGAGCCTCAGTATGAAGGGAGTGCAGCGTGGATGTTACCGTCTCTTAAACTGTTCCCCGCTCGAGTAAACACAGATGGTGATTATGAGGCTGTCATAACGAGGCGGATGGAACTTTCCATTCAAAGCGCAAAGCCGTGAGTTCTCCTCACTTATGTATTGGACGTCGGTAACCCTGCCAGGTTTCTCTGGCCTATCACTCCTCGTAATTTATTGCGGTCATATGCAGGTTGCAATTAGCCTGGAATTCGAGAAAGTGCAACTTTTGAGTGTGTCGGCAAAATCAGGGTCCGAAGAAGTAAACAGCATCTAACAGCTAAGGGATGAAACGGGTGATACATTTGTTTACTGACAATACTGAGAATATTTGTCTCAAGACAGTGACCGTACTTTGATAAAATGGAAGATAAGTTAGCTGAGGACCAGAATCACTTAGGGTGATGACTGCTTCAATTATCATATTCTTTGCCCAGGTTAAACTATGTCTCGATGCACCAGAACCATTAATCAACCAAAGCCACAGTCTCTCAACTTGCTCGAAGTAGGAGGCGCATGCCTCGAGATTGTGAAGAAAGCACACACGATGAAGGTTGTGGCATTAGTGATCAATATTCAGTTCATTCAGAGGCTAGAGGAAATTGGTTGGCTGGACACCAAGCTCAATAATCACTTGATGCTTTTGTAGACTCATAACTTCTGTACGCATTACCGTCGAGAAGCTGGCCAGATTTATTGTTCTCTTTCAACCTTAGAGAGCCATTAGCTCGATTGCCAAAGTGTTGCTAACGGGACCGAAATATCAGCGACGAAAGATAGTGTCCGAATTTACACTACTGGGTCTAATTTAGTCTAAGAAAACTGACAAAGGCTTTGAGAATCGAGCCACGTCCATAGTTGAGCACTAATCCAGTAACTTGATTGCGGGCAAGGTTCTCCGCAAGTAAATCAGATTGTTCATGCAGAATCCCCATACCATGATCTAGCAGCACTACAATGCTTTTGATACCGTCTAGGTCCTGGAGGCGTTTGGTCATATGTTCCATCGTGTTTTGAATGGTTATCTTCAGAGGGGGGGATAAGAGAAAAACCCTCTCCACACAACTTGTCCATATGAAACGGCTTACATCTAAAAGATGGCCATCGTCATTGTTGTTCCATGATGTTATCAATTTACTTACGGAAACACAGCCTTGATGATAAGGTCGAGACATAAGGGCTTGGTTCTCCAGTATGTTCGTAATCCTAGAGAGTGAATTGGCTACTCTACATCGGGATCCCCGGGGAAACATGCCCCTGGGGAGGGGAGAGTCCCGTGCACCCGGTCCCGCTTCGGGATGTGGGTGACCCACGGAATGAACTTGAGTCGTCTGTGATTGAGCATCAAAACACCCTTTTAGCAATGGCATGTGGATCGAAACAAACAGCGCTCAGTGGTGAGACGAAGGACTCACCCGCCCAATGACACTGTATCTGGCCTGGCTGAGTCGATGATTACGCATGCATCTGGTAGAACACAGCCGCCAAATCTCTCGGCCAGGCCCTTTGAGTTTCGTCAAGAGTGGTGCTGGGCAGCATTTTGAGGCTGATCTTGGCGTGCCCATTCTCTGACTTGTAATGAACGCGAGTCCCCCTAGTCGTGGTCTATCCTTTTATTTACTTTTGTGATCTCCTCATTGAATATCTACTCCACAACGGCATTTTGTCCCAGAGATTGCGTACCCCATGCGAAAAAAGCTTGGTATACTTTATTGAGCCACGCAACAATCTTCCTCACGGGGCTCTGTGTCACCGTGATGTGGAATGTTTTCCGTTTAGTGGAACAAAGGGGCGGCGACAGTCATCGTTCACTTATAAGTGAGGCTTCCGCATGTGACATGTGCGTCCTCTCTGCCAAGCCTCTCGATTTATAGCTGTGCACATCTGACAACATGCGTTCTTTTCAGTTGCTTTCGCTTGCAGCAGCAGCAGCAGCTCCAGCTTTAGCCGACACTCATTACTTCTTCTCAGGCTTCTTCTCTGGCAGCAATATTGTTGGCGTGGAGTTCAATGACCAGACTCAATCGCTCACTCTGAAGAAGAACATTACTACGGATGCATCGTCAGGCTCAAAGTGGATTGCCTTGGATGTATGGTTCATTCCCACATGGGGAAACTTGAAGTAAACGCTGACTAGAGGCCTCTCAGTCTCGCTTGAAGAATTTGTACGTCGGAACCACTGGCTACTTCCAAAGCTATGCCATCACCGACGACCTCGACTTGTCGTACAGCAGCAACGTAAGCTTGTCATCGGATTGTAAGGCTTATGGTGGAAATGTGTGTTACTTTGAAGGCCTTACTTACAAGAGACAGGTTCCAACGCCAACTTCATCGCTGCTTCTACTGCAGCACCCTATACCGTCTTCGGCACCCCATACGGAGGTGGATGCTCCAGTATCGCGATTACGGTTGACGACGCGGGTGTTCTTCAAGAGGCGACTGCCAATGTTACCTACGACAGCGCTGCCGGCGTTCATGGAACATCCTTGAGTCACACTAATGACTTCATCTACTCCGCTGACGACATGGGCAACGCCGTTTGGGTACACTCTTACGACAACACTACTGGCGAAGTCACAGAAGTTCAGTACCTCGCTGCGGCTGAGGGATCGAACCCAAGGCACTTGGCTGTGCATCCCAATGGCAACTGGGTCTACGTCGTTTATGAGGAAGCTAACTCAATTGCTTCTTACAAGCGCGACACGACCACCGGCAAGCTGACTTTCACGAACACTACCTACTCAATGCTGCCTTCAGGTGCGCCACCCACCTTTGGATACTCGGAATGATTGGTGACTGACATTGCTCCAGGGTACACCAACACTTCTTCTTACTGGGCCGATGAGGTTCTCTTCTCTATCCCCGGCAGCGACGGCGACGCCAATGCGCCTAAGTACCTCATCGCTGCCACACGCTCCCGCACAACCGGCGTCCCAGGATACGTCTCTGCTTTTTCTCTTGACAGCACATCTGGTGCCATCACTGAGCAACTGTTCCTTGTGCCTACTACCAACAGCGGCGGCTCCGCTAATGCCGTCTCCCCAGCCAAGTTCAGCGAGGATTACTTCGCGATCACCGACAGCGGCTCTAACTTCCTGGAAATATGGCAGATTGTCACAAAGGACTGCTCAACCACGGCGTCTGCAGTAGCGCATCTTGATTTGGCGTCTGGACCGGCCAACGTTGTTTGGTACAGCTGAGCTAAAGCGCGGATACTTCAGTACTTCGCGGCCAGCATGCAATGGATAAAAATCTTGCTTGGCGTTGTTCTTATCACATGGTTCAGAATAGCAAATAATATCTGATACACGTACGAAGCCTACTCCATTCTTCCCAGCGATTGAGGTAAGCTTTCTAGGTCGCATCGATTTATATCTTTCTGGTGCGCGTTATTTGATAACTCGTCCATGTCAGCGTAAGGCAGAGCTGTACGATTTTCCGGGTTGGTTGAACTGCGTGACTCCCATCAATGAATTCCACCCTACAGTTTGAACCTGTGCGCCGCTTCTATTATTCATATCTAACTAACCCCTTTCCTTGAGGTTAGCTCAGACGGTCACAGCAGTACGCCACACCAAGTTGCACTCATTCTTGATGTCTCTGATCCTTTTTTATGTTGCAAAACTAACTTTGTTACAATACCGCATAATAGTCTTCCTCACCAACCCAAATTCATAACCTTCATAACCACGGATGTTAAGATCGTTTATTAGAACACCTTCCCATCCAAACCCACTCTTGTATACACGCATTTGCAGCCAAGTAGTTTTCCTTGCTACCACCAAAGAGGTTTTTTGGCGGCGACGGCTCCATGTGTGACCAGCTGAACGCACTACTATGCAAGAAGACCGACTTTCCTGCATGCTAAGAGGTGTCGACGCAAACGTACACCCGCAAGGTTGACTGCTCGTAGCCCACGCCATCTGCGGCCTTGGTGATACGTGGCAAAAGATTACCGAAGATATCCACTATCTCGCTTCGTAGCAGGAAGCGGAGGAGCCTTTCGAACCCAAACAGGTGGGTTCAAGTGCTATGCTCTTCAAAAGAAAGCCGATGCGTTAAGATAAGGTCTCTAGCCTCGCCCGGGAGCTTCTGTCCAAGCAGGCAATCACCACAGACAGCTTCGCAGCACAATGGATGGATTGCTCACTGGACGACAACGCTGTCCGCAGAATGGACTTGCCCAGGATGTCTCTTTTGGCCGATGCTATCATTGGCAGCCTGGACAACATTACCGACGGCATGGTCATTTACCCTCAGGCAATTGCCTCGCATGTTCAGGAACAACTGCCTTTTACGTGCGCGGATACATGATTATGAAGCTCTGTGCCACGAGCATATCCAGGCAGTAAGCCCGCGAGCATATCCACGTCTTGTCTCACCAAACTGTACGTGTCGTGAAGGTGGAGGGTAAGCCGAATTATCTTGTAGACAGGATCAAGGGTACTGAGTTCTTCCGAGCTATCTGGGCTGATCTCGACTTCATTCTGAGACCTCACCTTTGCATTGGCCGTGGTGTTGAAATTATGGCACGCTACTGTGTCCTGCAAGGCGTAGCAGAGAAAAAGATCCAGCGATACAGGGCCGTCTTCGAGAAGTCAGCAACGACGGATCTCAAGTTCTGATAATTATGATCAAGAATTTGTTGGGGAGGGCAGGCTGGTATCAAAATACAAAGTATGAAACTTTGTTTTGATGTTGTATTTGTGGATTTCAATAGGGCAGATAGGCTGGATTACTGCAGTACGTGAGAAGTGCCAAAGTGAAGTTATTCAGGAAGGGATTTGGGGCTGACTATTCACCAATCCTAGGATTAGGGAAATATCAACAAGGACCGGCTTACCGATCCTAGGACTCAGGACCGTGGGCAGCTTAGCAGTCTTAGTATTAAGGAGGCACTGTTTACTATTCCTGGACCGGGGGATATCAATAGTGACCATATACCGATTCTAGAATTCGGGGCAAGGAAAAGCTTACCGTTCCTAGAATTAGCGGGTCAGTTCCAAGGATTTACCAGATTTCTAGGATTAATTGAGGTGCCAGAGTAGCGGTGCCGGAAAGTGGGTGGCTAACGTTATACTATTACAACGGCTAGATCTCTATATCACACACAGTCTCCAGCCAACATCTTTGCATTTCATAGTAAGTGAAACTATCAAAAATGATACGGATCAGGCCAGGATGATACCAACGGCTACCTCAGTTATGATTGTCATATCCGTAGCCACTTACCCTTTCTCGTTCACTGTCTGAATACTATAGATATCCATGCTGCCTCAGTGGAGTTGATACAAGGTACAAGTCAATCCATACAAAGCGGATGACCCGCTCCTGCATCATAAAGGTGATATACGTCGACCCTACTTCAATGGACTCCGATGTGGAGGCGTTCACGCCTCAATTAGTAGACTCCATATATAGGATCGTTGATATTGTATCATAAGGCATGAGGTGGCATCATAGCTTGTAGTCTGGCTTTTGTACATGCGTGACTGCCTCAAGCTACCTCGCAAGGTGTCTAGAAAACCTAAGTGAAGCCATCTCCAGTACGCCAGGCGAAACGTTCCACAGAGTTACTCAAGATATAAAGATTTCCAAGGCTTTCGTGATGGGTCCAAAGAAGGCACCCCTAGTAAGTAAAGATACAACGCTCTAGTGACGACACTTCATTGTTGTGACCGAGACTCGTCGTACGTCCGTCTGTCTAAACCCTCGATTCCTTTCCGAGCGTATGTGACTACGATTTAACTAGGTCTGAGCCAGCAGCCGCTCAACGCTAATGGGTACTTTTAGCCGCGTTGAAACTCGGAAATCTAGCACAAGCGAGTGGTACGAGTTCAATGAGTTATAAGGCTTCATCTGTTGGGGGTTTTCTTCCGAACAGGGCAAACTGTACTTGACTGCTTATGGTGGGGATGAGGGGGTCGAACGATAACTTGATGACCCGGACATGAGCTACTGCCGTCGCGCTCAGGCTTCCAATCTTATGACGCAGGGCTGTTATCTGTGAGCGTAGTCTCCCAGGCACGGTTTAACTGATCAGCCCATGCGCTGCAGGTTTCGCACTCGGCTATTTCCAGGTGAGGGGTACCGATGCGGCGGAAGCAGGTTTCCGCACTTGCTGGCGTAAAATGGTGGGGAAGTCAACACTACATCATAGGTATTGGAAATCATAAGACGCGGAATTCATTTTGTCTAACTACTCAAACCCAGGCTGCAGCACTCTTTGCAACTCTTTCATAATCATATCTAGCCGCGGATATGGACACACACAAGGCTGCTGTTTTGACGGTGAGTTTCTTTTCAGATAAACCTATCCTACTCCATCTGTATGATGCATGACGAGACTTACTTCCAGTAGTCACCTCAGGGTGTAGACGTGAAGCCCACGATTTCAGTGCGAGATGAGCCGCGTCCAATCCCAGGCCCAAACGAAGTTCTTGTCCGTCTTTCAATGACAGGACTTTGCGGCTCCGACTTAGGGATGGCCATGGGCCATTTCGGACCCGTTGGCAACATCCTTGGACATGAGGGAGTTGGCCGCATTGCAGCCTTGGGTTCCAACGTCGCTGCTCTTGATCAATCAGTTCAAGTTGGACAACGAGTGGGAGTAGCTTGGATTCGCGATATCTGTGGCACTTGCGAGTCTTGCGTTGATCTCGTAAATGAGGGCGAAACACGATGCGACAAAGCGCTTCACTCGGGCAAAGCCTACGATGGCACGTTCGCTCAATACACCCTTGTGCCACTTCGTTACTTGGCCCAGCTTCCACCGCAACTTGATGAGTTACCCGACGAAGAGATAGCTCCGATTTTGTGTGGTGGTGTAACCGCCTACAAGGCTATCAAGGGGTGCCATGTCACTCCAGGTCAATGGTTCGCTATCTCAGGAGCGGGTGGTGGCGTCGGCGCTCTGGCAGTAGCTTATGCTCACGCCATGGGTTATCGTGTGATTGCCGTAGACGCCGGCCCTGAAAAGGGTGAGATTTGCAGAGCTCAGGGAGCTGAGCATTATATCGACGTCACGATGCCAGGAACACTGGGTGAGAAGGTGAGGCAGGCGACAGGAGGCCACGGCGCAAAAGCTGTGGTTGTCACAGCTACGGCAACAGTCGCGTATCAAGAGGCATTCCAGCTGTTGGCACCATTTGGTACGCTGATGTGTGTGGGAATTTTATCAGCCGAGGCCAGGGTCGACTTCAACCCCCTGTGGCTCATTGCTCATGGGTGGAAAATACTAAGTTCATCTGTTGGAACTCGAGCGGATATACTTGAGGCTTTGGAGTTTGTGAGACGTCGTGCCGTTGTGCCAAAGGTCCAGTTGGGACGGCTCCAAGACATTGAGGAACTGTTTCAAACTATGCACGCAGGTCAGGTAAGGGCGTAACACCCTCCAAGATTTCGACATTTCACTAACGCCCAGTTAGCTCCGGGGCAAGTGGGTATTGAAGCTGGATTAGTACGCCCCATAATCACTCAAAATAAATGGCAGTCTTTTGGTCATTTGAGGATGGGATGTAATCGCAGACACCGTATATAGAATTGTTGGGCATATAATCAGAAAACAAGAGAGAAGATGCTGTAACTCCCGGAAAGCCAAGGAAAATGAAGAAGAAAATTGCCATATGAGATGATGATGTTGAACCCACACGTAGTTATTTTGACGAAGCAGCCTCACTATCCTTCCGCGTGGGCCATTCCACCATTCACATTTGACAGAGAGCTAACACTTCAGGGCATGGCTGAAATTTCATGAGGCGGTGGGAACGTGCTTTACCCCAGACTAGGTCTGGATGATTGACACACAGCAACCACGGAGTGTTCACTATCCCTAAACTCCGAGACAGGCCAACACTATGCATCTATAGGCCCAATTAAGGTTCATTTATCTAAGACTCCCATATTGGCATTGCAATTAAGCAATTGTGCATCGGAGCCCTCTATGGTACGATTTGTGCAAATCAATCCATTTGCAATCGAGACCTCACGTGAATGTCTCGTATGTTACTCACGTAAACTTTACGTATGTCGCACATGGACACCCCCCAACTCTTCGCAATTTTCATCTTCGCAAAGATGTACTAGACGATAAAAATAGAAAAGGAAAAAAAGGTTCATGATTCCGACTGTATCTGTCTTGATGGCCATGCTCATTATCACCATGAACCCGGATCCGTAACTGATTGATAATCAACACTGTAACAGCTGATGCTACAAAGTGCATAGTGAGAGTCAGGCTCTGTGAAGCAGCTTCTGGTCTAATGTAGAAATGCAATACAGCTCCCAGGGGCTTCTGACGAATGTCAGACCGGCCACTTTCCATAGCCCAAAGTGCGCATATCGGTTATGACAACGGCAGTAATATCGGGGCGCGTCTGTTGTTTCGGGCGTCGAGGCAACATCCTACACTCTCACGACTCATGACCTGTGTGAAATATCCAGCGCAGCCGTCGGGTATGTCACCCGCGCGCTCTGTGCTTTCCGTACAGCGTTTTTGTCCCTCTGCAGAGCGGAGTCATCCACAAGTAGTTCGGGGATTAATCTCTCCAACTTTAATCGCGGCCTTGAATGATCGGGGGCTCAACAATGTGCAAACTGGCCTCGAGACTTCTCAAATCCAGATGTGCATCAGCACTTGTGTTTTCCAAGTTTACAACCTGCTGGTGTCAACATGGAATGGTTGACAAGTGGAAATCGGGGCAACTTCAACTGAGGCATGGCTTGGCAGCCTCCAATCAGCCACCTGGACCTGTACGCTAACCATGTTAGCAGGACGCTAACTAAATTAAAAGTAATGAATGCCAACCGCGCCTAGCGAACAAGTTGGCAGATAACGGCTAGCCGGGCTTTGCCTCCCTCCAATTCCCGCGCGGCTGACCGAGGGTGAATGAAAATAGAAAGCATCGCTACGGCAGGCCCACGAGTGTGGCAAATGCGACGTAGCCCTGGAGGGACGGGAAGCTCTCGCTTGAGTTTCAGCCTATTTGGCGGTGCGGAGGAAAGTGTGAAAGACACGCAAGTTTGGGAGAACGCACGACCGGGGCCCGGGCACGCTTAGTACAGCAGTCGAGATGTGGTGGGAGTAGGCGTGAGGAATTGACTGAATTAAGTCGGCCTAATTCCGCAATGCTGAGCACATCAAAGTCCGAAGTAGAGTTGGCAGTCATCGGCAGACAGAGCCATGTGCACCCATCGATTCTCCTTCTTGGCTCACATTCGTGTCCCAGGCCTCAGGGCTGATCTTAACGCAAAGAGGCTAAACCTCGACTCTGTACGTACCTGTAGGTGGGCTGTCTTTTCCAAGTTGCTTCCTGTTCGTTTTCGGAATTTGGACTTGACCTGCAAGCTTTCCCTGTGACCCATCAATCAAGACTCCTAGTCGAAAAAGGAATCCTGATCTATTTTCAGGGGTATGGGCATTACCATGTCGTCCAAGTGTCCATTGCTCTGAACCCTGAGGTTGTTCACCCACATTAAGCAGGGCCCGGGATGGGATAGTATGTGTTCGAGGCCTGCCCCTCTCGACAAACCCGATAGCACCCAGAGCGTTTATTGCGGGAATAGAGTTCTGTTGCCAAGTATAGGTATCAGCTTCCGTCCAATGTTGTGCGAAAAGGAATCAATTGCGTGCCCGTGCTCACCAGATAAGCGCAAACATCGATGTCCTGCCCCGATGTCTACTACGTAACACCTGAGCATTCCGAAGAGTATGAAAAAATCCACGTAAAAGTTTGTGTGGTGAGGGGATCCTGCCCTCTCTGAAGCCCCAAAAGCTCGGTAAGTTGGCGACAGACGCGCGCCTCAAACTTGGGACGACGATTCAGTAACACCAACATCCAGAGGCTCGGCTGAGTCGGAGGCAGTTTTTGCCCTTTTTGAACTCTGACACACGAGCCCACGTGGAACTGGGCCATTGCTAACGGCTTGTGGAACATGCAGTGGAGTGAAGTGACAAGGCGCGGGCATCCCAAAACGCCAAGACTTATTAAGGAGACCCTTGTCTTAATCCATGAATAACTTCGACAACCCAGCTCTCACTGTCTCTCCCTCACTTGTACAAAAAAAAGCAGCTCCACTCGAGGACTCTACAACCGAGTGGCACCTCGCAAGTCTCTGAAGCGTACTATCAGCCTCGAGTGAGATGTCATTTGGGTAGTCGGAAATTGTCTCATTGAGTCGGTCTAGTAACGAAACCTCATAGACTTGAAGGATAGGTCTTGGGCACTGCCCATTGCATTTTAAGCTCTTCTCGGGCCTGTCCAAGTTCGGATGGCATTACGGACGCTCATTACTGAGTAAATAGAATGTTCAGGGGAAGGAGACCCACGGCCTCCAACAACTTCATGACTCGCACCTCAACCCTGTGACCCCTCCGTCAATGTAACAGGAGCCAATGCCGCCCAGCCCGTTGCTTTGGGAGAGAAGTGGACGACTTTCATACAAGATGTTACCCATTTCCACCCCAACCTTGGAGTCGCCACATGGTGTCAACCAACATCACTGACGTGCGGGTTCACGATGTCCTTCGATGCGGCAGTCGCATCTGTCACTCTCACGGGTAGTATACTTTCTTTCATAGCGACCTCCGGTGTTTTAATTTCCTTCATTTTCTACCATGACCAACAACGTTCCTTTCGCCATGCGCTTGTTTTGAACCTGACTTTGGCCGGTAAGTTCCAATCCAGATGTCTCGAGATCTAAACCAAACTAACAGCAATGGTCGGAAGAGTTCATGAATTCGCTTGGCAACAGTATATCAGGCATTATCTATATTAAGAATCGAGAACTACAGCCCGGAGCAGCATGCGTGCTGAACGGGATGATCGGACAGCTCTCAGTGCAAGCATCTGATTTCTCAATCCTCGCCATTGCGGTAGTCACATTCCTTACGATCACGCGAAAAACGTACATGCCAAATACTTCAACCTCAAGGAAGATCATTATCTGCCTTTCTGTTTGGGTTGTCCCCATCATCACCAGCATAACAGCGACTGCAATGGGCACCATGAAGCCCGTCAGTGGAAATTGGTGTTGGATATCAAGAGACCGACCCGACCTTCGGTACGCGTTAACTCACGGCTGGCGATTCGGCATAATATTTACCACCATTCTTATCTACCTCTATGTTTGGTGGTACCTCGGCCGACATTTCCGCTCTATGGTCAGCACATCTGACCCGCTATACGAAACCGGCGATACAAACAGCAACGTGGTAACGTCATCTATACGCAAGAAGCAAGGATTTGAGATTATTCAAACGCCAGAGTTGGAGATGGACCAGTTCGAACGACCGAAACCGACCCCGAGCAAAACACCGCAGAACTATTCGACTCTGCCAAAACAAACAGATATGCCCTTAGGTCAAGCTCGTGAGACTGGACCAGCTGGGAGACTAAATTTGAACAAAGACGAAGACGAGGAAGCTGATGAACAACAAACCTGGCCATCAGAATCCTCCAGAAGGTTGCAGTCCATCGAAGACAAAGTGGAGGAAGAGCCGAGACGAAAGATGTCAGCAAGAATTTCGCGGTTTGATAACGACGATCTTGATATGAGCCAAGCCTCTGAGGCAAGGTTCTCGTATTTGGAGCAGGAGGAAAAATTGCACCAAAGTGCTACTGGAGGACCATCCTATCTTCATCGAGACATGCAACCTCCGACGCCCGCACGATTTTCTGGCCATGGCATGCGCTCAGTAGCTTTTGGCTCCAATGACAAGCGCGGCAATAAAAACGGAGACTCAACTTTGGAATGGCAATTACCGGCCTCTCGGGAACTAAATGCAAGGGACTTCCCTTTGAGCCCGAGCCTCAACAATGTTCAGAAGCAGGTGCCGCAGAATGTTACTGCTACTATGATGAGCGACTTCCCCATCCGAAAACAAACGAGAAAAGTCGAGCGCGAGATCAGGCGTATGATGCTCCTCAACGCGTACCCGATCATGTATGTTGTGCTCTGGATCCCCGGCCTCGTCAATAGACTGATGGAGGCGTCGGGCAATGACTCACAAAGCAGAGTTCTGGCAGCATTACAGAGCTCGAGTCAGTACATCGGCTTGGCAAACGCAATCACCTATGGTTTCAACCAGCATGTGAGACATAGGATTAAGGGTGATTTATTTCGTTGGATGCGACGAAGATGATGGCCGCAAGAGCCGACAGTGTGGGACGAGTTATGAATCGGATGAAATAATACTATTCTAAAATACCCTATTATTTAGTCAATCAGAAGGACGATGAATCATTGGTTGCGTACTGAAGTTAGTGCATTAAGTTAGCATATAAAAATGACTTTCCCACTGCACCGGTCCGACACAAGTTTTGTCTAACATCCTTATCAGGTTGGTATGGTCTCAAGCTTATTCTGATGCTACATTCAAATCCACCTTATGAAAGCTTGATATTGAGAACACAATCATCAAAAGCATTTCACTTTCTGTTGAATATCTTCTCAGTGACCAGAACAGGCAGGTATCTCTCAATGGGCCATGCGTCTGTCATTGTACAAACGCAGCCGACCAAGGCCAAGTGCAGTTAGCGGGGTTAACCAACATAATGTTCCACGTCTGCTCAAGGGCCATTCGGAATATTCAGGTCACAAACCCAGCAATGCATCTTGATACACTTTTGAAACCAGATGCGAATTTAACAAATGTATTCCGCGAAGCGTGTAGCGGAAAAGAGGTCGTGGGTTTACATCCGCCAACGGAGGCGGCAGAACTATGTGCAGTTTGACTGTTATTTGGGGGCGGTGGTTATTTATTGTGTTCTCTATTAGTTTCTTGCACGGCTTCCAGGGATGACTTTTAGAAATAAACAAAGAAGAAGAACTTTCCAATATTCTATCTTTATGAGAAAAGTCTATGACCGAACATGTCTTGACAAAAACAGTACTGCTACAGACTATAAGCTCAATTTCAAGCACACCCGTGCCGATTCACTTGATCTTTCGGGTTTCCTGAAGAATCGCCTTATGAGGGGTTCCATCTAAAAGGGACTGCCTCGTCATCGAATAATCATTTTCTGAGTCACTTGTCTAGTGAATTTGGCTGAGGTCTTGTTTTCAGACAAGAAGGTATTCAACCTTATGTAAACCAGCACGGGAAATAAAAACACACGGCCAACACCTCATTCGATGTGTTTTTTCTCCTTCTGACCATGTCTAGGCTTTTCCCCTGGACAATGGAAATATCTTAGTGAAGATTTTCTTAGCTACAAGAGCCTCTTTGAAGCAGGCACAGTCGGTCAGAGGTGGTGTGTCGTGCGCAGTGCCGACACTTTAAGACAACCAAAGGAATAACGATAATAGCCTTTAAATCTATCCTCAAAAAAGTGCATGACGACAGTGGCAATGTGGTCCTGGGCTAAGCTATGGGCTGATGGCGCTTCATAACATCGCACCATCTCATGAACAGAGTCACAGACACTATTCTAGGCATGTTTGTTCTTTGTTAGTCAGCATTAGAGGAACATATTACCCACACCATCTTGATTTTCTTATTAAGCTCTGGTGCTAGTCTAGATATGATATGGTGCTTACAGTTGCTAGCCATTCGATGTCTGAGATCAAGATCTCAGCACAGCTGAAATCTAAACAGTTGACCATCAGGTATTTGCATTGAGTTCCACAACTATTTCCTTTGCGTTCGAATAACTTATACCGAGCCCTGCTATTAAGTACATGGCTGTGTGCAAAGGTCGCCTCAACATCACAAACGATGAGACCTCTAAGCACAGTGGTAAGAGTAGTTTTCAATGAAAGAGTGCGTGGCGATTGCTGATAATTGACTGCCAGAGTTTATCAAGTCAATACTCCGCAAACCGGATGTGAAAAGTCTCCCCATAACCCCTCACTAGGTCAGATACTATGGGTATTCATCAGTTTTACCGTTTCTTATCTCGCACAACGTCGGCCGACGCGGCTGACGTTGTGCCTCTTCAAGAAATTTATCCCCGAGGGAGTTTGTCGGCCATAGGGTCTGTGACATCGACTGTTGGCCCACATTGTAATCAATTCTTGGTCACCACCATTTAAATCGCTTGCTTACATCAGGCTGCAAACCCGATCGACTCTCGTGGATTTCGAGACCTTCCTAGGTAATTGGGCAGAAAGGAAAGAGATCAAAGAAAAAGGGATATCCCCAGAGCTTTAGCGCAGCCATAATAAACCTTCGATATTCGAAAACTCAATATTACCGTGACTCGTGTCATGTTCTGAAGCTAAGTTAAGGTCTGACCGGTTTTCAGCACAAACGCTTGGAGGCTCACATCAGCAACCCCGGTATAGATGACCAACTGCGGAGGCATTGGACCGGGTATCAGGCCACATCGCCTCCAAAGAAAAAGACGCGTCGGCTCGGCCCATCATTCGAGGCAAAGTAGTAGGTAGAGTTCCGAGCCTCAGATAAGACACTGACGGTAGAATGATAACATGCATGCATGGCGGTATCTACTTGCAGCTTGATAATGCAGAGTTGGAGTACAAAAGCCGTCAAGAAGCTTGGCATGCATGCTAGATTAGAAAATTATCCTGTCTCGTTATCTCTTTCCCTGAAAGCAGTCGACAATGCCATTCTACTCGGGCAGTTTTCCTTTATTGACACCAGACATAACCCATTCTTTTAGTCAAACCTGCAAAATCAGCTCGATACCAACCATTCAGAACTAGACTGTCTTTGTAAGGTCCCAGCCTTGGCAATATCGTCGCCCGAACCTATGACCTTCCAGCCACTATCTTGGCTCCTAGCTATTATCAGTCGATACAGAAAACATCAACTGCGACATCGGATTGTGTCGGTTGATAAAATGACATACTGTTCGGGCCTTTCCAACAACCTAGCGCTCGCTGAGTACAACGCCCCAGCTAGACCGAAACATCAGTGTCGAATCGGACATGTATCTGAGAAACCCTTTTTTAGTCATTTTTACCCTCGTTGAGGCAGCTCATGGAGTATCAGGGCCAAAGACACCCTTCAAACGTGCCGCCAACAACAGTACCTGCAACATCAATGAAGTTGCGCCGAAAGTGAAGGCTCCTAAAACTAATGTCTGGTCTCCGATCTCCCCCCAAGACAACCTTGCCGTGTGGAACCTACTTCATGCTCCAGCAACCGGACTCAATCTCACCGATCCCAGCAAAGCTACGATCACAGACAATTACGTATATTGGATTGATACTTTACACACCAACAAATCAAGTGTCCTACCGTACCTCAGCGGCACTGCCAGTCCACCGCCAAAATATGCACGAGTGGTCATCTTTGGTGGAGGGAAAGAATTCCCAGATTCTCAAGAGTATATGGTTGGGCCTCTTCCAGTCAGTGCCGAAACAAAGGTTGAAAAGCTTGATTACATCTTCAATGGTGGCAGCGGAGGCAAGATCCCGTTCAACAGTCGCTATTTCGATGCTGCTCGTGTGGCAGCCACCGAACCGCTTTTGATATCCGTCATGAGCAATATCTCTGATATCACGTCGGACCTTATCGGTGGCGTGTACTATGGTGCGACGGACAACCGAACGACTCTCACTTCAACCAGTGGCACACCTCTCTCATTCGACGGTACCCAATCTTTTCGCACAGTCATGTTCAGGTATCCCAATACAGCATCGTATCTGACACCCTTGGACTTCTTTGTACTGCTAAACGTCACGGGAACGGACCCATCGCATTTCAAGCTGAGAGGCATCGTAACCAACGAAAAGTTCTTCCCAACGGTCGCAGCGTTTCGGACTGCTTGGGATGCAGGAGAGCTAAAGGAGCACTTCAAGCAGACCCGGACCCCAGATTGGGCCCTACTCGACTACAAGCCTGAATTCGGTGTTAGGGACCTAGAAGATAGGTTGGCACCCCAAAGTCTTGAAATCGGAGGCAAGCGTTACAAAGTCGACGAACAGGAAAAGTACATTGAGTACATGGGTTGGTCTTTCTACACATCATACTCTCGAACACTCGGACTTATGTACTACGATATCAATTTCAAAGGTGAGAGAGTCATCTACGAGCTCTCACTACAAGAAGCAGCTGCTCAGTATGCCGGTTTTACACCAAAGGCCGCTGGAACTGTCTATCATGACACATATTACAGCCTGGGCACTGACCTTGGCACCTTGGTGGAAGGATACGATTGTCCATTCGGCAGCACTTTCTGGAACGTCACATATCACGAAGGCAACTCATCAGTTGTGAACACTGATGCGATATGCATATTCGAAGCAGACTCAGGATATCCAGTCTCACGCCATCGATTTGGAGACGGTAATGAATATGGATTTCGTTATCTGGGGACCGTTAAAGCCTCGGCGCTTACCATGCGATCCGTTGCAACAGTCGGCAACTATGACTACATGTTTGACTATTCTTTTCATGTCGATGGGTCTCTCGAAGTCACTGTCCGAGCCTCCGGATTTCTTCAATCTTCGTTCTATTATCCGGACCAGGAGGAGTTCGGGCCCCGAATTCAAGAAGCCACCATGGGGTCTCTACACGATCACATCTTGACCTACAAAGCTGATTTCGACATTCTTGACACCAAAAACAGTCTTGAAGTGAGTGAGCTTGTTTTGGTCAATCAAACACAGCCGTGGTATCCTGAGCTTGGTTCTTTTGAGCAAATGCAGCTGCAGAAGTCCATCATGACGGACGAGTCGCAATTCAACTGGCAGCCAAACAACGCAGCTATGTACTGCATCGTCAACCCCAATGCAACGAACGCATGGGGCGAGAAGCGTGGTTACCGAATTGTTCCTGGCAAATCCAACATTCACCTCACACCTCTTAATTCTCCCTGGACCAAGCACCAGAGTCCATTTGCCAAATCTCATCTTGCCCTATCACGGCACCACGACAATGAGCCGTACGCAAACAGCCACGCCAACGTCAATCTCCCTCTGAGGCCACAGCAGGACTTCCTCAAATTCTTTGACGGCGAGAGCGTCGACAATGAGGATGTTGTACTCTGGTTCAACTTAGGCATGCATCACTTTACTAGGTCCGAAGATATCCCTGTGACGCTTTATAGCGAAGCCGTTAGCAGTATCGTCTTTGCCCCCCAAAACTTTAATGACAGAGCCCAAGACGGCGATTTGCTCAACAGAAGATGGATTGTCTACAATGAAACCTCTGGGGACCTTTATTTTGACTCGTACGGAGTCGAGATACCTCCTCAATGCCAAGTTGGTCTCCAAGAGCCCGTCTATGGCATCAAGAAAAACGAGGAGATTTGATTATACAAGCCATTTTAGCTACTGTAATTATGCTGCCAACGATAAATTACTGAATTGTATTCAACATCACACGAAGTTACTCAATATGACCTCTTGTTTTACCAAGCCCCAGGCCATCACAAGGAGACTACCGTGCTTTATCTTGTTTGGTCAATATCTGCACAAGCCCTAAGAAAACTTGACTTCAGGCACCGTTTGGCATCCATCCTGGGTCTGCCAGCTCAACACCTTCTGGAACAAAGCCGGGGGCGACTGCAACATTTTGTCAGTCTCTCCGGAATCACACCAAGCAATAATGTACGAGTACCTGTAGTCCCGACCAGAGTCCAGTCTCCGTGACTGTGGGCTCTCTGCCATTGATCCTTTGAGAACACTACCTGTGGTCTTTGATCATTGAAAATATCAGGCCCGAGTACGTAATTCTTTGAGGGCTCTCCGTCTTCATAGGACAGGGAAGAGTAAGAGGAGCTCCTGCATAGTCATGCCATAACTCGGCAGCGTCAACACGGTGCCATATCGAGGGACCGACATAACCTTCTATAAGGTAGTAGATAGCCGTGCTGACAGATCGGTTGTTGCTCGAGTCGGGGTCTTCGAATGTTTCTACGTAGTATCCTTTCTCTTCGTTAGGGACTAGTCCGAGTTTGTCAATGACCTCTTGCACTGTGCGCTTTTGGACTGAGCATAGGTCCCTCAACGCTGTTGGTGTAACATGAGCCACAAGGGCGAAGATGCCGATGGTAAGACAAGAGAAGAAGTGCATCTCGCTATATTTATTCGGGATGTTCGGGATAAGAATTAACACAGACCCTACGGGAGAAGCCATTACTTATAGTCTTAGATGATGTCAGCATTGGACATTTGCACTAATTTCATCAGGTGGCGCCATTTAACAATTAGCTAGTTTCAAGCCTATCATCTGGAGGTTTCCTGTCAGCTCCGTCTGTGTATGCATGAACGCTATTTGTAACTTGAAGGCTGTGGAGATAACTCCGTTAGGATAGGAGTTCTTCACGGGAGACCCAGGATTTTGGAACTGCCCGCCAATGGGGTTACGGCCTGTAGAACACGTTCGCAAACTTACCACCTCAAAACCCGCTTTGAATCTCGATACCCCTTAAAAGCATCAGGGAGGTGCACTTCAATGTCAGCTACGGTAAAATCAGTATCATATGGCAGGTCGGTAAGATAATCGAAGACAGAGACAATAGAGGCCACCGTATTGCATCTAAGCTCATATTCGTCGAATCGACACAAAAGCCATCTGCGGCTTTCCGTATACGATTGCAAGTTGAAGAAAGAAATTGAGAGACCAACCGACATATTTATCATGAGCATCATTCAGAAGCAAGGGAACAAATCCCATGATAACACCCGTATTTGTCGCTCATAGCCGAACATGGGTCAATTGATAGTGCTGAGGAAATCCATCATGTGTTCAAATGGTTTCCACCGTTCCTACAGATGTCACGATCAGGGACACATAGATTTGCTTGCTACTTCAGCATGAATGAAGTAACTCCAGTTTCGATCAAAGCGCTAGGGGCTAGCGTGATTGGAAGCTGTCGATTGATTGTGACAGTTCAAGGCCCGTGATCGCTGCACAGACGGTCCGGGTCCTCTCGCTCGGGTTGTGTGTTGACAAGGTGTCGACGGTTGGTAAGGCATACCATGTCTCCAAATAGTCAACCTTGCCTATTATACTACCAAGTTGAATGATATTGATACCTTCCTCTCCGCTTTCAGCAAGAAATCAACTGCTTCTGCATACCCTTCGCATATAACCAAATTTAGCACAAAGCAGACCTTTTGTTCATATTCTCCATACAGAGAATGCACGTTTGGTAGTTTCCACAGTCTCTTAGACGCGGTTATGAAACGATGTCACAACGCATCCAGGCTGAGCCACGGTGGAACTTCAGACGATGGCTTCATATATAACTCCGCGAGGCTCAACGAAGCAAGGTCCTGTTAGAATCTGTAGGTCCTAGAGCACTTCGAAGTCAACAATGGGGGCTGAAACGGTAGCTAGATTTTGCATGCTGGCTATCCTAGCAACAGGTCTTTCAGACCAGCTTCCAGTACTGTGCCGGCGACAAAACAACAGTAAAGCTTCCGGTCCGCTGAGCTTTAGCAACGATGGCACTTTCAAAGTATCCATCTTCGAAGATCTCCACTTTGGGGAAAGTAAGCTAAGATATTGGCATTCGGGGACATGGTTAGAAAACTGTTGCTGACAACATATTTTCGCAGATGCCTGGGAGGCATGGGGACCTGCAGCAGACATCAAGACTGTTGGAGTTATCAACAAAGTGCTTGATGATGCTAAACCCGACTTGGTGGTCTTGAACGGCGACCTCATTACTGGCGAAAACGCGTTTTTGGAGAATGCCACATTCGTCCTCGATCAGCTTGTCAAACCAATGGTTGACCGCAGCCTCCCATGGGCCAGCACCTATGGCAACCACGACTATCAACTCAACGTAACAGGAAGCGACATCCTTGCGAGAGAGAAGCAGTGGCCCAATGCTCGCACACAAAAAATGGTTTCCGACACTAACTCTGGTGTCTCCAACTATTATCTCCCTGTCTATCCCTCCGATTGCACGCAGGATGATTGTAAACCGGAGGTTATTCTCTGGTTCTTCGACAGCAGGGGTGGCTTCCAATACATGCAGACCAATTCCGACGACTCGAAGGTGTTGATCGGACAGCAAAACTGGGTCGACGAAAGCGTAGTCAGCTGGTTCAAGTCGACGAACTCCGATCTTAACAAGAAGCATAGCAAGAATATTCCTGGCGTTGCCTTCGTACATATCCCGCCCAAAGCCTCGGGGGCCATTCAAGCGCAAGGGATCGACCCTGAGAAAAATCCTGGCATTAACGATGATACTCCGCTGTCTCATCAAGCTCAAGGATGGTGCAAAGACGGCAGCCAAAAAGACAATTGCAACTACGGTGGTCAAGACGTCGCGTTCATGAAGGCCATCTCTGACAGTCCGGGGATGATTGGCGTCTTCAGTGGCCACGACCACGGCAACAGTTGGTGTACTAAGTGGAAAGGCACAGTGGGCGACATGACGGTGGATGGAAATGGTGTGAACTTGTGCTTCGGCCAGCGCACTGGCTACGGCGGATACGGCAATTGGATTCGAGGTTCGAGGCAGCTTCTTCTGACGCGAGACAAGTTGTCTAAAGGGGAGCTCGTCACTTCCATTCGGTTGGAATCCGGGAACATTGTTGGTTCGGTTACTTTGAACTCCACCTACGGCGAAGACCAGTATCCTGTTACCCCTAATGACAAGACTTGACCACGACAACGAGAAACGTTAGTTGGAAATCCTCTCCATTGTCTTTGGGCTTCCGGTCCTCAAGGATCATTCCAGAATATTAGCAAATTGGACAATTCGAAGATACCACGCTGATTAATCTGACATGTGTAATAGCTCTAGCTTGAAAGCCAAGACTTTGATTTTCTAATATCTCAATTTTTCAAACCGTGTCAACATCTACAGCACGCTCTTGAAAGAGTATCGTAGAGTTGAGTTTCGTGATGAACAAAGCATTTCGATAGTGCTCTACAAACCCTCCGATTCGCGTTCTCGAGCGTATTGAAAAGTGATGGAAATTATATCCCGCCCCTGAATATGCGCGTTTCATCTTTTCTAAACTGTTACTGCCACCGTACTTAGTAGAATTAAATAATTCGGTCTACGTACCAGAAGCAGCTATTTAAGCCAATTTGAACGCTTCGTTCCGTCGTAGACATTCGCTACATAGTATACCTGCAAAAATTAATTTGCAAAACAAACAACAACAATAGAAATCGACGCGAAAACCTGAAACATCTTACTCAAGATCGGTTCGCACTTGATTCGAACCATCCTGAGCGACTCAGTTGTCCAGGTGTGCAATAGTAGTGAAAGTGATTAATTGGATGGACTTCACATGATCAGCAAAACATTAGTATAAAGCCCTGAAATAAGGCTAAGGTCTTGTACACAAATAAAAGAACGTGGATCTAAATAACCATGAAGCATGATTGCCAAGTTAGAAAAAGAATAATAATGCAACAATGCACTTGGCAAATCATAAAATGGGGGAAAAATTGACCAGCATGGGGGTCGAACCCACAATCTCCTGATTCCACGGTATATCGTAGTCAGACGCCTTGCCATTGGGCCAACCGGCCAGACAATTGAGAACACCTAGGGTGATCGTCTGCGAACAATATCCCCAAGCTTGGAAAAAATCGACTATAATCATAAGATGCTTCACATCTTGTCACTACTCATGCGTCATACCCCTGCCATGGCTTCACCCTGGACCCTCTTATCATCGTCAACACAGTGTCTGTTGGAGTAAAACCCCATCAAGAAAACCATCCCCGTCACCGCCACCCCCCCTGTTGCACCCTATTAGATCCGACTCCTCTTGTGTTGTTGGTGATGATTAAGTGACAATCCCTCCCTGTCATACCTTGGTTGAACCAAGATAAATCGGCAAGCGCCTAGCGCCTAAAGTCTTCACCAATATGCCGCACATCGAACCAACAGTGAAACCAACAATTATTTTACACGTGTGCGTACCCTTGGTAAGTGGGCTCTAAACCCCCCAACTTATTCAAACCCCGATTAATTACCCATTCCCTCGTTTGCCCCGACCTTCCACCTGTCCCTCCCCCGCACCACACCTACTCAGATTCTCCAAGCAACGCACCCGACAGTTTGGATCGAGCTAATATCTCGTGTCGGGTGTTTATTTTTCTTCTTAACTTTGCCGCGCAGAGAAGTGATGGCCAACAATGGTATTGAGTGGACCACAGACGAGGTGAACCATCATGAGTCCGATTACTTTTTCTTAGGTGTGTACGTGTAATGAGATGCTGACGGTATGCAGAACACAGACTTCGACGCTATGGACTCTGACGTCGACTCCGCAATTGATGAGGTATGCCGCCATAAAGTGGACATATCCCTCGCCACTGGAGTATACACTTAACATCAGTAGGCAACAGGGCAACCCGACTTGATTTCGTTGACGTCAAGTATCATCGATTACCAGTTCGAAAACGGTAGATCATACCACTCCATAAGCGAAGGCAGTTGAGTCATCCATGGGTTATGGTCTTGCGTGCAGCCAACTAAACAGCTACAGAATACGCATATCCAAATGACGATGTACTTCTTTCCTTGACTTATCTATGAAAGCCTATGGAGCCTCATTAATCTGACAGTTTCGTTCAGCAAGAGCTCACACGCTACGGTATGTGGGCACTGGCACGTGCCCCCGATATGGCCCCAAAGACGCTCACATGGTCCAGATCTTCAGCATCACATCTGGCTGATAACACTGGATGGAGAATTAGGAGCAAGTCCCGGCAGACATACCGCGAAGAGAGTGTTGGATTTAGGCACAGGGACTGGTATCTGGGCCATCGATTTTGGTCAGTCCGAAGCTGGTGCTGTCTTTCTTTTGATCTAACATGTTTCGCCAGCTGATGCATATCCTGGCTCCGAGGTAAAGAATATCTGCATCTTCCAGAGCATTTAGAAGGCTGACATGTCTCAAGGTCATTGGTGTAGACTTAAGTGCTACCCAACCTGAATTGTGAGTTGTATACCTAATCACTCGCATACTCTTCTCATTCAATGAGTTACCATATAGATTACCTTCAAATTGTAGTTTCGAGATAGATGATCTCGAGCTTGACTGGGAATGGAACCGACCATTTGATTATATTTTCAACCGTTCTCTGGCTGGCAGTTGGTCAAACTTCCGATCCATTATCCAAAAGGCCTTTGAGTAAGCTGTCATTTCCATCTTCTGTTTCTTATGCCCTCGTTCTTTTGACCGAGAAATTTTGTTTCAGCTCTACTAAACTGATGGGAAAGATACTGACAATGAGCGTAGCAACTTAGAGCCAGGTGGATATTTTGAGATCCAAGACCTGGAGCTCCCTTCGTACTGCGACGACGATTCTGTACCACCAACGGCAGCACTTTATCGCTGGCAGCATGCGCTCGTAGACGCTTCTAACGAAATCGGCCGCCCGCTCAACTACGCACCTACCTGTATCGATGATCTTCGAGATGTCGGCTTCGTCGAGATCCACCACCAGGTCTTCAAATGGCCGTTCAACAACTGGTCCGATGACCCGAAGCTGAAAGAAATCGGCCGCTGGAACTGTGCGAACCTGGACATGGGGCTCGAGGGCTTCTCTTTGGCGCTGATGACAAGAGTCAAGGGGTGGGCCCGGGATGCGGTCGAGAAGTTGTGCGACGAGGTCAAGAATGAAGTTAAGGATACGAGATTACACGCGTATTGGAAGCAGTGGGTATATTCTTTCTCACTCTTGTTTTGTAAAACTACTAACACTCATCGTCAGGCATGTAATCTACGCAAGAAAACCTGGCGGGGCATCAGTATGAGTGATCGAAAGGGTCATGCTGTTCGCAATGTCCTGAGTGATGTGACCATGCTGACCAAATCTTCGAGCTGAGTTTCAAACAAACTTGTACAGTGTTTCCGGCTCACCACTAAACAAGTCATAGCCTACGTCTCTGGCAGTTCCAGACAAATACAATACTCTGAATCATCATGTCTAGTGGAGAGGTCGTATCTGATGTAGTGATGGTTTTCTGTTCAAGTACACAAGTTCTTTACATGACCTCTGAGTCACCCTCTGTGAAATGTTTCTCTACAAGTAGAATGACATTTTATCAAACAGACACGGCATCGTCGAACTTTCTTTACGTCGGTTTAAATTCTAGATAGGATATCACCCCAAGGCGCCGGCTACCTTAAGAGACCAAATCTGTTGTACTCCTTTGTTTCTCAGAGTCTCTATCGTCCCCAAAGAGTATCTAGTGTATCATTCAATATGATTCAACAACTTTGAATTTTGATCTAAAACTCATCCTCCCGTAATGCGGAAAATTTAGTCGCCCAGCGTTTCTTTATAAAATTATCCACTCCAGTTACATTGCTGTATGCCAGTGTATGATTACACCAATGGTTACCAATGTTTCCTTCATTCACATTTATATGCAGAAGCTGAATGTAGTTATTTTCTATGTTTATATGTCATTTCGGACCAAGTTACAGTTCTATTAGTATGTACAAGTAAATGCTTGCAAGTAGCTCAACCCGCGTAAAGATCTCCTGTACACTTCGTTCCACCCACATAATAACTATACTACAGTCATTGCAGCACGTATCAGACTGTAAGATCTGCACTACTGTTCGGGTCCATTGATGGCGTCCTGGTTGAATCTCTTAACACGCTTCATCTTTACACCGCCGTGAGTAGACCAGTACTGGTCGAGTCTCGCCATCACCTCGTCGACATTGTTGTAAGGCTGAAGAGACGCCATGAACTGGACCTTCCTGATGATGGCGTCAGTGCTAAAGGCGGCGGGTGTGACGGGTACAGCTCTCCATCTGGCCTCCATTGGATCGGCGAAAGAGGTTTCGTTGTAGCCAAAGTCGGCCAGTGCCGTCACGTTGAAGGCGGCCATCATTTCGTGATCCTCATGGATGAGATTGTGGCAGTGGAACATGTAGACCCCGTCCCAAGGGGCATAGTGCGCTTCCACGCGGACTACCTCGCCGGAGTCGAGCCACACCACGTCCTTCAGGCCAGCAGCCTCATAAGGAAGAACTGGACGCTTCGCCTTTGTTCGGCTAAGAATGCGGAAGTCGACCAGGTGCACATGAATGGGGTGCGTCCATCCACCGCCACCATTTTCAAATTCCCAAATTTCAACAGTGCCGCGGGGAACCCTGGCGAGAATGCGGTTCTGGACGTCACTGAAACCGACACCGTTAATCTTCCACAGACCGTTCTGTCGATGAAACTCGAAATGACGATCAACACCATTGCCTTGACGCGGCGGAAAGGGGACGTCTCGCAACTTGGCAGGAACGACAGAATTGTCGACCACAGCTTTGTTCCCGACGACGAATCGCATAACCTGGTTAGTGAAGCCGTAGTCCTTATCCTTGCCAACATCCTTCTGATTCATGAGCGTGATGTTTTGTCCGGCATAGTTGGAAAAGTCGAACACCACCTCCCAACGCTCTGCCATGGACATAGTGAGTGTGCTTGAGGTGATGGGGCCAGTGAGAAGGCCGGCGTCAGAGGCGATCACCTGGAAAGGAATGTTGGCCCCGCCGGCCTGGCGCTTGAAATAGAGAATGAAGGACCTGGAAACTGCAGCGTTGAGAAAGCGAAGACGATACTTGCGAGGCTCGACCTTGAAGAAGGGCCACGGCTGACCGTTGACGTGAATGACGTCGCCCCAGAGGCTGTCTGTCTCGCCAGCAGGAGAGAAAAGAGAACCATCTTTGTTATATTGCTTGGAAGCCAATACCAAGGGGATGTCGTTCACGCCATAGCCAGTAGGAAGACCTAGTGCATCTTCTGCAGGATCTTGAATGATGTAGGCGCCGGCCTGGCCAAAGTATGCGTTCACCGCCGTCTGTGTTATTTGTTCAGCAAGGCTCAAGTTCACCAATGGGCCAAATTCTTACAATATCCATTGCGTGGTCATGATACCACAGAAAGCGGCCACTCTGGCTGTTGGGGTAGTAGTAGTCCTTGTACTGCCCGGGTAAGATCCTATCCTCAGCCCATCCATCCCAAGGTGCCCTCTATTAGTCTGTTAGAATGTTGCCGTGAGGCAGAGGTCTGTAATAAATATTGTACTCACAGACGGCGACCCATGGAGATGCACAGCACTCGGCAGGATAGCCTTGTTGGTAAATCTGACAACAGTCTCACGACCCCTAGGGATGAGAAAGGTAGGGCCTGGGGAAATACCATCGTAGCCAACGAGTGAAGTCAGCCCCTTGTCGGGGTAGACCTGCTGCTTGAAAGGCACAATGTCGATCTCATAGTAGTCAATTTGCTTGCTAGTGACAGGGTTGGTGATCGACCTAGTCTGGTGTTAATATCCGTCAACAGTCAATTTCTTCTCTCTCAGAAATCTTACAACTTCGGCTGCTTCACGGGCGGTATGGGCAAAGGAAATTGGTAGAAGAACCGGTATTCGGGACTCAACCAATCCTTCGCCGATGACCCTTCAAGAAGTGCCATCACGGCTACAAGCTGAGAAGCGCGAAAGAACATCTTAAAGAAGACCGGGGTGAAGAGGCTGAACAAGGGAAGCAGGGCACCGTTTCAGGGACAATTGTTTCTTGGTAACTTTACACAAAACTTGGGAAAGCTTAGCTAGTCTATATACACCTCAGTCGCCATGGGGCCTCGTCATAACTCTACGCCTCGTGTCCTACCAAGATATGATTCACCCGAGTGGTGTTGCCTGCCCTTCCAGGCCATTTCCGCCTTGTTGTGCTCCCGGTCCAATCAGTCCGAACATTGGAGGAAGCGGGAGGTCTGGATGTGTTCTTTGAGTTGTGGCTCAGACTGCGTGACTCGGTTAGGGCCTAGTATCTCGACGAGTCCAGGAAGAGAGAATCCAGTATCTATTCTTTCTTCTCAGCTGCCTTCAGTAATCGGACGAACGTTAAGCGGTCAGCGCGTATCCCGAAAGTTAGCTGTTCCTGCAGAAACCATGGCAACCCACCCACATCCCGTCGAGGTCTCTCCCTTTGGTGAATCAAACTTTGCTGAGATCACTGACGCACGGCGCTGGTATACAAGGAATTGATCCACCTAGGGGGTCACGAAAGCCATGCTACCAGTTGCAGGTTGTGCATTCTACTGAAAAGGTTAGTGCCATAGCGAGATCCCTCGAGAGATTTTTTAAAAGTGAAGCATCCGTTGCGCTTGGCATCTGGGGGAGGCAGGGGGAGATTGCTGTGAGGTCGAGTTTTGGGCTGCGCGCACATACTTTGATTGATCAAGAAAATGCTATAAATGCGGCTTGACTCCCCTGCTTTTTTTATTTTTTAAGGTGGAAAGCTGCATGCTGCTGCTGCAACATGGACTGCCAAGTCGCGCCGCCGAGAGTGTGGGCTACCCCACGGACATGCTATCGTTGATAGCGCTTTCGAAGGAGAGGCATAAGGAGTTTCGCGGCTTCGTAGATGGAGGTTCCATTCAGACAACGGGCGCAAAATATCGCGGGGGCTGCTCTTGCATCTCTCCAATATCCCGAGAAGCCGCCTGTAGCTAGTTCAATCCTTGAGTAAGCCCATCCGCAGGCTCGGGCGCCACCCTCAAACTGATACTCTAGCTTGCGTGGAAAGACTCGGGCTGACAGCTAGCTCATGGCGTGTAATGCACGTGGCAGCACGTATTCATTGTTATGCTTTAGTGGCAATCCGATGTCTCCTAGAAGGCGGATGGGTCCTCGGTATTTCTTGACGTGCTGCGTTTATCAGCCTACAGAAATCATGTACAACTTCGGACTCGAGAAAGCCTGTTAAGGTCACAGCGCAGACAATGCATTGTCACAGCGACTGAGCTGATTCAGGGGCTGCCCCCGACTCACGAGGCCCACTCGGGCTCCGTGCCGACACCGTCAACGACCCATGCATCGGCGTTGTCGCAATCAGTCTGAAAGCATAACAGATGGAATATTTGGCAAAACATGGGAACCATCCATCCACTCGCGCACTGCAGATCACCCAAATAAGCAAAAGAAAGGGCTCAACCGGGGATCGAACCCGGGGCCTCTCGCAGAGCAGACTATGTCAAAGCCCAAAGCGAGAATCATACCTCTAGACCATTGAGCCGATGAGCCAAATTGTTTTCAATCTGGAATGGGGCTGACAATCTCGCTGCGCTTACAATAATATGTATCGTGCTCCAATCGATGATTGATTCTTGGTTATGCTACAAATTGGAAATCAATCTGGAAGCGAACGCCATGTCTTTTCGTCTACTTGGATTCGCACAATGACTGCCTTTTGTTAAACGGTCATGCTAGGTTGAAGGAAGAGAATAGCGTAATCTGACGTTGCTAAAGGAAATTTTGACTAAGGACGGAGCCGTCGTTAATGTGTCCGTCATGTGTCCGATTTCCTCGATAAGACCCATTTGAAACCTTGACGGTGATTGGCGCCATTGAGCTTTCCCCAGGTGCCGCCGCGATAGTGAACAAGCCCCTTCGATACAGGCCGAGTGCCGCGAATGACATGGGTCTTGTCTATGTGTCTCTGTTGGAACCTACCCGACAGCATTCAAACGTGCATCGCGATGTGTCGTGGCCTTTGCAAACACTCTGAGAATATGGTGAGATGTGTTCAATACTGTACCGTCAATGGGAGGCGCACAGGCCTTCAACAGACGCATGAATCCATTGCTAGAAGAACACGCCGTAGCCGTTCAACTTTAATGCCCGGTGGCAAGGGATCGTGATCTCCATAGATCCCCGACAAACGGGGCCGGTCGTGGATCCCGCGCACCGACGGCCGATACCCGCCCTCCCAGACTCCCGGGACGGCTGTCGGCCGGGGACAAACAACCGCATACCGTCAAGATGATGTGGAATACAGAGCTTTCTCCCACGTCACCCACATTGGAAACGCTTGCCAAGCTGTGATCCACTGTCCACGTTCGTAATCCACTTCTAAGGCACTAGGTCATCATGTTGGTTGCCGAGGGTCCAGCCTGCTCCGGTATCATAGGGGCATTTAGTGCGGCCTCCTTCCCCGCGACATATCTCCCTTAATCACGATGACGTTTAGCCAGCAGGATTATCGACGGTCGTTTCGTCGGCCTTTAACTCTCGCTTATGTGGGATTTTTCCAGGCCGTCGATGAGGGAAGAGCCTGGGACAGCGAGATTCAAACCTCGCTGGGCTTTCTTAACATGCTGTCAAAGAAACCCGAATCAAACAGTCTGGATCGCCGTTTCAAGCCCCACAACGTAGGGACTTTTCTCCCTGACCTGCCGCCAAGCTAGCTCCTCCTTGTCCTCCTGATAAGTCGGGCGCCAAGGCGGCTGGCGGTGCGGCTTCTTGAAAGATGTTCGCCTTCAGACAGCCGGCGCTCTGTACTGTAATAAGTGCCAATGTAACGTTTGGAATTTTTACTTAGGTACACCGCTTCTCTCTTTCATCTGAACGCCGGCGGTCTGTTTCCGCTTTGCTACTCTTTGTGCGAAAGTGAAAGCTTTCACTGAGAAAACGTCCAGTCTTTTCGAAACCAACCTTGGACTAAAACGCAACATCGGTCCAGTAGTATAGTGGGATGAACATGGCAGCCAGTAAAGCTGGGGCGGTTTTGGCCAAAATACTTGGTATCGATCTCGAGGCCAGCAATCGTCATCAGACACCGGAGCTACATGAGCATATCGCCAAGACTATTTCACCTTACAAGCCCTACTACGAGGAGGACCCGACAGTAAAGGAATGGTTATTAGAACACGTCCCGACAAAGAACGGATCGGCTCGCTATCTCAAGAGCCTATTTCCATTTACAACATGGATCTTCAGATACAATGCTCGCTGGCTTATCTCTGATGCCATCGCAGGTGGGCTCCAAGTCTCTTTCATCAACATTTGCAGTCGACATCTCGTTACTAACATCATCCAGGTGTCACACTCGGACTCGTAGTCATCCCCCAAGCCATGGCATATGCCCTCCTGGCACGCCTCAGCCCCGAATATGGTCTCTACACATCCTTCACTGGCGCAGCTCTCTACTGGATTTTCGGCACATCGAAAGACATTGCGATAGGCGTAAGTTCTTTGCAATTCTCAGCCTCATCACACTTTCTCCTAACTGCAATCCAGGCAACAGCAGTGGTCTCCCTCCTCGTTGGCAAAATCAGCGCCAAAGTCCTTGAAGAACATCCGGGCGAATTTCAACCCGAAGAAATCTCCAAAACCCTTGCCTTCTTAGCGGGCGCCATCCTCCTTGCCTTCGGCCTGCTCCGCCTCGATTGGATCATCGAGTTTATCCCTCATGTCGCCATCTCTGCCTTTGTCACCGCTGCCGCAATCACCATCACCCTCAGCCAGGTGCCATCCCTTCTTGGTATCGACGGCGTCAACTCCAAGGGCGCTGCGTACCGTGTCTTCATCGATACCGCCAAGGGTCTGCCCCGAGTGAAGCTTGACGCCGCTATCGGCCTGACGGCGTTGGTATCGTTAGCCGCAATCAAGTGGTACTGCGAACGTATGGCAAAAGCACGGCCAAAGCACAAGCGCATGTGGGAGATGCTCTGCTCACTGCGCATGACCTTTACAGTTGTGCTTTACACACTTATAAGCTTTTTGGTGAACCGGGGCTTGGCGGGCGAAGACCACAAGTTTCGCATCACTGGGACGCTCCCTCGGGGCTTCACCCACGCTGGCCCACCCAGCTTGAATCCAAAGTTGATCTCAGCTCTGCTGCCGGATCTCCCAGCCACAGTCATTATCCTCGTGATCGAGCATATTGCAATCGGGAAATCATTTGGCCGCATCAACAACTACACCGTCCAGCCGTCGCAGGAACTCATTTCAATCGGCTGCACCAACCTCTTTGGCCCCTTTCTCGGCGCATACTCCTCAACCGGCTCCTTTGGCGGCACCGCGATCCTCTCCAAGGCCGGGGTGAGGACGCCCCTGGCTGGTGTCTTCAACGGCGCAATCCTGCTTCTCGCCTTGTACGCCCTGACCTCAGTGCTCTACTTCATTCCCATGGCCAGCCTAGCCGCACTTATCATCCACGCCGTGATCAACCTCATCACCTCGCCCGACCACATTTTCAAGTCATGGCTCATGTCACCACCCGATGTCTTCATCTACTTTACTGGTGTGTTTGTATCGATCTTTACCAGCATCGAAGACGGAATCTATGTTACCGTTGCCCTCTCAGCAGCTTTACTTCTGCTGCGACTTGCGCGATCTAAAGGCCGATTCCTGGGCCAGGTGCGTGTCTACCGTCATCAGAATCATGCCGCCTCCGCCGATCAGAAAGACTCAGATCATCATTCCGTCAGCAGCTCGAACACCCTTTCGCATAACAGGACCTCGTCTTCGATTCGTCCCCCAGCACACGATGTCTTTCTCCCAATTGACCGCAGAGATGGCACCAACCCAGCTGTGCATGTCGATGAGCTGTATCCAGGTGTTTTTATCTACCGATTCACCGAGGGCTTCAACTACCTCAACCAAGCGCAGTATGTAGACCGGCTGATCGAGCACGTTACCCAATCAACCAGACGTACCACCACGCCTCACTACGATCACCCTGGGGATCGCCCTTGGAACGAAGCTCTTCCGCCGGCGTCCGTCGAAACCGATACAGAGTCTCCCGCAACGTCCAAACCATTGCTCCGAGCCATCGTTCTTGACTGTTCCGCCGTTAATAATATGGACTCGGGGGCAGTCGAGGGTCTTATTGACCTCCGTAACCAACTTGATCGGTGGGCGGTGCCTGAACTGGTTGAGTGGCATCTCGCAGGCCTACACAACCGATGGACCCGCCGCGCTCTATCGGTCTCTGGCTTCGGCTCTCCGGCTGTGGGTCACGTAAAGAGGTGGGAGCCGGTGTTCAGTCTGGCCGACCTAGCAGGCAGGCCACCTATGCTTTGTGACCGACGGGTCTCCACAGCTGGGATGAAGACGGCATGCGTAGCCAGCGACTCTGAGGATCTTTCATCCTCAGCACTGGAGGAATGCAACTTTGGTTCCAAGGAAAGTGGGACCAGGCACTTTGCCGCCGTCAGTGGGATCAATAGACCGTTTTTCCATCTTGATCTCTCCTTGGCCGTCGAGGATGCGGTGAAAAACGCGATGAACAAGGATCATCAGCCAGGAGTTTGAGAAACTTTTTGATCCCGAGCTTGGGTATGGGAATGGCGTTTTATTAGAGGAAGGTTAAGCGTGTTTTTCCTTGGAGTATTGATCTATTTACCTTGTAGATACTCCACCAGTGTGCAGTCTCGTCTAGAAGTTTCATTTCTCAACCAACCAAGGGTCATTAGACAAACTCCAAGGCTGATTTGTTAAGGTTTTTGAACCATGCCAGTGACCGGCCGCCTATGCTGCATTGCCAACTCTTTGACAAATGGTTTATCTAACAAAATATCTATGCCCGTCAGTCTTTTCATGACTCGAACGTGGTCGCCAATACCCTCGGGGTGCCAGAAAATCGCGCTCACAGGGGATAGACTGATTTTGAGCGAGTAGTGGTACCAAACTCTTAGCATACTGACTGAGAAGACCCCACTCGCAACTGCGGCGTCAAGCTGAAGCGCAATAATATCTGGTGGTGGAAGAACAAAACACTGCCCGAGTCTTCACACACAAGGTTGACCCAGGTTTCGAATGGGAGATGATTGAAAGGACAATGAGTTCTTACTGGCACAAAGGTTGCGGAACATTGTGTCCTACGTTATTATATTTTAGAAGCCCAAATGTTCACAGCCATTGGGCGTCGCCTATAGCCCCAAACTATGTTAACTGGGTATACCACAGACTAGGACCAGATTTTGTCAAAGAGCATCGTAGAAGGATTTCGAGCAGCGTTCAGATGACCCACACAGAGCATCTATTGCCTCGAATCCATCAACAATGCCGTGTCATCAAGTCGACCAACAAGCGCTGTAATCACACCCTATGATCACTAGACTGGAACTTTGTAGGCAACAGGCGTTGATGAAGGTACTATTAGGGCGACGCTCTGCTTCCCTTTGGAACGTGTCACCCCTCGTTAGACCAGAGTGATGTCGGCACGTATCTTAATCTCTGGCAGCGCGATCTCAAGACTTCTATAGTGACTCAATATTGCATCAACGGTTGCTGATATGAGGAAAAGTAAAACATCACCGACGTAGCCTCAATTAGATTGGAAACTCTCACTGGTGTGTCAGACAAATGCCGTGAACAGACGGTATAGGACGCGGCATTCTCGGGGTAATCACGTCTTAACACTTCACTTCTGCAATTGCCATTCTGCTCCGGCTCTGATGCCGGTCGTTGTGTATTCGCCGCAATAAGTTGCCGGACTGGCTGAGGCGGTACCACTCACAGTCGTTTAACAGGGATGGCACTTCGTCGTGTTGTCAACCACAGGCACATGTATATAGTTCTAGATCATCGTATCGATGATCATTTGATGAAAGGGGATGAATGCTTTATTCCGGATTATGCCGTCATGGGGCTGGCGAGATGACATTCTCGTACCTACAAGGCTAACAAAGATGCAGGCTGCTTGCGCTCGTAGCGAGTTGCCTCAAAGTAAGACTTTAGGTAAGTCCAGTAGCGACTTACCTCATCCCCTCACCACAAAGTAGAGGTGTCAAGCCTTAATCTACTTATCAAGATTGATTTTCTGGAGGTGGCAGGCATCGGGAGATTACCCGCCGTTCCTTATGATGTGTCTCGGTCATTGGTCTCCGCTCCTCGGTATGAAGTGCCGACATAAGGCTTGGAGCCTCGGTTTCGGTTTCGATCGTCGCCCCGAGACCATTTAAGGTACATCCACTACGATGATCAGCAGTTAACGTTAAACGTTGCAATTGTCCGAATGCATAGAGCGGTTCCACCGAGGGAATGCATTGTTTTCAGGTTTGCGGGATAAAACAATGTCTTCGAAAATCTCATTCCTCCAAGAATCGCACATCAGGCTGGGGAGAGGCGCCAACAAGATATTCACAAACTTTTGTTGGTGGCGGCGATGGTGGAGCAGCATACTGAGGAAATTCGCTCGATGGGAAGTTACACTGAGATGACTTGGGATTAGTGTCAAATGACGAAAAGAGTTGTTTATGGATGCAGGGTTCCGGTGGTCGGTTTAGAAGCTTCCAAGGCGATCGTTTGCCTCGTGATGACCGCCATCCTTGAAAGATAGGATGGTCATTAGAGAAGGGGGTCTAGACCCTCGGGGAATTTTGCAGAATGTAGAGTGCTTTTTACCTAAACCTGGCTGGCTAAGACAACTGGATGTTTTGAGGTGATTGGAGCGATTTGCGAGTTTGGTGCTAGGCGCGGAGCAAGGCGGCTATCTGCACGATGATCCTTGGAGCCGCGAGGGATGGATGGGGAATTTCCAATTCGCGATGTCAACAAACTGGGGTTATGTCATAGTGTGTTTGCAACGTATGAAGACGAAGATGAAAACGACCAGTTGCAAGCTTGTCAAGCTGGACAGCCATCCGGCAGTTGAGCAGATTGGTGTTTTTTGAAAGAGCTTCCCCGAGCGATATGAATTGGTTCTACGACGGCGAGCTACGAAGAGCGGTATTACCACGACTAAATGCAAATAGTTATTGACAACATACCAAAAGTCGAAAGCCATGGAGAACCAATGTCGATATGGATGAGTTTTCGTCCCAATTAGCTTAGCGGCAGCCTTGAACCGCTAATCAAGCTGCGACTCGGCACAGCCAAAGCACCAAGGTGACCCCCAGTCAAACGCTGACAGGTGTGACAAGGGACTGGAGACATGCAAGCGAAGCAGAGGTTGAGAACTGACGGCATCGGGAAGCGCTAGGTTTTGCAGCAATCAGGGGCCAACTAACGACTGTGCAGTTGGAGTATGAGCTGACGCAACCCTCGCCGACGATGCTTTTCACAGTATCAGGTTTGATGACGATGGGAGAATTGTCAGGCTCCTTGCTCCCCGGATTTTCGGAGTGCTCCAAGGTTCAAGGACTACCACCGTAAAGACAGCAAGGAAGAGAAAGACGTTGGGACCGGGTCTTGAAACTGAGCGACCATCTGGCGGGCGCCTCATTGGTGGAATGGGCCACACCTCACCCTGTGCTTCCCCCACCTGTTTGACATGTATTAAGGAGTGACGGGAGACACTACTTTTTCACACTCTAGGAGCTCTTGGCGGTAGCAGCCCGGTCGTTTCCTCACTTGCATCCTCTCTCCCCTTACCGTCTTCCGTTTCTACGATGCTCTGTCTGGCCGGTCCTTGGAAGATTGTTCAAGAGACTATCCTCTGAAGTTGAAGTTTAAGCTGGGGTGTTGCGTCGAGGTTGTGAGCTTGGGTCTTGCGATGGCGCCAACGGCAAATTCTCTACGAAACCAAGCGCCGCGACTCTCCGGAGGGTTGATCGCAATCAGACGAAGACCCCGGTGACGGAGACAGTGGCGGTGACGGCGACGGCGACGGCGCACCGCTGACGGACACGGGATGACCATCCGGTCGATGGAAACAACAAGAGTCTAGCACAGAGTATGCAACGAAGCCAATGTCACCATCTACAGGAAAGCAGACAAATGTTCGTCGCCCGGAGCCACGGAAACCCTAGCGTCTGGTTTGCCCGTGGTCATTCCATGTTCCACCTGCTTGGCTGGCGTCTGACCATGATGCGCCCCAAAAGGCCAACGCCAACCCCGGGCCCAGCGAGTGGAGAAGAGTCGAAATTGCGTCCTCCGCCGCGTTGGTCGTGATGAAACTGCTAGGGGAGATTTGATCAGCCCAAGACCGTTCTACAGTCGACTTACACCTGCCTACATGCGCCCAAACGCGCATACACAGAGGGGCCTTGTCTCCCGTAGCCCTGTCGTCTGTGTCTTTTGCTGACACCGCCGCTGCGGCGACGACGGCTCCCCCCCTTACGGATACCATACCATGGTGCGGGCCAATATGGGGATTTTTCGTTGAAGGCTCCATTCGCGCCAATGTCTTCTTTAAATGGAGGCAAACACCGCACCTCTTGGTCTCGGCGAGAATCCTTCTTCCCTCTCTCTCCTTCGATCAAGGGATTGTTGACCATCTCCTTGCCCGTACCGACATTCGTTTTTTTTTGTGCGCCATTCGTTCATTCATTCATTCGAGGTTCCAACCCCTTTAAGCGATCAAACGAAACATACACGCCGGGCGATACTCACCAGATCCGACCGATTTACATTCTTTACTGGACTCTGAGAGTCCCTGACATCTTTAGCTAAAGTTCGGAAACGCCCGGCAAAACCAGCAATGCGTTTCCTTTCCGTCCTCGGCTTCGCGGCCGCGGCCGTCGCCCAGTTGACTTCGACGTCCCTCGAGAAGCACGTCGACTCGGCCACCCTCAGCAAGTCCTTCAACCCAATCAAGGAGGCTTACTGGACCGGCTACCCCCACCACCGCCGCACCCCGTTCGCCGTCTCCCCCGACGGCAAGTCGGCCTGGCTCGCGTACCTCGACTCTTCCGAGACGGGCGTCCACGTCCAGCAGATCGACCCCACCACCTTCGCCGCCACCGGTGAGCCCATTACTATTCCGGGCGGTAAGGAGGCCGGCGGTCTCGTCGCCCACAATGACGGGTTCGCCATCCTGACCAACGAGCTCCTTTCCGGCGGCCCTGTTGACACGCCCATCGCCGTCCTCTACCGCTTCACCGCCGGCAAGCAGACCTTCAAGACCCCGCTCGGCGGCCCCAACGTCGACGGCAGCCAGGCCATGGCTTCCCCCGACATCAACGGTGACCTCGTCTTCTCTGAGAAGGCCGGTTACTACGCCGCTTACATTGTCGTGACCGCCTACGAGGGTGAGGCCACGGGCCATTTTGGCGACGCCATCCGCTACGTCGACACCGCCGGAAAACTCACCAATATCCCCGGTGCTTCCTCCTCCTGGGGCTGCTCCCACAACACTGGCATCGCCTTCGAGGCCGCCGACGCCGCGCCCTTCGCCTCCCTGTGCGCCGAGGACCAGGGTGCCATCTGGCTGAACACCAAGACCCAGGGCATGACCAACGACGGCGTCAAGGTCTCCAACGAGCACGTCATCAACGGCGGCGCCAACGAGGCCATGGGCGGCATGTCAGGCTCCTACAGTGTCCTGGCCCGCTTCATCGGCGCCGACTCGTACATCTTCTCCTGGGTCTCCCGCGGCGCCAAGGACCTGACCCTCAACGCCTGGATGGGCCAGGGCTACACCACGTCCGTCAACCGCACCAGCAACCGCAACGTCGCCATCGCCCTCTTCTCGGACAAGGAGACTCTCGTCGGGGATCAGGCCACCTCCGAGGTCGGGGCCGCCAACGGCGACAGCCAGATCAACTGGGTCACCTCTGGTGCCAACGACTGCTCCAACGCCCACGCCGCCGCGTTCGACAGCTCCAAGGCCCTCGTCACCTGGGAGGAGATCTCCAACCCCATCTGCGACTTCGACGCCATGGGTTGCCGCGGTGCCTTTGCCGGCACCAAGTTCCAGATGGTCGGTAGCGACGGCAAGAAGCTCGGCGACGTCATCAGCTCCGACGACACCTACGTCGCCGGTGACATGGTCACCATGTCCGACGGCCGCATCTGCTGGCCCTACGTCGCTATGGACTGGAAGCTCGACGGCCCCGTCCAGGGCTCTCCCGTGTCCAAGATTTCCTTCGCCTGCATGAGCGGTGGCACAGGCAACGGCGGCAGCTCTTCTTCTGCGGCTCCTTCGTCCGCTGCCCCTGCTTCCAGTGCCGCCCCTGTCGCCTCTTCCGCCGAGCCCGCCACCACCGATGCCGTTGAGGCTGTTGCCTCCATCAGTGCCGGCGCCGTCGACCCTACGTTTACTCCCGGCGAAACCCCCCAGCCCATCTTCGTGACTCTTTCCGGCCCCGCCTTCACGCCCACCGCCTCACTTCCGGCCGCGTCCTCCGCCGCTCCCACCTCCGAAGCCGCGGCCGTTCCCTTCGAGTCTCCCGCTGCTTCCAGCGTCGCGTCTGTGTCGGTGCCCGCCGGCGCTCCCACACCTATCTTCGAGACTCTATCTCAGGACCCCGTGGCCTCCTCGGCCGCGCCATCTGCCAGCGCTCCCGCTGAGGATCTCGTGTCTTCTCCTTCCACTTCCGTGTCGGCTCCCGCTGGCGCTCCCACCCCCATCTTCGAGACCTTGTCCCAGGACCCCGTTGCTTCCTCGGCCGCGCCGTCTGCCAGCGCTCCCGCTGAGGATCTCGTGTCTTCCCCTTCCACTTCTGTATCGGCTCCCGCTGGCGCTCCCACCCCCATCTTCGAGACTCTGTCCCAGGACCCCGTGGCCTCCTCGGCTGTCCGCTCCGTCAGCGCTCCCGCCGAGAATATCGTGTCATCTGCTTCCACTACTGTATCGGCTCCCGCTGGCGCTCCCACCCCCATCTTCGAGACCTTGTCTCAAGACCGCGCCGCCTCCTCGGCCGTTCCTTCGCAGACCACGAGCAAAAGCAGCACTCCCACCAGCGGCGCTGGCGGTTTCGGCAACGCACCCAGCCCTACCAAATGCACCGGCCCCGACGGCCAGGATAGCAGCACCCGCACAAGCATCAGCATCCGCACGATTGTCACGACCGTATACGTCACCGTATAATCAAGTAGATGGGAGATGAGTGTATATCACCCTGTGAGGATGATGATAGAATACCGAAAGAGAGGGAGAGGAAGAGCAGAGCAACCTGCAAATCTCTTTGAAATGAGAGACTGAAGGGATTGGGCTCGGATGAGATTTCTTGTACATACTATGTACGACTTTGTACACAACTTTTCCCGCTTCGCATTTCCAGCTCCCATGCGTCCGCTTGGATGAAGGGGCTTGAGAGCGAACCAAGGCCAGTGGCCGATTTTGAGCAACTTGAACCAACAAAAAAGGTCATGGTCGGATCCTGCCGACATGCGTGTCAGACTCCATAATTCCTTGGCTTTATTTTGCGGGTCTTTTCGGTAAGACACCGGCAAATGGCCGTGTGATTGTGTTGATGCCGATTGTTAATGCGATCAGGTGCGATGGATTCGTACACTGAGCGCACGTGGGCTCGGCCGAGGATGCGTGGTGGTGAGCATGGAAGATGAGTCGTGAACCAATCCAAGAAAGCCCATGGGAGGAAATGAGCAAAAAAAATGATTCAAGCGGCCTAGAACCAGCCATTAAACCCACCATCAAAGAATCAATAATCCCACTTATTCCGCGCGCCAACCAACCAGACTCGAGAAACGTACGTCGTCAGCAGGGAATGGCCAGCAAACAGCCGGGGAATTCTTCACAGAAATCAACTCTCCAGCATCGGTATACCTGCTTGTCAACTCTATAGTTGCTCATCCACAAGAATAAGAGGCGGCCTGAACACGACAAAGGGACGGCGCTGGCGGAGCACATGTCACGCAAAGCCACCTACCACCCCTGTCGCGCATCTGCTTGTCTTCAGGGGTATCACCTGTGTGACAGTCAGGTACGGCGATAATGAGATGCCATTGGGACCTATATCCTCCTGTACGGCGCAGGGCTGACAGGGAAACAGTCCAATAAAGGCGTTGTGACGGACATAAACATCCTAATTGGGTGCTTGTCATCCGCGCAGAGACAGGATCCCCCGTTGAGTCAATTTGATAGGGGACCATCGGCTTGAGCAATATGGCCAATGAGACTCGTGAGAGCTTGAACTACGTCGGCCTCTTTGGGAGCGATACCGACATACCTTAATTCTCCCACCTGATCCTACCTGAAGGCACATCGCCTACGGGCTCCATCGCCACCACCGGCCCCCCTTGACGACAAGAGGCCCGTGATATCGCCGCTTCCAAACGCGGACGAGGACACGCGATGGCCAAGGCCATTCGCTGAGCATGTCTCCGAGCCGTCGCCGAACAGAAGGGACAAAGTCCCACCCGCGGCCAGTATCCGACCATCTCCAAGACCATGCGCACATCACCGCGGCTTAATCGGAGGCCCGCCAAGCTGTCGACGTTGCACTCAGCAGCCCCAATCTGGCCAGCCGCCTCTACTCTGACCTGAGTATCCCTGTCACGGATAACAGAGACACATGTCCTCGTTGCCCGAATAGGCATCACGCCATCTCCTTTCGCGCCTCCCCCCATGTTGGGCCACCCAATCGGTCATGGGCATGAGTGAGATGCGGATCGTGAGATACTAGTACGGTTCCCGTTGCCGATATCTGCGCGTCAGTGCCGAAGGCTAATCTCATTCATGTGCTAACCGTCTACAGGGAGGTAGGGAGGGGACGACGATGGGGGATGGGGGAGGAGGATGAGGAGAAGGAGGAAGGGTAGTTTTTGCCCACCATATAAGACGTAGTGGCTGCCTCTCCTCCGAGTTGCTTGGAGTTGATGCTGCAGCATCTGCTCGTCGGTGGTTCTGCACTCGCCAAGTCAGTCTCTTGATTCAACCAAGCCAGCTTAGTTGCTGTGCGTCCTTTCGTTTTCCACTACACTACACTCGTTAATCTCTTAATACAACACACTCGCTATCATGGTTCGCGCGACCCTGGCCGGCCGTCTTTTGGCCGCTCTCCTTCTTGCAACCGGCGCTGCCGCGCATGCTGAGGGATGCAGTTGCTCTTCCGACGGTGTCCAGCGCGTCACCTACATTGTGGTCGAGATGCCCGAACAGCCCGAGCAAGTGGCGCCTGCATCGACATTGACTACCCTGTTGATGCCGACGCCTACGGCCCAGCCACATGTCATCGAGGACATAATGTCTTTCGAGGCGGTTGTTGCCAAGCCCGAGCCCGAGGCGCTGCGTCCCGCCGTCAACACTACACACACTTTCGGTCCCTCCACCGCACCGGGCATCGACACCAAGGACCCCATCAACATCGTCCCGGCCACCAACGTCTCGCTCCACTACTCGGCAGCCGAGACCGAGGAACAGGGTTCGATCGACATGACGCTCGCGTTCAAGAACCCGGCCGTGGTTCTCGAGCACGTCGACGCCGTCAAAGCGGTCGTTTGTGCAGACGACGAGCTCACCGTCGCCTTCTCCGACCTCGACGCCTTTAACAAGGCCGCCAAGGATTGGTCCGAGTCGGAGGAGGGCTTCATCCTCATCACCAACCACATGGGCAACTGCGACGCCGAGTTCGAGCGCGGCTTCTTCCTGGCTACCAGCCTAAAGTCGAACGAGGATGAGCTGTCCATCACCGTCGCTGCGTCAAAGGAGGAACTGACCAACATCGCTGGAGCATGCGAAATGTCCTTCACCTCCCTCCCCGCCGCCACTTTATCCAAGCGCCTCACGCTCGACCCTACTGTCTCGCTCTCCTTTGCCGAGGGGCTGGCCGACAACACGGTCCTCTACAGCGACGGCCAGTACGTGAACATCACGGCCGACGAGGCCTGGTTCAGCTCCAGCATCACCTTCTCTGGCTACCTCAAGTACAACTTCTGGGGCTTCAAGCTGGAAGCCCTCTACTTTGACCTCGATACCACGTTCGATTCCGCAGTAGGCCTCTCGGTGGACGTGGCCGCTTCCTACAGCCACTCCCTGAAGTACGCCCCGGACGCGCTGGCTTACTCCCTCGTCACCGTCCCGGGTGTGGTCCAGCTCGGCCCGGGCGTCGCGTTCGCGGTCGGCCTGGACTTTGACGTCTCAGCCGCGGTCGGCGTCACGGCTGGTCTAAGCGTGTCCCTCCCCGCGGGTAACGTGCACCTCGACCTCCTCCACAGCGACCAGTCGACTGCGACGGGCTGGGACCCCAAGTACAGCAGCCACGCCAACATCACCGAGTCGGCCGATGTGCACGTCGACACCTCGGCCGACCTCACCATCCGGCTGGCGTTCGAGCTGATGGGCGGCCTGGTGGACCTCAGCGCCGGCATCACGGCGTCGCCGGGCTTCGACAACACGTTCAAGCTGCGCGGCGACCAGGATCTGGCGCTGGCCGGCAACTTCACGAGCAAGCCCACAACGGCGAGCGCCGACGTGGCCAAGGACGGGTTGGTCTGTGCCGAACAGAACGGGGTCGAGTTGGCGACTGACTTCTACTTCAACCTGACCGGGTTCGCGACCAAGTGGTGGAGCGGCGAGCTGTACAGCACTCGCGTCCCTCTCTGGGATGTGTGCTACAGCTTCTAAAGCGGTAGTGTCATTGACGACATGTTCCTGGCACAGTAATAATGACCATTTTCCTTTCTCATAACGTACTATACAATAATCCTATTAGTCAACTTTCCACGTGCTACTGCGTCTTTCCTGTGCCACGCCTTGATACAAGCTTAAAGGACATAGGCGTGTACATTTTCCCTTTTTGGGTTTCCCTAAGGTTTAAACTCGTAACCGGAATGGAATGATGATGGACCTTGGACAAGGACCAGAATATGCCGCACCAAGACGTGATTAACCCGGGGGGTTTCGCAGACGATCACGGATCCAGAACCGCAGAATTCAAACGATAGATGTATGGTTTCCAAGAATAGCTCTGTATCGGAACAATGGGTAGGCGTGCCCAGAAGGGCAAGGCTCAACCTCCATCTGCCGCTCGGGAGGTTGAGAAGTGGGTGGATGATGCCTGGACCCGGACTCGGCACTCTCCCCCCCTTTTGCCGATCAGCAGGAACCTCAAACCCCCACAACCCCCTCTCGTTCAACCCCGGGCCCGGGGCCGTGGTTCCCCGTCCACTGTGTTTTCAAGCTTAGACTGCCCGAGAGCGGTGCTTGTTCTTGTCTAGTTGTATTTTCTCCGTGTTTGCACACATTTAAGCAATACAGCACGCGCACTGGGTGCGGCGTGCCGGTGGGTGCGGCGCACCGGTTGTTTCAGCATTTTCCTGACGGTTCCGGGACCAAGTTCCGGATGGCAGATGACGTTAGCCGCCCTTTGGATGAGCAGCACGATAGACGAATAAAAAATGGGACGAAAACGGACAAGCAGAATATCTCACGTTGCCAGCCATGGAAACCCCAGACGGATGCTTGGGCGACACGGGTTTTGGCGGCACTCACGCGTCGTGCAATCGCCATGGTCAGCCTCCATGGACGCTCTGCCAAGCCCAAGCAGGGCGATGTTCCTACCGCAGCACGACGTGAGATGTTGACAAGCTGCGCTGGGCCAAGACTTTATTTTTGAGGGGGGTTGCGACAATCGAACCCCTGAGACTGATGCAACTCGGCGAAACTTTTGTGGAGAGGAGTCAGCGTTTTGGATGGTTGCTCCTCCATTGTCGATCGCCGGATGGCTGTGGGAACTATCCCGCCGCCAAGGTTGTTCTAACAAGTTCCAAGACGTCAGAAGGGCTTCCGAGTAGTGAAGAGAACTGGAGACGACGCCGATCGAATAATCCAGCTGTCTGGTACATTTCGTAGTAAGAGAGTGATGGCTTGGCTTCGATGTTGGTTGTTTCAAGAGTCTTCTCGCCCGTTGGCCGCCAATGGGATTCGATGGGAAAGCGACTATCATCTTCGGACACTCCACCGCCGACGGGACCTTGGCGAAAGAATACCAGATGATGGCGCAAAGAGGGGGTGAACACATAGAGAGGACGAACCGGACCTGACAAGTTCAAGCTGAGAAGACGGGTTATAAAAATTGACCTCCTGGCCGCCCATGATGGATGCTTAGTTCTTGCTCCTAACCCCCATCGCATCACACTTCATCCATCACTACACCTTATTTCAACTTTCCTTTTACTTTGAGCTAGTCTCAGTCTCTTCAACACTACTCGGGCAGTAGTCAGTCTTTTCGCTTGTAGTTCACTCTCCTCCGACTTTGACATCCGTCAGAAGCACTCACTTGTTCCTATTTATTCATTTCCACATCCCTTTCCTCAAGATGAAGTTCTCCACCGCAGCTATTGCCATCCTAGCCGGCGTCGTCGCCGCGGCACCCGCGTCAAACGTTGCCCAGAGCCGCGAGCGCCGTGCCACCGGAGGTAGTGACGTCGCCCAGCAAATGCAGTCCACTTTTGCCCGCAGCAACGGCGACGCCGGCGTCAACGTTGTTGCTGCCGAAGCGGAGGCCAGCAAGCGCAAGCGCGGTGGCGGCGGCAAGCAGAACAACGCTGGTGGTGGTGGCGGCAACGCCGCCGATGAAGAAGATGCGGCCGGTGGCGATAACGCTGCTGACGAGGCAGATGCCGCTGGTGGTGGCAATGCTGCTGATGAAGAGGACGCGGCCGGTGGCGGCAACGCTGACGAAGAGAACGCGGCTGATGCCGGTGGTAACGCTGCCGACGAGGAAGATGGTGCTGGAGGCGACAACGCTGCCGATGAAGAGAATGCCGCCGACAACGGCGGCGGGAATGCCGCTGATGAGGAAGATGCCGCTGGCGGGGGCGGTGCCGTCGAAGAGGATGCCGCTGGCGGTGCGGCCAACAACGCGACCGCGAGCACCGGAGCCGATGGCAGCGCCGGATCCGCCAGTGGGTCCAACAAGAACAAGAACAAAAACAACGCGCGCAGCGGCCGCTCCCTTAACCTCTACGCCGCGAGGAAGATTACCCGCGGCCGTTCCTCCCGGCGCAACTAAATCCGCTCTCGAAGACGGGTCCGCTTTCGCTGTTGCCGTCCACAGCGGTGGTAGCGACAGCAGCCCCGGCAGGGGAGACGGGGAGGACTCTGACGGCTCCAGTCCTGTAGATGTCAATGACTATGACAATGACTGGGACAACGGCAAGAAGCGGTCGAGGAAGAAGCCGTCTTGGACGTCCGAAAAGGGCGGGGGTACTCGGCCCAAGGGCGACGGGAGACTTGATCGGACTGGTGGCGGTCTCAGGGCGGAGGAGAGTATCGCGGCGATTGGCCGGCCGGACGTCCCTGGGTTCGGGCTCGGGTTTACTGAGTTGTCGGAGTTTTACGACATCCGGTGTGACTAGTGGAGATGGTTTTATGATAATTCGCACTGACGAGAGTTTTGTCGGTGAATGGATAAGTCTGTCTTTACTGTATTTACGGTTTCCGGTGAGATGCGGGCGATGTTGCTTGGCCGTTTTGTGTAAGTGGCATGACATGTGACGTGCGGTTGTGAGTGTTTTCCGTCTCAGTGGGCCTTCAGTGAGTGAGTGAGTGAGTGGAGGAGGGAGTGAGGGAGTGAGAGAGTGAGGAAGTGAGTGAGAGCTCAACACCGGCTCAGCAACATTCCAAGAAGTGTCGAAGGATAAATTGGTGTTTCCGGGCTCGTCTCTTCCACGGGCCAACATGAGCCAACACGAGCACTATTGTCGCTCGTGTTTCTTGACGCTAAATCGGGTTCAAGCCGATCACACAAGACGGGTTTCGATTTCATCTTAACCCAGCTCCAGGTGCCTATTGAGGTGCACAAAAGTCGGCACTCCAGCGCGGCCAGACAAAATTGTAATCAGCTCAACTCGCAGCTCTTCACCTCATATTTGCTATGTAAGCAAGCCCACCACCGCCGCAGGACGCGGTCGAAGGCATAGTTCGGTGGGCCGAGTGAGGTAATTCGTCGCACAGCAGTGTCCACTCCTCCCCGAGGCTGCCGCTGTCAAATCGCTAGCCGGAGGCCCTAGTCCGGCTTTTAGTTCGCCACGGCCCGCCGAGCTCCAGCGCTGTGGGACCGGGCGTCGCCCCGGGGGGGGAGCGATCGCCTTTATGATAGCTACGGACGTCTTGGTCTTCGATGACGACCCTGTTGCGTCAATTCGACCCGACGTCACCGGCCGTCACGCAGTATGTTGCCCAGGCGTTTCTCACCCCATGAAGTCACCTTGCGGTGCTCATACATAAGAGCAACGAGAAACCCTTCTAGAAGTCAATTGGAACACAGATAGTTCCTGAAATACCACCGATCGACCAACACGCGAACCAAGATCAGCAGCACCACCAAAACCACCCCCAGAAACACATCACAACAGAAACCCGCCATCATGAGTTCACAAAGCACAGTCTTCCAGCTGAGCGGCACGTGTAACAACTACGGCTGGGGCCGCAAGGGCCGCGACTCCCTCGCCGCCCGCCTCTGCGCCAACACGCCCGGCGACTTCGAGATCAAGGACGACGAGGCCTACTCGGAGATGTGGTTCGGTGACTACCCCGACTTCCCCGCCCGCGTCCTCGAGACGGGCGAGCTGCTCAAGGACGTCCTTGACAAAAACAAGGAGAAGCTCCTCGGCCCAAAGGTCATCAAGGAGCTCGACGCGCAGCTGCCCTACCTGCCCAAGATCCTCTCCATCGCAAAGGCCCTGCCCCTCCAGATCCACCCCAACAAGTCGCTCGCGAGCAAGCTGCACGAGCAGGACCCCGACAACTTCACCGACCCGAACCACAAGCCCGAGATCGCCGTCGCCCTAGGCCACTTTGAGGTGTTTGCGGGCTTCAAGCCCCTCGACCAAATCTCCCCCGTCTTCAACATCCCCGCCCTGCGCGACTTCATCCCCGACGGCACCACCCGGTGGACCGACGAGACGCTGCGCGAGGTCACCCGCCGCATCCTGCTCGCCGACGAGCCCACCGTCGAAAAGGCCTCCAAGGCGCTCGCCGACACACCCCGCGAAGAGCTCGGCGCCAACGCCTACGTCGCCGACCTGCTGCCCCGCCTGCAGGCGCAGTACGGCACCGGCGACCCCGGCACCCTGGTCGCACTGTTGTGCATGAACTTCTTGTCGCTCGAGGCCGGCGACGCGCTGTACATCCCCGCCGACGGCATCCACGCGTACCTCGAGGGCGACATTGTCGAGTGCATGGCGCGCTCCAACAACGTCCTCAACACGGGCTTCTGCCCGCCCGGCGACAGGAACAACATTGACCTGTTCAGCAAGACCCTGACCTTCAAGGCGCACAGCAAACAGGACGTGCTGCTGCCCGCCGAGAAGAGCGCGAGGGGCACCCGCGGCCGCACCGTGGTGTACGCGCCGCCGCTGAGCGAGTTCGACATGCTCAAGACGGACCTGGACGCGACGAACGCGACCGAGGTCCTTAAGGCCGGCGAGGGGCCCGCCGTCGCCATCGTCACGGACGGCGAGGGTGTCCTGGAGGCCGATGGCAAGACGTTTGACGTCAAGGCCGGCTACATTTACTTCATTGCTCCCGGCATCGAGGCCAAGTGGGAGACGAAAGGCACGATGCAGATCTTCACGACGGTGGTGTAAAGGGATACCCGGGCCGGGGCTAGACAAAAGCTGTAGATTACATGTAAAAAGGTACGACGTAATGAGATGATGACCTTACACCCTACAACGGTGCTTGCAGGCTCGACTGAGGTGTGCTTCAATTTCTGGGAAATCACGGTGCAAACTGGATGTAGCAATTTGTTGAGTGGCTTCCGAGATAAATATCGGACGTCTTCAGCTTCAACTCCAACAACACCACTTTTTATTGTGTCCTCGGAGCCGACGAATAGTCTTGAAATACGGCTCCTTTATTGTTTTCCGGCTTGGAGTTATGGTCTTGCGCCCCCAAAGGCACACGAGGACAGACAAGCAACATACCCGTTTATAGCCAGTCAGGACTATTTACATTGTAAGACTTACACCTGACCACTTCAGAAGAGAGGGGTTCGCGGATGAAGCAATTTGTCTGGCGCTGGGCATTGAAAGCCACAAAACACACAGTCATAATCTGCCACGCCTCTGAAGGTCTATTGATAAAGCACCCACGGCACATACTGAACGATCGTAGGTCAAATGATTATGCTACGTCCTCTTACCGAACCCATACTGTACCAAGATTAACAAACCCATAGTCCACCGCGCCACCTGGCAATATCCCCGAGCGCCAAGACCCCCAAACAACAAAAGCACCCAACAAACAGACGAGGCATGCCCCAAGGCCGGAACCACGGAGCAGCAAGCCAGAGCAAGGAGAGTGCCCACCTATCCATCGGCAACAGAAGGCTGTCTTTCGAACAAGACCCGAGCATAAGTCACCTGTTTGAAATGTCTCCAGTGCTCCCTGGATTCTCCCAACCTTAAAGTCTGGTACTCGAACCAGGGGCGGAGATTGCCCAACAACGCCACCCCGCCGAGTTCCAGAAGCCGCCAGAGGAAATACTCGTGCTGGCCTGTCGCCGCGGCCCAGTCGAGGACGCTGTGCCTGTACTTCTTCACGCCGTCGACGGATCCAATGCACCTCGGAATGGCAAAAGGGAGCGTGCCGCTGGCCTGCACGAGGGCCTCAAAGATGTGCCTCTTGCGGTCGTACGCGTGCTGCCGCAGCATCGTGTCGACGCCCCTGTCGCGCAGCTCCTCGTGAAGGCTCACGTCGCGGCGCTCGTCATACAGCTCGTTGTCCCACAGGAGAATCCGCCTGAACCTAACCTCGAAACCGGGGAGGGCGCACAAGGGCAGCAAGCCGCCGGACCGCCAGCGCTCGATGCAGAAGTGGATGCCGAGCACGTCGAGCATCCATTCGCCGCAGTTCCGCTCGGCCAGCCTGACCATCTGCTTCCATATGCTGTCTTCCAGATCGTGCTTCATGTGGACGTTTCTGTAGATCCGGCCGAGGGCTACCTCCAGGGGCGTGGGCAAGGTCGCGGGGCGGTTCTCGATCCTGGCGCCGAATGCCAGCAGCAAGTCGACGGCCTTGTCGTCGAGCCAGAAGATGGCGGGGTGAAGAGGGGTGAAGCCTTCCCTGTCGGCGATGTTCGGGTCGGCGCCGTTCTCTAAGAGCCACTCGACGAGCCTGGGCCGATAGAAGCTTTCCTCGCCGGCGCCGTGGTGGAACCGGTGGCTTAGGAGGGCTAGAAGAGGGGACATGCCGTACGGCTCTGTAACGGTATTGATCTGTTCTCTGATGTCTTGATCGCATGCGCGAAGCATCGCCGCGGGGATGCGCTCGTCGTCTACGAGTGGCTGCATGAAGAACAGTTGGAAAGGCGTGAACTCACCATAGTCTTCGACATCCAAGACGCTGCGGTCGACCCAGTACTGCTGGCTCATCTTCGACCCAGCGTCCCGTGTGTCAAAACGGACGTTTTGCCTGAGCGAGAGCGCCCGTCGGCCGAGAGGGTGTTCGCCGTTTGAGGGGTTCTTACGAGAAGAAGCGGACGAGCATCAACGAGAGTGCCGTGTTGTGCTCCGCCTGCTGTGGCATCATCAACGGCAACTCCGCGGCGGACTAGCTCTTCGATTGCGGTATGGCAGTCGGTCGAGCGGAGACAAACAGCGTGTAGAGCATTGAGCCCAACTTGCAGCGGTGTGTACAGCGTCGCTCCGCATTGGAGCAGTTTGTCAACCATTCTACCAGAGACGGCGTGGTGGAGGACCGGGATTTGCAATGAGTGTACTGTGAGTCCGCCGTGGTCAAAGTTTGCGTTGTGATGCACCAGCAGGTCGATCAAGTCGACTAGGTCCGCAGCGACCGCAAAGGCAAAGATCTTGGCATCGGAGTCGACCATCTTGTCGAAGAAAGCATGCGGGACCTTGACCAGTATTCTTTCAGTGATAACCGCGGCGATTTGGACAGCCGACATGGCGCAATGGACGGCCGTTACGTGATCTACGGCAGCGACGTCCTCCGAGTCCCGGAGCATGGAGTCGTAACTCTCAGAGAAAAGCCCGGCAGGTCGCCAGATGCTTAAGCCAGAGGCCCTGAATTCACGAGTAGTGTCTGCACCCTTTTCCAGCAGCAGCTTCAAGACCTCCGAGTATCCTTTCGCCGCAGCCACCATCAATGGCGTAAAGGACGGCAGTGCGAGACCGTGTGGCACATGATCTAGGTCGGCCTTCTTCTGTTTCAGAGCCTGGCCGAGAAGTTTTACGTGATTGTTCACGGCGGCGTGGTAGAGGGCTCTGGGGTTCTCGCTCTCGGCATCCCACCGAAGAGCGACGAGGAGAATCCTATCACGGTAATAGCGGTTAACTATGCTGGCTTCCAACATAGACAAGGAGGGATACATCCCCTTTATATGCTCCGTGACCTGACGTACTCTGGTGAGGGAGGCGGCGTCGTCGTCACCATCGCTCAAATCATCATCTTGGACTTCGTCGTCTTGGGCCATGACCCATGATGGGGGGAAACCTGGCGGCAGTGACGCCCAATTCGGGCGTGACACGCTTGGAAAATTTGCTGGTGGTTGTTCTATAATTTCTCTACCAAGGTACTCGGCAATCTTGATGTAAATCTCCGGGAGAATCCCGATTTCTAGGTCAGTCAGCTTGCGGGGAGACACAGGAAGCGACATATCGAGGCACCGCGATGGAACGATTAGGATGGTAAAGGTAATTTTTCGTGTTGGATATGTGCTCGTTGAAGCAGCAATGCCAAATTGCCGTCAAGGAGACTAGGCTCGACTACATATGGCACCGCTGGATTTCTGAGCGACTCGCGACGTTCAAAGTGATGCTGGCTAACAGAGCACCCAGTATCAAAGCGCCATTGTAAAGACGTTGTCTCATTGTGTCGACTCAAATCCATCAAGAAATCAAAAGCTTTGTCTGAGCTTCGAGGTAGTGGTTCATTTCTAGGCTGCGTAAATTGGCTCATGGCTGACAATGTACTCGCACTGCAGCTGACATTGACACGGACATGTTGCTTTCTTCAATCATATCGTCATTGTTTGTTCTTGTTTCTCTCCTTTTGTTTTCATTTCTTCTCCACCAGCACACGGGGGGTGCTGCGCTTAGAACTTGGCGTCCTTGCTGGCAAGGAAACCCTTGAGGATGCCGACGATCTTCTCGAGAGCGGCGAGGTAGACGCGGAGCTCGGCGGCGACCTTGGCCTGGTCGGAGCCCAGCTTGGCGTAGAAGTCCTTGCGGTAGGGGCAGGCACCCATGGCAGCGCTGAAGATGGGCTTCACGAGGAAGCTGTGATGGGGCTTAAGGGTGGTCGCGTAGGCGCCGCGGAACGACTCGGAGAGCTCCTCGGACTCCTTGGCGACGTTCTGGCTCAGGGCGATGCAGGTGAACTCGAGGCCACTGGGCAAAAGAGCACTGTTAGCTTCCATCCATGCCCCATCGCGAGTCTCGAGGCTGGGTGGCTTACCGAGTCAACCAGAGGAGACCCTCGGTGGCAACGTGCTTCTTGGTGGCCAGCTCGTTCTTGACAAGCTCCTGAAGGGTGGCGGACTCGCCGGGGGCGGCCAGCTGGCGCTCACGGATTTTCTGCGCGACAAGGACATATCAGCGGCTGTTTGGTGGCGGGCAATGGGGACAATGGAGGTTGTGTGGTGGCGCCGCGGAGGACTCAATGGAGGGAACAGATGTCGAGGGAAAGGAAGGACGTTGGACGTTACGGTTCGTACCTTGATGTTGCCGCCCATGTCGTTCTTGACGGGGCTGAAAGCAACGCTTCCGAGGGCATCTGCGAAAGGAATCGTTGTTAGAAGAACGGACCCCCAAAGACGATTGCATGGGCATGTAGCCCCTTTGTTAGGGAAGGATAGCAGGCAAACATACCGAAGATGGTGGTCAGAGACTCGGCGGCATCGAGGAACTCGGTAGTCGCGATAGCATTCTCCTTCTCGGCATCGACGGGAACGTTAACAAACGACTGCTTGAAGGTGTCGAGGTAGGTGCCGCCGGGGGGGATCTGAGCTGCCATTGTGTCTGATTTTGGGGGAAGTTGTCTCGGTTGTTTGAAGGTGGGAGAGATGCGAATTGGTGAGAGTGTGAAAGGAGTTGGAAAGAGAAAGAGTTTCCAAACTATGTCGAGACAAGAAACCAGAAACCAAGCACGACGGGATGGGAAACCGCGAGGGGCGGTCAAGCACGGGAAAGCCACGCATACGCAGCGGCGGCCATGGCGGGGACCTCTGGCACCTCAGACAGGGCCATCGAGACCCATGGGAACCCCACCAGAGCAATGCGCGCCGGGCTCTGACAGGCTGGACCTGGACCGCCCACTGGAGATCGTATGCGCTAAACCGTAGCTGTCGCAGTGGGGATACTACATAGTATGTACAGGTATGGAGGGGGGTTGAGGGAAGGGAGGGAGACGCTGAGGGTCCAATCGTGGCGCTGCAGCAGCAGCAGCTTCGTTGCCGATGTTCCTTGTCTCTCCTCTCCTCCAATTCTGAGACGCACAGCACAGTGCCAGTCGAGCTACCCCTCATTGCTGCTGAGACCAGAAACGCCCTCCTCTCTCACCGTGTGTCTATGCTTTACCCACACGGGGCATCGCGGGGTCGCGGGAAAAGGAGGACGCGGCGCTC